GATTCTCTACTACCCGGTGTCTGCCCTTGTAACTCTTTTCGCCAACATCCTCCAGAACCCCAACGATGCTCGTGCTCGATCAGATGTTAAATTAATGAGCGTGGTAGTCAACTTCCTGTCCACCCTCGTCTCAGACGAATCCAATGGTAGCATCAAGCGTATGCTAGCTCTTTGCGGCGAATTCGAAAGAATTGCCAAGGTGGTCTTGGATAAAACCGAAAAGGAGACTCATTCGCGAAAGAAACGCAAGAATGCAGAAGACCCTGCAGGCGCAACCGAAGAACAGCCGGCGTCTGTACCCTTCGCAAAACGTGCACAAGCACCACCCACCTCCGCATCCTTCTCCCCCTCTATGTTTACCAACCCTACGGCTGCAGCATCCTCACCCGACGTAGGAAGATCATTCCCGGGGACTACAATCCCCCCAACGAGTAGTATCCCCGCCGACCTCCCAAGCAATGTTCATGCCATAGCTGGAATTGGACAGGAATTTTCAAACATGCTTGGCCCTGATCAAATGGGTCATGCTGGATTCTCCGACCAACACGAATTCAGCCCCAACCACGCCAGCCCTGGCATGGCACCATTCCAGCAGCCATTTGTCCCACAAGATCTCTGGCAGATGCCAATGACAATCGAGTGGGACTGGGCGGATATGTCCACAAACTTTCCTCCTTTTGAGGGAGTTGGTCCCGGTGGGCCGCTGCCTGGGCAGTGATCGTGACCGTATGATGGACCAAAGTCACCTTCATCTATCTTTTAATGTAGCTCATGTCGGTGGGATTATTGTTTCCGGTGTTCTCTCTCCACACCAAACAATATCTACACCTCTTGTATATTGAAGCGCTTCTGTTCTCTTCTTATTTCGATATCATCCGGTCTCTATGGAGTGACTAGGAGAATTATGGGTTTCCATTACGCGGCAAATGGCGCAAAGGCGGGCTCTATTATAGGGATATATATATACAGACAGGTCCTCAATTGAATCCAATTTAATCTTAGACCATTTAATTGAATACTAGTACATAGTGGAATTCGGCTTTAAAGGGATCGCGGCTTTAAGCTAATTCCATCCGACACCTGGGGCACCACCGGGGCAGGTGACCTCACGCCCAGCCCTGGAGGCCCAGGGCTTGCGCTTCCGATGACTCAGCCGGATCGGCGAAAATTTAGAACCGACTGGAACCACACGGCGTCACCTCGGTCCTGATGCCACAGAGTATCTCAACTCCTAGCTCAATTCACCCCCTCACGCCTAATCTTGATGGATAGTGATATTATCCATTACCTCTAAACTCGATTGAACACCTTCTACCCCCGCCCTCGTAGCCCTCGGGGCTCCCATTCCTCGACCATGGCTACCTTGCTCCGACGGCCAGGCAATCTCGCTCGCTACTCGAGGAAAATCGCGGAATCTACCGGTCGCACGGGGCTATCTTCCGTGCGTGTGCGGCCATCAAGACTCTCATCTCTGGTTATATCAAGCCGCGCTAGAACCTACGCCACACAAGGTCCGACACCCCCCGACGACAACAGCCGGAACAACACATCAGATGGCCGCAACAATGACCATCAAACAAAGCCAAAGTCAGTTCTGACGGAAGCTGAATTGAAATGCGTGGATGAATGGCTGGAAGGTATGGATCCGGTGGGACGTAACCAGGTCCGAAACCACCTCATGAGCCATGGACTTCCACCAGAAGTCAGGAAATACCTCGATCGGGAACAACCAACGACTTTGATGGATCGTATCAAGATGATGCGGTTCCTCTGGCAAGCCACAACCTCCGATGCTGCATTGGAAGAGCTCTTAAAGAAACACGATCCAAATGCTACAGAGTCAGCGAAAAAACGAGGTATCGCAGACCTGCACAACCTCGCTGAAAAGCGCAGTGACGGATCCACCCTCCGCTTCAATAAGGATTCAGAGAAGGACCAGCAAGGGCAGCAACCGGCAAAGGGGGGCGAACAGCAATCCAGCGGAGAACCACCGAAGGATCCCAAGCAAGACAAGGATCCTAAGGAAAAGGATACCAAGAAAAACCAACAACAACAGAAGAAGCAACAGGGCGACAAGAAGGGCAAGGTGCCTCCGAACATGGGCAAGGTCCTCGAGTTCCGCTTCGATCCCGTTTCGTTCTTCGTTACCGCTCTCGTCACATACTACGTCTACCGCAGCTTTTTCCCCGGTGATGGTGGGGGCAGAGAAATCACCTGGCAAGAATTCCGGGCAAACTACCTCGAGAAGGGCCTCGTGGAGAGATTGACTGTCTTGAACCACACCAGGGTTCGGGTTGAGCTCAACCGTGAAGTTGCAGCCCAATCCGATTCAAATGGTCAAGTTGCCTCCTATGTCTTCTTCAGTATTGGTTCTGTCGACAGCTTTGAGATGAAGCTTGACGCAGCTCAGCATGAACTGGGTATTCCATCGCACGAACGTATTCCTGTCGCATATCACGATGAAACCCCATGGGGCGGCGTCTTGATGTCATTGGCTCCTACTCTTCTCTTCCTTGGTGGTGTCTTCTGGATGTCGCGGCGTGCCGGTGGCGGTGCCGGCGGCCAGAGTGGAATCTTTGGCATCGGCAAGAGCCGTGCAAAGCGCTTCAATCACGAGACCGATATCAAGACCAAGTTCGCCGACGTTGCGGGCATGGACGAAGCTAAGGTTGAGATCATGGAGTTTGTTAGCTTCCTCCAGCAACCCGAACGATTCGAGAAGCTGGGTGCAAAGATTCCCCGTGGTGCTATTCTCTCAGGTCCCCCCGGTACTGGTAAGACATTGCTTGCTAAAGCCACTGCCGGTGAATCTGGCGTGCCTTTCTACAGTGTCAGTGGTTCCGAATTCGTCGAAATGTTTGTCGGTGTCGGTCCCTCTCGTGTCCGTGATCTCTTTGCCAATGCCCGGAAGAACACCCCCTGCATCATTTTCATCGACGAAATCGATGCGATTGGAAAGTCCCGAGCAAAGTCGAACGTTGGTGGTGGAAACGATGAGCGTGAAAGCACTCTCAACCAGATCCTCACTGAGATGGATGGTTTCAATACCTCTGAGCAAGTGGTTGTCTTGGCCGGTACCAACCGACCGGATGTCCTCGACAAGGCCCTCATGCGTCCCGGACGATTCGATCGACACATCGCCATTGACCGACCCACCATGGACGGCCGTAAGCAGATCTTCCGTGTTTACTTGAAGAAGATTGTCACCGACGAGAACCTGGAGTACATGGAGGGCAGACTTGCCGCTCTTACTCCCGGTTTCGCCGGTGCTGATATCGCCAACTGTGTGAACGAGGCAGCGCTTGTTGGTAAGTTCTTATGCATAATCTATTCGCTGTATTTCATTAAAGCTAACAATTTCTCCCTACAGCTGCCCGTGGAAACGCAGATAAGGTTGTCATGAAACACTTTGAGCAAGCCATCGAACGAGTTGTTGGTGGATTGGAGAAGAAGTCCCTTGTCCTCTCTCCTGAGGAGAAGCGGACCGTCGCCTACCACGAGGCTGGCCACGCTATCTGCGGTTGGTACTTCAAGTGGGCTGACCCGCTTCTGAAGGTGTCGATCATTCCTCGCGGACAAGGCGCACTGGGATATGCGCAGTACCTCCCGGCTGGTGGCGACACATATCTGATGAACGTCAACCAGATGATGGACCGTATGGCCATGACTCTGGGTGGTCGTGTTAGCGAAGAGCTTCACTTCGACAGCGTGACTAGCGGTGCTAGTGACGACTTCAACAAGGTTACTCGCATGGCTACTGCTATGGTGACTAAGTTTGGCATGTCGTCCAAGCTTGGCTATATCTACTACGAGGATGACGGACAACAGCAACTCCACAAGCCCTTCTCTGAGGATACTGCTCGCTCCATTGATATGGAGGTGCGCCGCATCATCGAAGAGGCCCACAAGCAGTGCCGTGACCTTCTCACCGAGAAGAAGGCCGAGCTTGGTATTGTTGCCGAGGAGCTTCTGGCTAAGGAGGTTCTTGGACGTGACGACCTCATCCGTCTCCTTGGCCCGCGCCCCTACCCCGAGTCTGGCGAGTTCGCCAAGTACTTCGATGGCACAGGCGGCAAGACCATTGCCCCACCGGATTTCCAGAACCCCGAACAAACCTCTGGTAAGGATGGCCGGGATGAGACACCTATCCCTCCTTCATAGATTAGGGCACTGTGTTTCTTTGCATTCTTGCGCTTTGGTCTGGTTTGGGTTCAATTTTGGGAGGTATGATATCACTGTAGCCTCTCTTTTTGTATTTATCGATTGCATCCCCCGGTTCTTCTCCTCTCATCTTCTCTTTTGCTCTACTCTCATCCACAACACCTTTCTCCCTTTCCTCCTGTCGTGCTCAATAAGAAGATCATTTCTTTTTTTTCTATTTTCTCTCTCATTTGTCCCCCCTGTCCATCTCCGTCCAATTGGATCTGTACAACTTGTACCGAGTGTATAATAGGGAGTTTTATTGAACCATGTCTTAGATTGGAAGTTCATGTCTCTTACGCGTAAATATTGTTGGATCGCTGTTGTAAAACTCACCAAAGAAGATTGTGTCAGACTCATTCGCTAATACTTCATCCAACTGAATATCCTTTGATGGTAATGACACATCCAAGACATGCGAATGTCTTGCGCTTTATATCCTCAATTATCCCCTTTGAGGCGTGTATGTCTAAAACAGCCCCCCCCCCCCCCCCCCCCCCCCCCAAAGAAGTTGGCCAAATTCAAGACTTCTTAATTAAGAATGAAAAGCCACAAAGAGACCCAAGGCAAAGAGCACAAACGGGCCAATTGAAGGTGACATCTAACTATATAAATCAAAGCTAAAGACCGATCAAGAACACATTTATGGGACTCAATCCCCTTAACCCCTACGGCAAAGTTCATACTTATGCACTGGAAACATCAAAATCCAGGGCACTGCCGATTAAGCCAACCTTTTCCTGTCCGCAGGCAATAGTTCATCTGTCGGAACTCCAGACTGAGACTCTAATCCATCAGGGATGCTACCCATCCCTGCACTTCAAGACGAGAATGGTCGGGATCTACTCAGCGGCGACATAAATTCCGATAAAAGCAGCCCTAAAGTTGCGAGGGAATGGACGAGCGATGCTCTCCGCGCATTCGATCGTGTTTGGCCTGATCCAGCGAGGAGAAGGCAGCTCAGCTGTTTCCAAACCGACAGTCCTTCAGTTTTTGGTGGCGCATCAAACAGGACCTCTATATCTCGAAGCAGACAGACCTTGCCCCCAGGCAACAACCATGCTACTCCCCCCAGCGCGATATCAGTGGATCAATCTCATCAACATTGGGATACGATGGAACAGGCCTATCGGCTTTCACGCGAGACGATATCCCGATTCTACAATCCCGACCGTTTGAAAGAAAAGCTCCTCGGCCCCGAGAACTATAAGGAATGGGCGTACTGGATGAAGAAGAACCTTGAGCAGTGCGATGGATTGTGGATCACTAATGCTAATCCTGAGATACCGGCGCACAGCAAGTTGAGCACACAACCCATCCAGACCAACCTGAATCTTTGGATGACGGTTTTCAGCAACGTGTCACCATTTATACAACAGGAACTGCGTGCTCTAAATGTGTCGGATGCACAGGAGGCATGGAAGTTTCTAGAGAAAACATATGGGAGAGACATCCCTATGAAGATGCGTTCAGTCAAGGACCTACGCGATATCATGAGTATCAGATATGAAAAGTGCGCATCACTGGAAGAATACATAGAGAAGATGGTGTTGTGCAGCCGAGCAATTCAATGTAACCATGGAGAGAAAGACTGTGACGACGGAGGGAAAGACAATGGCCGTGGAAAGAGCCGAAATCACTTGAGAATAGATGGAAATAACGAATGGCTATGGTGCCAGTTCATCCTGGTGAATCTTGGTCCAAAGTGGGAGTCTTGGGTCTCTGAGTTAGTGGGGAAATTCGACGACAAAGAAAGAAAGAATGTTGCAATAAGCACCTTCGCAGGGCTCTTTCCAATCATCGAAGCAGAACATGCACGCCGCATGCAAACTTCGCGTTACACGAAGAATTGCAGTGGGTGATCATGTCTATGAAGTCCTGTCAACATATATATCATGTTTCCAGTTCGTTGGGATGTGTGATTAGTGCCTGAACATGATTAAAAAAAAGTGTGCATTGTGTCAAAATCGATAGTTTTGAGGTAATGTTCTGAGAAAATGTTGAAAATAACAGCAAAAACATTTCCACATATCTGGCATAGTCTCTTCGGCCTCTGTTTGTTTATATACAAACCAAAAAATTAAGTGCTCTTCTTGCTAGCCTTCTTGGTCTCCTTCACCTTCATAGACAGGCGAGGGATAAACCTGCCAACGCGAGCCTGGTAGTCGCTGTACTCGGGGTACTTGCCAGCGGTGATAGACTCAGTTAGACGTACACTTCCCTGGAAGATAGCGAGGTATCCCAAAACTCCCAGACCGGCCCAGTTGAAGTAAGTCTCGGTGCGGTAGCAGGACCACGCATACAGAGTCAACCAAAAGGCCTGCTCAGCAACGAAGTTGGGGTGTCGCGACCAAGACCAGAGGCCGCTGACAACGAAGCCCCGCTCAAGATCTTCGGCGGAGAACTGGTCCTTGTAGGGCTCGGGAATACGCGCGTTGGTTTGGTACTCGTGCTTAGCAGACTGGAAGTTCCACTGTTGCCCATCGGCGAAGAATTCAATAATGATGAAGAAAAACGCAGCACGGGAGAAGGCTAAGTCGGACAGGCCAAAGGTCTCGGGTCCCTGGTTGTATGCAGCGACAACAAAAATGTAGGTCGGAGCGGTGATGAGAAGGAGCAGCAGCGACTGAATGATTGCAATGAATCCGAGGTTGAAGATCATGAACAAGAAGTTATTGTTCACTTTAGAGCGCACGATCTTCCAGCGGTAATCTTCCGAGCCGATCGAGTATCCTCCTTTGCGCCAGTAGTTGAAAGTCAAGCGAGCCTATGCCATAATTCGAGTTAGCATTTGGAGAGAGTTAGAAAAAGAACTGACTTACACTCCAAAGAACACTGATGACAGCGATTGTATCCAAAGTCTGGGTCTGGATGCCGGACAAACGAGCCCATAGGGCGAAATGCACGTTATACAGCGCGGGGAGAATGCTCCAAAACCGGTCTACTTGCGAATAGTTTCGGTTGATTTCGGCCGCAATGAAAAGCAGGCCAGCCAGAACTCCACCGAAAGCAACCGCAGAGATAAAGGGGTTGGTAGCTAGGTAGACAGCCCGCAAGCTATACACATCGCTACCAGCTTCGCGCAAGCTGTCGGGTAGCCATTGTAGCTGGGACAAGTAGGGGAGAACGGTGAGCTCAAATGAGGTATAATCCAAAAGGGACTCCACACGGGGAAGCGGTAAAGATGCCATTGCTGTACTCCGTACCATATACGATCAAAAAGCGACGGGGGAAAAGGAAAACAAAAGCGTTTGCTCAGGTGGAGTACAGATATGTTTGCCAGATGGCCTCATTGGGAATAGCGTGCTGAAAGGGGAATAGCGTACCGAAAAAAGGAATTATAAGCCTTAGGCATCACATCGCGTCTCAGGCATCCAATTCCGTCTCTTCGCGTCCGGGTCATCCAGAAGAAGATGTGATCGACATCAGGACATTATTCAAGGCCACCACTACTATGAATCCTATGTAAGCTAGATTGGGGCTCGTCATGGCTCGCAAAATCCTATGTGTGGCTGAGAAGCCCGCCATTGCTCGTGCAGTCGCTACACACTTATCGGGAGGTGCTTTTCGAACAGTAGGTTTCTTTTTAAAGAATTATGATGATCCAGCTAACATTGTGCATAGAATCCGATTCGTGGGAATCAATATGTGAAGAACTATGAATTTGATTTCAATTTTGGTGGTGCTTGGGGCAACTGCTCGGTCACCATGACCAGCGTAGTTGGCCATCTGACTGGCCTGGACTTTGACCGCCAGTACAGAGGTTGGGAGTCCTGTCCTCCGGGGGCACTATTCGAGGCTCCTGTGCAAGAGACTGTCGATAAGGTGGGCAAATTCCAGCGGCTATCTTGGCTGCATGCTGATGTGTTCACCAGGACAAGCTACCAATTGCGGAGAACATCCGGAACCAAGCCAAGTACTCTAAAGCCTTATTTATTTGGACTGATTGTGATCGCGAAGGTGAGCATATTGGTTCTGAGGTCCGCAATCAGGCAATAGCAGGGAATGCTCGGATCGAGGTTAAGCGAGCTAAGTTCAGCAACACAGAAAGCGCGTAAGTAATGTTGATTCTTTGGTATCTACTCGAAACTGATCCGTGAATAGACATGTTCGGCGGGCAGCTCTAGAACCGGTCAATCTCGATGAACATCAGGCTAGTGCTGTAGCCGCCAGAATCGAGCTGGATCTTCGAATTGGCGCTGCATTCACCCGTCTACAGACTCTACAACTACAAACAGTGGTGGCAGCGTTGAAAGAAAAAGTCATTAGCTATGGTAAGCTGTCTGTCATTATAGATATAAGTTAACACGTTAACAAGATAGGATCCTGCCAATTTCCTACTTTAGGATTCGTCGTCGACCGATACTTGAGAGTCAAAAATTTCAAACCAGAAACATTTTGGGGCATCAAGGTCATACTAAGCCGTGAAGGCAAGAAGGTCAACTTTCTTTGGAAGCGGGTACATTTATTTGATCGAGCAGTTGTCACGATGATGTTGGAGCGGTGTCTGCTTGCGAAACAAGCTAAAGTCACAAAAGTGAACCAGAAGCCTACAAGCAAATGGCGGCCGCTACCCTTGACCACGGTAGATCTGCAGATGATGGGCAGTCGATTTCTTCGTTTAGACAGTCAGACTATCATGAAGGTAAGAGATCCACTCCCGTAACCTTCATGTAGGATGATATTTAACAAGTTTCAAGGTAGCAGAAGGTCTTTATACCAAAGGATTTATCAGCTATCCTAGAACAGAGACAGACCAGTTTGACAAAGCAATCGACCTGAAGAAATTGATCGAAAAGCAATACCCCGATAACGCATGGGGCCAATACGCTCGAGAGTAAGCTTATTGGGCTTTCATTTCATATACAAAACTAATGCCTGTCTAGACTTATTGATGGAAAGTTCAGGGCCCCCCGCTCTGGACGCCACAATGACAAGGCCCACCCACCCATTCATCCTGTCAGCTGGGTTTCACCAAATCAGTTGAATGCCAATGAAAAGAAGGTCTACGAATTTGTCGCTCGTCGATTCCTCGCCTGTTGTTCTGATGACGCGAAGGGCAAGAGCACAGAGGTCGAAATTCAATATGGCGATGAGTTCTTCCATACCAGTGGTCTTATCGTGTTGGAGAGAAACTACTTGGACGTCTACGTCTACGATAAGTGGGAAAGCAGCCAGCAACTTCCTAATTTTGAACAAGGGGAACTCTTTGAGCCCACTGAAGCCAATATTTTTGAAAGCAAAACAACTGCTCCGAACTATCTGACTGAGCCCGAGCTCATTGGCCTGATGGATGCCAACGGGATTGGTACAGATGCAACGATGGCGGAGCATATTGCGAAGATCAAAGACCGTGAATACGTCGCCATAAACCAACGAGGCAGTGGCCGCAGCTCAGTGCAGGAATTCGTTCCAACCCGTTTAGGTATTGCCCTTGTGGAGGGGTATGACAATGTTGTCGATGGGCTCCCTAATAGCGTATCACTCAGCAAGCCGTTCCTTCGTAAGGAAATGGAATTGAGCATGGTTGAGATCTGCTCAGGCACCAAAACTCGACAGGAGGTCGTCCAGCAGAGTCTGGATATGTACCGAGAAGTCTTCATACATACACAGAGACGCATCAACATGCTCAAGAATGCCTGTCGCAAGTATCTTGTTGAAGAAACTGCGTCATGATTTTCAGTTGCTTAAAAAAGGTACCATCTAGAACTATAATGAGACACTCAATTGATTAAACTTATCTCTAGCCTACTCGATATTAATTAAATCTTCATGCATTCAAAGAAAAAGAAGAGAAGCAAGCCATAAAGCTCTCTATGGTACAGATACGAAATGAATATTCACATGTTCTATGCCACCTTCTGACCATTGCGCTGGACAGGGACTCCTTTTCCTTTCTGATCCGAAGCTTCATTCATCTGCTCGGGGGTAGGGTTCAAATCAAACCCGGGCTGGTCCATACGTAATTCATCGAGTATGTCAGCGGACATGGTTTTCGCGATTAGTATGTTAATCCAAGCTAACTGCCTCGGAATCTGAGGGAAACTTTCAGTATTTTTCATCAGATCCTGATGTTGTAGACTAACCTCTTCCAACTTGGAATCAATTTCCATCATACTAGACGTGTATTTGTCTTCCATCATACCCACAATATGCATCAAACAACGTTGGAGGTCATTCGAGGAGTCTCCAATGGCCTGCGCGAGCTGAACGAAAATAGGCCGGATTTGCTCATTTTCCCTTCGAAGTTCTCGGATCTCTAACACCAAAATGCTGAACCGTTCTTGGATACCCTTCATTCGGTTCAAATAATCGTGATGCATGTCCTCAACGCTCTCCCTGATTCTGCCTGCCGTCACAAGGCCCATCAGCTGCAATGCGCAAATAATAATAAATAGACTACCCAGAATAGTAAAATAAAGCATGCTGTTGTCGTTGTTGGCTTGATTGGGTTGTTGCGGCCCTTGTTCACTTTGTGCAGCCACCGAGCTGTCGTTCAATTCGAACGAAGTTGGCATCACAGTGTCCGAGCTGTTGTTCAATTCGAACGAAATTGGCATCACAGTGTCACTTGTGTTGGAAATTGACTCTGTGACTCCTGGAATATTTATTTGCAGTGATGCTGCTTCAGCCGAGTGTTTCAGGGCCAGCCTGGCATTTTTGTACTGTTGAGAATCGAGGGAAAATTGTAGGAGAAGGTCGTGCTCTGAGACTGCGTCGTCATGGGGGAAGACGAAAGGATGAACTCGGCGTAACCCGTGAATGGTATATGCAATTTCAAAGGAGCTGAGGGTACGCCAAACAATAGAATTGGAAGGGGTGATTCCGGTCAATGGAACAGAATGCCAGAGGCCAATGGTGCTCAGGCCAGCAAAAACGGCTGCTGGCACTAGTTTGTCGAGCATCTTTGTGGTTTTTGTATCGGATCAGTGGGGTTCAAGAAATTCAAGGGAGTCTCCGTCTTTCTCGGTGTCTTGAGAGCTTAAATATACTGTGTAGAAGGCAGAAATGAAACAATGAATATACTACTCTTTGTTTAATTTACCATTGACTAGCGTGGATTCAAACCTGGATAACCATTTATTCATTGTTTTTGGCCCCATGATTGTTTGAGAGTTACATTATGCCTAGCATGATGGTTTCTTTGTTAGGCCCGTTTGGGCTTTGATTTGTTCTATTCGGCTGTCTTCTTGGATTTCTCTCACTTATATCAATAAAGTCCACATAGAAAAAAAAATACCAGTAGATCTGATTATATTTATTAGTATTGAGCTACGCCTCATATTTTCTAGAATAATCAAATCTTTGTCTAATCACACATAATGAGTCCACACATAATGAGTCCAAAGAAAATTATCAATCACTAATGGTAATACAAAGAGACTATAAAAACACGTCAGACACCATTCAAACTAGTTTTCCACAATAATAAGACTATCATACCCTTTGGTAGTCGTGAAAGAAGTAGGTGTATTATGAAAATAGGGAGAAAGTTTCAGAAAAACAAATGCATTATCATCACACTAGTTTCTATGTGTATGTTTTAGAATGTGAATCTTGTAGTGTATAAACTGAAGAGCTTGATGCTCTATGTAGCCAGCGGAGGCTGATATTCATGCCATAGAGTATTGATATTGGTTAACTTGTAGCACATTCGCTCAGGCTGACAACAGAGGCATAGGTTGTTCAATGACTTCTTGTGTAGTTAGCCATAGTTATAATCTGTATGCTTATAAGATGAACATAAAACTTGGTAGAAGCAGGGAGTCATTTTCGCGCTTGGATCATATGTAGTTCCCTGAAAATATTTGTCTATGCTATTACTGGAGAGTGTCTGAGATAAATGAGGCATGCCAATTCTACAGAATTTAGGTGAAATAAAAGGCGCAATTTCCATATTAGGAGGTGTTGGCAAGTCTCTAACTGATGCTATTGACATGATGACCATCAATAGGATCAAAACTACTGATGGCAAGACCATCAGGGGAACTTGAGATTGGAACAATCTCGAATTATTTAGAGCACCACACATATATTGCTAACCTAGTTATAGTGCACCAGTTCACTTCCAAGGCCGAGATCAAGTAATTTATCCACTTCATTCGATGGTAAAATGGCTCATGAGTTCAGAGCATGTGCGGTAATTTTCGATGGAGACGCAACAAAGAGGTAACATCTGCTGAGAAGGCTTTAGTATGAGTAGTACTCAAAATGGTCGTCAGAATAGTCGGCATAGTTATCGGCATCTTCCTCAGCATATTAATTGCCAATTTCATCCGTATCGTCCTCGGCATAGTCCCCAGCATTGTACTCCTCACCATCATTCTCTTCGGCCTGTGGCAGTGAGCCGTACCACTGAATAGCAGCATCTTCGTAGATCTGTGTCCATTGACTGGAAGCATTTGTCGCGAGCAGGTGAAAGCCATGTATTAGCAGGTGTTGATGAAGATTGGTGGAGGCAGAGATAGGGATATGTATTCCATCAATAACTAAACTCGGAGAGAGCCTTAGTATAGATGCACTGACATGTGTGTGTTGATAGCTTGACAAGCGACAAAATACCTCGGCCATGGAACACAACCTTTGGTTTTACCAGCAGAGCTCTGCTTAACGTAATTAGTAAAAGTCTGAAGTTGATTCTCCTTCATATGGACTTACGATTGTGTAAGGTGGGAGCTTGATCTCCTTGGCCTCGGCCTTGATGAGGTACTGTTTGTATGCATGGCAGCTCTGTAAAAAGGGGGGACAGTGATAACTGCATAGAAAAGGATAGGTGGAAGACATTTTGCAGTCAATTTCAGAGTTTGTTCCTGATGGAAGGGAGAAGAGAAAAGTTGTTGTGGTAGATTGGGCAGCTCCTTCCTTACCAGCTTCGATCTTTCCCTCTTCGACATCTGTTCTTTTTCTTCAACCATCCCTCTCTCTCTCTCTCTCTTTCTTGAGGCTGTCTTCAACCATCTTAACTCCACTCCTTATTTGCCCCTCAGCTCTCCGAATATGGGCTTCTTGTTCGCAACCCCGAGTGATGTGACGCTCATTGTCATCGAAGAGCCGAGAGATAACAACGACAACAAAACCAAGACAGCCTTGTTCCACGTTGATCGTTCAAAATTGATTGATAGCAGTGCATACTTTCGAACAATGTTCTCATCCCAGTGGGAAAGAGCCCAAAATCACAATCCTACTCTCAGAGGTGACACAATCAAGAGCATGGAGGTGATATTGAGATCAATCCATGGAATCGACACCCAGCCAGAGTCTATCTCTGTTACAGATGTTTGGTACATAATCAAGGCCTGCAACAAATATCTGCTAGATCCGAAGAAGCTGATGGGCTGGTTCACACGCTGGATCAAATGGGTTGAACAGGGAACCCCTGGAAGATGGGAAAATTGTGATTTCAACCGCCAGCTGCTATTTCCTTGCCATTTCTTTGATAATGCAACGGCATTCCAGCATATTTCGAAGCGGCTTGTCTACAATACCCCGGGCCATATCACAGAAATGGCTCCGACAAACTCACCATCATTCGAGCCGATGCATATGCCCGCTATCGTCATGTGTAAGTTGACGTCACTCACAGCTTTACTATCAAATAATTCTAGCCCACAAAAAAGAGCAACTAAACGCAGCTAGAGGGCGGCTCCGAACGATTCTCCAAAAATCGCTTTTTGAAGATGTAAATTCGATGATGCTCATTGTATCTGTGCAGCGCAAAATATCTTTTCCTACCTCGAAGAACTACATAGAATCGAGGTCAAGCCGTTAGATTGTGACATACACAAGAGCTGTGTCCGTGATATTCTCGATCGACTGAAGGACTTCAATGAGAACAGAATGGAGAACAGGCCGCCCTCAATGCAGACATGCACCGCATGCTCCCGCTCCTGGAAACGTGTGGTGGAGTACGCACGCAGACAAGTTGAAAGCTACTTCGATGATCTATGCTTAGATTGCATGCAGAACCATCCAGATGAGAATTCCGAGTACTGGTCTTTCAGCACCATAAGATCTAGGCATGACCAAACTTGCCGCATCAGTCACGGCGAGCCCACCTGGTACTTCAGTTTCATGGGCCGCCGGGATAGAAGTCCATACCTTATGCTATCTGGGTGAACAAGGAGGATAAATCTCGACTTTATGGCCACACTGATCTCCTACCCCAAGTATTTGCTAAGAAATATGCACCCATTTCTCTTCTTATCAATTTGATATCCACCATTTCCCAAGTGCCACAAACATGTTTATTGCAAGCTCGGTGATCTTACAATCTATAATTCTAGCTGCTCTTGAGCCATGTTTGAATCATATCATGTATTTGCTAGTAAAATATCGAATCTGGTAATAATCTGACTATTTGTAGGATTATTGCCAACAATGGCCGTACATCTAGCTCTGTATATAGAATAATGCATGCAACAATGAAATGTAGGAGTGATCAGGTCGACGATCACCCAGTTTCCGATGCAAGGGATTAATTCCCTACCTACATATCTCCCATGGTTTATCCTTCGTGTAGGGGCTAGATATAGACTGTAAATCAGGTGGAGCAAGGATCTGCCTGTCATATGGATGGAGTATAGAAATTTAGTACATATATTCTTCATGAGTTCTAATGTTCTAAAAACTCCCTTGAATAGCTAGCCACTAATATATTAGGTCCTCCTAATAATCAACGAGATATGTTTCAATTGTCTATGATTAGATTAATTTATCATTATGTATACTGATAATGACCATGGGTTTTATGATATATTGAGTGGTTTTTAGTTTCAACGATAGATACTTTGTTAGATAATAAAATATTCATTGTTTGTGCTCACATTTTTCTCGATCCCTTGCCTCGCTATCTGTCACGGCGGGATGTCAAAAATTTGAATAAGTATACCTATGTAATACTAAACATTTGGTGCCACGTCCCCCTTACTCCGTACCCGTTCTTGATCTACCTTGGTGGACGTGTAGTTAGCTGAATGTTGAAAGGGCAGGTAGTTAATGGTTTGTTATTCTTCCATTTTGAGTAACTACTTTCTTTCTATCTTTTTTTCATCCAGAGTTAAACCTAATATCACAAAGCTTTCCTCCTTCCTGGAAAGCCAATAGAGCATAGAGGCTTTTGTGAAAAAATAGACTTGACCAGTTGAAGACCAAGAATTGCTCTAAGGCACTACTTGACTGTTTGGAACTCGAGGCAACCAAACGACACTATGGGCGAAGGTACAATGTCGCCATCGACCAATATACTGCCAGATGCTGGAAAGCCGGTTATAAGAGAGATGGGTACGTTGAACCTCGAATATAAGCTAGCTTCAGGCATAAAGCTGAGTCTGACAACTCTCGGCTTAGATACCGGGGAGAAACCGCCGAATAGTGGCACTCTCGACGGCGAACCGACACAACAACCTAGCGAGTATCCCCAGGGAATCATACTTGTGATGGTCATCGTGGCTCTCATTATGATTATATTCCTGGTATCCCTTGACCAGGTGAGCGTCTCATATATGTGCTAAGAAGAGATACGTATGTCTGACTTGGCAGACTATTGTGGCGACGGCAATCCCCAAGATTACAGATGAGTTCCACAGCCTCAACCAAGTAGCGTGGTATGGCTCTGCCTTCTTCCTGACACTTGGAGGCTTCCAGTCTACCTGGGGCAAGGTGTACAAGTATTTCCCACTCAAGTACTCGTTACTGCTCTCGGTCTTCATCTTCGAACTTGGCAGTCTGATCTGCGGCGTCGCCCCGAGCTCCACGACCCTGTAAGTCTAGAGCCTCGCGAAATCTGGCAATTTGTTTTTAGCAAAAATATCCTAACTTTCGTTTTGTTGAAGCATTATTGGGCGCGCAATCGCCGGCCTGGGGGCGGCAGGCATCAGCTCGGGTGCATATACTCTCGTAGGATTCATGGAACCGAAGAAGCGGCCGACACTCATAGGACTCATCGGCACATCATATGGCGTCGCAGCTGCCATAGGGCCCCTCATCGGCGGAGCGCTCACTGATAGGCTCTCGTGGCGCTGGTGCTTCTATATTAACCTGCCCATCGGCGGATTGTCTATCCTCATCATCCTGTTCTTGTTACGCACGCCAAGTAGCGCCAAACCAGTGGAGGCCACTCTCAAGGAGAAAATCCTTCAGATGGACCTGGTTGGCACAGCCCTTGTTCTAGGTGCTGTTACATCCTACCTATTGGCCCTACAGTACGGCGGGCAGACCAAGCCGTGGGCCTCGAGTGAGGTAATTGGTCTGCTTGTTGGTTTTGTGGTTCTTTTGGTCGCATTCACCATGTGGGAATATTTGCAGGGCGAGCGGGCTGTATTGATATTGCGACTGATGTGCTCTCGCTCAATATGGGTGAATGCCCTGTATGCTTTCTTCTTCGCCGGTGCATACTACGTTGTCCTCTACTATCTGCCCATCTACTTCCAAAGCATCGAAAACGCCAGCCCCATGAGCTCAGGCATTCGGAGCTTGCCGCTAGTCCTGACTTTCAGCATAACCACCGCTGCCTTGGGCGCGATCATTTCGATGACGCGCGTTGCGACCCCAATCCTTGTTCCCGCCGCTGCCCTTGCAACCGTCACTGCGGGCCTCCTATACACGCTAGATATTGGGACGGGAGAAAGCAAATGGATCGGCTATCAGATCCTTGGCGGTATCGGCTGGGGTGGCGGCTTCCAAATTCCCATGACCGTGGCGCAGAGCAGAACAGCGCCAGGGGACCTGGCGTCCGTGACGGCTATTATATTAGGTATGCAGCAATTTCTATTCCGTCCCCTTTACTCCTTTACAAGAACCATAGCTAACAAATACCTTCGTTTCAAGTCTTCCAAACCCTCGGGGGGGCCTTTTTTGTCGCAGCAGCCCAAGCCGCCTTCATAAACCAGCTTGTCGTGCAATTGCCTACTACGGCACCAGACATCAACCCGGCCACATTGATCGCGACGGGGGCGACACAGCTTCGTGCCGTATTTGACACAGCGCAAATGCCGGGGATCCTCGACACGTATATGGCGGCTATAAAAGTCACATTTGCTCTCGCTATCGGTGGCGGCGTCGTTACGTTCATATTCAGCCTGTTTAGCAACTGGCGGAGGCTTGACACAGCTCCAAAGGGAGCTGTGGTCATTGGGTAAGGGCAACGACTCAGATTGATTTTTAGAGATGCCAAACGATACGATTGTTGTAGCATGCCTGCATGGAGAGTTGATGGGCCAAGCTATTTTTAGGGCCAAACTATGACATGTGCATACAGAGTTCATATGTTGCACCGCATTAATTTGCACCTTGTAATACTATTCCGCGATTAAAAATGTCAGAATATAAATTATCTGCTTGTGCAAAACCCTGTAAATCAAAGATGGGTGATCTTTATTATACATCGTATTAAAACGTTGGAAAAAAAGAACGAAAATCCCAGGTTTTTTCCCTCTCTACTTTCTACTATTTTATGATAAATATAGATAATTTGCGGTCGGATAATTGAAACATTGCCCAGGTGCTGTTGCAAGGCAGACTTGTGGTGATTGGCAGATATCTACGGAGTAATTAGGGCCAAAAAAAAGGAAGCGCCCTGTGCTCAAATAAGACAGGGGCCACAGGTAGTTAAGGGATCGGCTTTCATGAAATTATACGACAGGCAGCAGTGAGAAAAGGAGAGACAGAAATATAAATGAATTTCGTATACGGCCTCCGAGACAGTGCGATATCATGAAGCTGTGCAGATCTTCGAATTTGCATTGAAGGCTCGTCATGCAGAGCTTGGTCAGGACAATTATTCTTCCTTTGTATAAGTGGAACCTATCTTATCACTTGCCGTGAGTCTAACAATAAAGGAATGGAAAATTATACATGGGCTGGGGCAATGTTCTGGCTACACAGAGTCGACTCGATGACAGCTTCAAATTACACGTCAAATGTTCGGAGCATTACAAGCGTTCAGTTGGAAATCCTCACCATCGAACTGGCGACGGGTGTGCAAAGGCTTCGAACCATTCTGCTCGCACAGGAGACGGTCCTACAGCGCTGTGAGTTCCATCATCTAAAGTACGCTACGGCTGCTAATTTATGAAGTGTGTTGCTTGATCAAGCCCTCGAGATCTTCAACCTTGAGACATACCCCAGGCCAGGAGCTTCCAGAGCTCACTACAAGAATGGTAATGTCATGAAGCAGATTGATCAGCAAGAGGAAGCCAAAAAGGAAATGGGCACGGCTTTTGACATCTTCAACAGTTTCGTTCCTTCTGAAGACCGTGCTGGAAGCATCGATGAGGTGGATGATGAGGACTTTGATCATTGGATTATGTTTTGGTCTCGATAATTACGGATTGCTCCGTGCGAATAAGGCGAGAAATCAATGTACGAAAGATGTTTAGCAGGCTAGTTCGAATATGAAATATTTTTTATTCCACTTTGGTAGTATGCTGTATTGGTTGCTCTGTATAATACAGGCTATAAGCCAGATCAGAAAAGAGATCAAAAGCCTAAAGCATTCTGGGCAGGCTTTTTTGTCACTTAGGAATCGATGAACGATGCTCCGCTGATTTAAACTACATATATAGATATAATCACCCATAACATAGGTGACAAACAGAGCTATCAACATTTTGTATACATACTGTAGTGGGGTGCGCTGGTAATTGGCGCGCCGTAATGTCTGTCTGCGAACTAGACAAAATCAGTGCAGGTTGTTGAGTAGCAGAGGATAGGAGAAGGAAACCCAGAGGTAGTTGGTCGAAGAAAGGTGGGATACTCTTCTAATCTCTTCAAATTTTGCTTCTAGCACTTTCAAGGTAAAATACACGTATTCAGCATACACCACCATCCTACAGAGTCCCCTCTACAGTATGTTGTCTTATCTGTTTGGCCTGTGCGGCTAGTAGTCAGGTATCGGGTGATAGGTCACATGCGCACTAATTTTGTCAATGCATGAGGCTCTAAGGCTTAATACGCGGATCATATGTTGTGTTGTCCGTTCTGTATATATTGTACCCCACACAACAGAGGTACAGTTGGCAGAGGCCCTAGAAAAACATCTAAAGATAGATATTCCTTGTAATTTAAGGCCAGAGGTACGTTCGATATATCGTAATCCATATTTCAACATTACAAACCCTCGCCCCAAAGAATGACCGCCAAGATTCATGCTCGATCAGGTGGTGTTCAGACACAAATAAATGTCGATCTGCCTTACCTTTCTTCGTACAGAGTACCCAGCCCTTCTTGGGTGGTGGCTATGCTGATTGAGGAGCAAATCAAAAATAAGCTAGCTAAGACGCCAAGATGTTCTCAATGCCAGATAAAACCCAAAGATGTCGTGTTGAACACTATATATTTAACCAATAATTCCTTCATTGTAGCGGACCTCACGACAATCTATGTCAAACCAAGCACTTTCTGAAAAAACCAAAACAACCCAAAGCATCCAACTGCTATCTATACTATCCCAAACAAGCACCTTCCAGTCAAATATCACCATGTGTTTCGGCTTATCGCGCTCAAACGAATACTACAACTGTCCGCCCCCGCGGGGCATATATACCTGCTCTGACGCATATGTCCAATATTGGACCGACAGGGATAACGAATCATCCAAAAAGAAAATGCAGCGCCGCTTACGCAGACACGGCCTTCAATCTAGGTCTATGGCTTTGAGAAATGGAGCCACGGGAGGGATGATGGGAGGGGCGATGTGTTAGACTGGGGCATGCCCCCCCCCCTAGGCCCTAAACAGGTACCTTAGTTTTTGTTATGGCTGTATTATTTCCCACATGATGTGATGGTGGTAGTGGTGGGGGTAGAGGAGGTAGTGAATGCGGGGCATGGTGTCACGATCTGACAATCTTCACGTGGAATGCTTTTTTGTTGCTATTGACTGAATAGCTGCAATATTTATTGGCTACAATGTATACAGGCTTTGCACTTATTTAGGATATGATTGAAGATTAAAAAAAAACCCCCCTAGGCAGGAGGACATTAGAGACTCAACTCCCACATTTACTCCTGTGGGAGTAGTCCTATATTAGAAAGGTTAGGTATATAGCCTGTCAACCGTGTAAGATGCCATGACTAGGAAGGGAATATTCGGGTGAAGGATATTTAGGCAGGTGAATATCTGCTTGGAGTGCCCTAAGGAGGGCTAAATAGAGCGGCGAGCCGCCCATGTCCGAACCGTGAGCGCTAGGTGACTACGACCTTATTTATGCTGTTGATATAGGACCATACATCGTCCAGGTCCTTGTTTAAAGGCATATCAGTGGATGAGATTCATAAGATACGATGGTTTTAGCCTTCCTGTGTGACCTTATTCGGGGTGCCTTTATACACAATCTTGTACTCCAACGCTCCATGAAGCATTACAGTTTCATATGTATGCAATGACGCCTACCGTAAGTTCCAAAAAGGGTGCTATATTCCGAATAATCATTTAGGAAATTGTTGTTTTCAACAAAGACTACTCCAAGCGTCTTACAATTATTCGAGGTAACTGCTACACAGTATTTTTCAGAGGAAAAGATAATGTATAGGAACAGCAGCACGAGATACTCGAGGCGATAAGCATGTGGTATCAGTATCAGTCCTTCAGCACATGGGTATTGAAATCTTCTATTGTATATCTCTATTGAACCCTGCCCAATAATATTTATTGACCGCTATTTACCATTGTCCAAGCCATATCAGTCATGCTTGAAGCCATTTTAAAAGTAATCAGGACATATTCTCCTAATTTTCAGAAATTTGCTCTCTTTGACTTATGGTAGTTTTCCTGGTCAAAGAGTCCAATTTCTAAGCTTCGCATGACCCCAATGTTGGTATAAATTCATGTGCCGACTACCTCGCATAAAGTGAATACATATGGAAGGGGTAAGATCGCCATCTGTTCTTAGTGTATGGAGTCCACCCACAGTCTTGCGATTTGCAGGGAATGATACAAGCTTTAGAGCCAATCCTAATGATACATGTATGCCAGGGCCATTTCTAATTAATTTTTGTCCTCTCATATGCTCCTCTAGGCATAGCGTATTAAAATCGGAAGTTCTTCGGAGTCCGAAAATAATCCATGGCCCATGCTTATCTAGTGCTTCTGCTATCATCGATGAATCATCGAGTTTTCTATCCACAGGCTCTCTCGTTGTTGCCTTTCCCAGCTCCTCCCCATAAATTAACCCCCTCTTGCCATCCTTATATACTGACTAGGTGATCAGATACCGAACATATCGTAATTTTGAGGAGCTATCCGGAGCCCGACGACCATTACGTATGTAGATGACGCTTGTTTTTTTGTCTTCGACGTTTTTCTGGAGCTAGGGTCGAGTCCTCGGGGAAAAGAAGAAAGAAGGAATTAGAAAACCACATGATCCTGTCACCATGTGTGGCCTCGGGCCTCCAACAGATTGCCTAGCACTTGACTACAGCAGCCAACAGAGGAGAACTCCAGGGCTCAGGTCAAGCCAGAGCTTCCAAATCAATAGATAAACTATGCCGGCTTCACCATTCAAGCGCTGGTACTTAACGCTCGGTTCCGAATTTGGCGGCCCGCAGCTCTCATTGATTGGCGTATTACCGGCTTTCAACATCCTTGCAATGGGCGAAATCACGAAGCTCGTTCGATTTAATTCTCAAAATGACTACCGTGGCTTTTTTCTTGGAATTCTTGCGGGAAGTGACCGGGCCCGTCTATCACTCATTCCCGTCTGTCTTTCTTACATACTCACTCCTCTTGAGATAAGCGCAGTTTTTCCTTCTTCTCACCTCTGATAATTCATTCTGTCGAAATTTTCGTGAATTTTTGGCTTCTCACACTATGGCCCTACCTGAAAAGCCGGGCTTTCAAGTAAGCCGTGTTCCTGCGACGGAGGAAGGAGCTCGCACTATATGGGATATCGAAATGGCCGCGCAGAATGACAGCAATAGGAAGAATAATAGCCCAATTGGAGCTTTGCTCTAGCCAGCTCATCTTCGGCCTAAAATTGAAGCCCCAGAGAGATCATCGGATGGAGAAGATGACGAAATGCGCCGCATGGTCCCGATGCTTGGAGATCCCAAGAATACATACCTGCTGATAACGGAAGAAGCCACCAACAAGGCCATAGCGTTTGTGTGGTGGGCTCACTGTAAGGGCCAGATGGCAGCCCAGTGGGCTGAGGGGTACAACAACCGATATCGCCCACCGACTATGAATGGTGCCTTGATGGATGCTACGGGAGGAGCACGTTATCTGAAGCGAGCGAAGCTGCTTGAGGAGAAGGACTTCATCCGTAAGTTGCCCTATTATAGCCACTGATTAAATACAAGTATCATGACTGACGATTTGAATATGGCAGAGTTGAAAGAATTATATGTTCTTCCGGACTATCTGCGTCAGGGGCTCGGAGGCCTGCTAGTAGCGGTTGGTGTTCATAAAGCAGATGAGCTTGGCCTACCTGCTTATACTGAGGCAAGCCCAGAAGGTTTAGGTTTGTATATCAAGCATGGAGTTGAAGAGGTGGATCGAGTGACAGTTGACCTGGAGCAATGGGGTGGCCCGAAAGGGGATTTCAATTCCTACGGGCTTTTGTATCGTGAGGTCAGCTTGGTTAGTTGACAGATGAATCTCGAAGCGAAACGTCCAAAGCAGTATGTAGGGTCTGAAACTCATTTATCGCTCTGCCTGTTGCACACGAACCCTTGAATTAATTGCATGTTATATTTCTCTCCACTACCACACTCAGTACATACGACCATAGGGTGTGGAAAACAGGGCTTCCCGTCCGCTCAGCCGTACTTAAGCCACACGCCGGTGAGTTAGTAGTTGGGTGGGTGACCACCAGCGAATCCTCACTGTTGTATGTCGGTATTTACCCGTTTTTTTGACTCGTTGGGAAATACCCTCTTACCGCCCTACTTTTCAGTCCATATTATTAGAAGTCATAGAAACAGATCTAGGATTACGAAGTATCTGCCTATTTCACTTGGTTGTTAAGTAGCAAAGCAAGGTTATTGACACTGGTGTACGTGTGAGGATGCTCGTGTCACATATATAGCAAGAGCTTGCTCCTCTTGAGAGGTGAAATGCTGTGGATTGGCGGCTTATCCCTGAAAGAAGGCTTGTTATTGGCCCGCCGCTGCAAGGTGGACGCGGGGATCCTGGCTAATCTCGATTGAATAACGTATAATTTCCGAGTATGACGTTCATTGGCTAGGGACATCGTGGTTTAGCACAATATACTGAGACGTATCTCCTACTTGAAATGGGACCATTCAGGTTACGAAAGGGCATAGGAGTATGAATACTGCAGATTACGCGAGTAGCAGCTACGATTCAAGAAAACGGAATGTATGCTCAATGAGTTCTTGAATTTTCCCGAGTAAGTTATTAAGCCTGTGTTACGCCCATTGTGGACTATGCATTGACAGTCTGGCATGACCCACTTTAGGATAAAACTCACCTATGTCACTTGAATATAGTTTAAACAAGTATGTTCATCTAGATTCTATCCGCTTTCTGAAAAGTAGCAACATCGGCACTAGAAGTGGAAGCCTATATACTTCTCACATATCTCTGCCTTTATCACTGAGTGTAGCACACCATAGTGAGACGACATACTCTTACCCAGGATCACCCTATTTGGAGCACACTGGTATGTGCCCGGCATCGTAGAAACGCCATATACTACACCATTTACATCATTCTCGCCGTCTCAATAGTATCCAGCGTAGTTCTAAAATTCGTTCAGTATATAAAAGAGCCCCAATCACCTCATGGTATTGATCGACACATGTATGCAGGCCCTGAGCGATTCCTGTTCTATTACTTATACGGCACTTCACGCCAATTGATACATGCACGTCGCGTCTCATCATTGTATGAGCACAGTAGCTGGAGCCTTCCATATCGATTCAAAAAAGTAAATCTTTTATCTGGCAATCTGGTAAAATGTCAAATTCCTCTGTGGCCCGCTGCCGCCGTGTCTGAGTGATGATCTAAGGGCTTGCTTTGTACATGCTAAGTAGCACAACAAGTGAAATCACTGGTCTATGCTCAAGCACCATAATGGACAAACTGTGCCCAATGTAACGGCCGTTTTCGATAATCAACACTCGTCGAAACGGCCAAAACCGCTTTATGAAGTGCCATCGCGACGTCTCTGTCAGTGTACTCGAGATCGCCGTTCCGACAAAGCTCAGCATAGAAGGATCTCGCAACCTTCTGACACACATTGTCACCAGATGGCCACAAAGTTCCAATGACGTGTCTGAATCCGGCGACCTGGAAACCACTAACAACATGGATGACCTCGTCTACAAGGAGTCCTATCTTAGTCTCTGCTGTTGAACATGCAGAGAGGTAAGCAATATCCCCATACGCAGAGTGGTTTTCGCAGAGCTTAAGAACACTTAATATGTCCTGTCTTGGACTTGCAGTGGCGGTCTGCAATACAAGGCCACTCTGAGAGGGGTCAAGCAAGTCTGAAAATCCATGGCAAGCAAAATGGGCAATTTTGCATTCACGAATCTGGCGAAGAACGCTTGTGGAATCCGGTTGGTTGAGAACTTCCACATGGACGGAATTTCCAAGTGCTCCTAGGACTGTGGACTTCTCGGTATCAACACCGGGTAAGTCATCAGCGCCTGGTGTTTTTGGCATGGTAACTATGAGTAGTTTTGCGGGGCTTTCATTCGATAAAGCAGAGATAGGAGCCCGTTCTCTGGAGTGTAGGAGTGCCTTGATCGAAGGGGCGTAGGAAGATAAAATACGACAGAATGTATTGTGTCCTGTATAGATATCACACGCCGCGTGAAATGGGAAAGAGCTAGTAAGTCCAGTCCCAATCCACCAGACCCTTGGGAGATCCTCTAGAGATGATTGAACCGAGTGACCGAGGTTAATAAGAATAGGATTCACGCACTCACGCCAGAGCCAGGCTAGAAATTGGTGGTATACTTTATTCTTCACACCATATTCACTAGCCGAAGCCGAAGTTAACGTCTGGTCAGCCCAGCTCTTAACTTGGGCTGCACTGAATCGAGGAAGAGAAACCAAGCTAAATCCGGCTGAACAGACAATAATAGCATCACTTCGTAGGCTAGTAACATTCACCACGACAATGCTGCCTTTATTAGAAGCATTCTGCATTTGCTTGATAGTCAGACCCCGTTGAAAGGATTCGAGGCCCGGGAGATTTCTTATATCCTGTATACACTTTTCGAGCTCTTCGGTGGCCGATCGCCGTCTTGCAAAGATATATTTATCTGTCCACTGGGAATCGGCGTTCTTAACAGTAGTATTTACCTCAAGGCGAAGGCGTTCGTAATGTGCACACACAGCTGGATAAAGCTCTTTTAATTTAGATATATCACTGCGCTTATCCATAAGAAGGCCAAGGATGACACCACGTCCACTCTCTAATAATCGTAAGCCTTCGAAAACGGGTCGACCAACTTGAAAAGCAAGAGAGCAGGCTTGTGTTGCGAGGCCAGAAATATGAGAGACAATATATTGGCGATCCTGCAGACTTGGGGATCTTTCATGCACAAGCTGCAGAATATCAATTGCTTCAACAGATAATATATAGCCTCCAGTATAGTCCTCTTGCCTGAGGAGAAGACGAAGAGCTAGATGAGCAGCTTTGATTCGATTCAAAGGAGGGGCTGACGTAATCTTGACCGCCTGGCGAGACACCTTAATTGCTTCTTCGAGGTCTTCTATCTGCTCCGTCTGTTTATATCGGCTTTCAAGTTTTATTGCGAGGTTATTTAACCGTCCAGCGAGCCCAGGATGATCATTAGGAGTAATCTGAACAGCCTGGCGAGACACCTGAATTGCCTCTTCAAGATCGACTATTTGTCCTGTTCGTTTGTGTTGACTGGCTAGATTGGTTCCGAGGTTATCTAACCATCCAGCAAGATCGGGATGATTATTGGGAGTAATCTGAACAGCCTGGCGAGAAACCTGGATCGCCTCTTCAAGGTCGACTATTTTTCCTGTTCGTTCGTATCGACTTTTAAGCTTGGTCCCAAGATTATTGAGCTGTTTTGCAAGGTCTGGATGGTTATCAGGAGTGGTCTGGATCGCCTGACGAGACAATTGAACAGCTTCTTCAAGATCGTATATTTGTCCGGTTCTGTCGTAGCGAAGTTCGAGTTTATTTGCGAGGTTATTGAACGATATTGAAAGGTCAGGGTGATTATTTGGAGTTATCTGAATCGCTTGGCGAGACAACTCAATTGCCTCTTCAAGGTCTCTGACCTGTCCTGTTAGTTCGTGTCGAAGCTCGAGTGTGTTTCCGAGGTTCTCGAATGCTCCTGCGAGATCGGGATAGCTCTTAGGAATTATCTGAGCTACCTGGCGAGATACCTGAATTGATTCTTCGAGGTCATCTGTTTGTCCTATTCGCTTAAACCGAATTGCGAGCTTAATCCCGAGGCTACTCAACCGTCCTACAAGATCAGAATGATTCTTAGGAGTGATCTGAATCGCCTGGCGAGATAACCGGATAGCCTCGTCAAGGTCATCAGTTTGTCCAGTTCGCTCGTATCGACCCCCTAGTGTGTTTGCGAGGCTACTCAACCATCCTGCAAGATTAGGATGATCATCGGGAGTGATTCGAACCGCCCGGCGCGACAACTGGATAGCCTCGCTGAGGTCGTTTATTTTTCCCATTCGCTTATAGCGATTTTTAAGCTTAATTGCGAGATTGTTCAATCTTCCTGGAAGATCAGAATGGCTATCAGGAGTGATCTGAACTGCCTGGCGAGAAAGTTGAATCGCCTCTTCAAGGTCTCTGACCTGTCCTGTTAGTTCGTGTCGAGACCCGAGTGCGTTTGCAAGGTTATTCAACACTGTTGAAAGATTGGGATTGTTCTCAGGAATTATCTGGGCCGCCTGGCGAGACACCTGAATTGATTCTTCGAGGTCATCTGTTTGTCCCATTCGCTCGTATCGAATTGCGAGCTTAAACCCGAGGCTACCCAACCATTCTGCAAGATCAGAATGATTCTCAGGAGTGGTCTGAACCACCCGGCGAGATAACTGGATAGCCTCGTCAAGGTCATCGGTTTGTCCAGTTCGCTCGTATCGACCCCCTAGTGTGTTTGCGAGGCTACTCAACCGTCCTGTAAGATTAGGATGATTCTCGGGAGTGATTCGAACCGCCCGGCGAGAAAGTTGAATCGCCTCTTCGAGGTCATCAGTTTGTCTAGTTCGCTCGTGTCGGCTTTTGAGTGTATTTGCAAGGATTTGCAACCCTATTACAAGATCAGGATCTTTATCGGGAGTGATCTGAACCGCCTGGCGAGAAAGCTGGATTGCCTCCTCGAGATCATCTATTTGTCCAGTTCGTTCATATCGCCTTTCTAGTATGATTGCGAGGTTTATCAACCGTCCTGCAAGATTAGGATGATCATCGGGAGTAATCTGAACAGCTTGGCGAGACACTTGGATAGCCTCTTCGAAGTGATCTCTTTGTCCAGTTTGTTCATATCGCCTTTCTAGTGTGATTGCGAGGCTTATCAACCGTCCTGCAAGATTAGGATGATCACCGGGAGTAATCTGAACAGCTTGGCGAGACACTTGGATAGCCTCTTCGAGGTCATCTCTTTGTCCAGTTCGTTCATATCGACTTTGGACTTTATTTGCGAGGCTTATCAACCGTCCTACGAGATTAGGATGATCATCGGGAGTGATTCGAACCGCCCGGCGAGAAAGTTGAATCGCCTCTTCGAGGTTATCAGTTTGTCCAGTTCGTTTATATCGTATTTCGAGTGTGTTTGCGAGGCCATTCAACCGTCCTGCAAGATCAGGATGATTATCAGGATGATTATCAGGATGATTATCAGGATGATTATCAGGATGATTATCAGGAGTGATCTGAACCGCCTGGCGAGAAAGCTGGATTGCCTCTTCGAGATCATCAGTTTGGCCAGTCCGTTTATATCGCTTTCTAAGTGTCTTTGCGAGGCCGTTCAACCTTTCTGCAAGATCGGGATGGTTTTCGGGGGTGCTCTGAACAGCTTGGCGAGATACCTGGATAGCCTCTTCGAGGTCATCCGCTGGCCCCATTCGCTCGTATCGATCTGCGAGCTTGATTTCCAGATCCATATCTTCTCAAATGTACTTCCTTCAAGATTGGTGGTCAGAAAAATATTTTTGGACTGATAATGTGCCTAGTGGAGCATGCGCTCGTCAACACAGACTCACCAGGCGAAATATAATAATTACCCATAGCCTGAACGCATAAACCGCCGCATCCTTCGTTCAGCACTTACCCTCCATTCAGTAGCCGCAGGTGGAACCCCGGTTGGATGTCTAAATATAGCATACCATTGCTCGTACGCTATGGAAACAGATCATTTAGGCTGGAAATCTTGTTGGCCCAGCACTTAGTGCGTGCTGCATGAACAGATGTAATGACCTCGGCCGCCCTGTGGGGTTCCCAATCAAATAATGCCACGTCGTCCTCTCTCCCCATCTGTCAATATTTGCGCATGACAGCGGTCAGTGCAGCGGTTAGCCATAGCCTTGCCTCGTCCAAAATCTCTCTACATTTATGTAGACTTACAAGCGTCCTGTAAGTTATATACTCAGCCTTGATAATCAAGAACGATCAGTCACGTCATAGCGTGGCCGGTCCCTTATTTGACAACTTGACCCACTTTGCCACGTCGCCAGCTATCTGTCTTCATATTTCCTCTTCTGATCCAATCTGCTCTATCTTATTCGTACCACAACAAATATTTGATTGACTTCACCATGCGCAGTAACGTTCTTCTCCCGCAGTTCTTCCTACCTTTATCTGCTATTAAGCTGGGTCGTTTTGTAAAGAGTATCGATGAGCCTCACCGAGATTACTATGATCCCAGACTGAACAAGGATCTCAATATTCTTGAAAAAGTTGTATCCTAGTACGAGGGCACCGATTCCCTTTGGGCAATTTTGCCTCGGAGCTTACCGCCTTACTCTCCTGTACCCTGTCAAGTTGTACGAATGCCTCGATTCACATTAACACGAAACAAGTGAAGACCTATTATTTGGACAACCATAGGGAATGGTTTCGGGATATCGTGAGATTAGAGGATGTCCGGAAGTGGATTGAACGAACTATCGATGAGGGAGAAGATATATATATTGTGTGTTGGATATAGACTTCCGCACCGGCCCACAAAGCCCAAAGCCCAACCCGACCCAACCCGTAAATAGGCCGGGTTTTGGGCCCGGTCCTTAGGCCTATCGATTGGCTATGGGCCCGGGGTGAAAGCCCAATGGGCCCCAAACAATGCAAATATACTAAGTTGAACCCCCTAAAAGGGTTTTTAGAATTACCCTTCGTTTTACCCCCGTTTTACCCCCGTTTCTAACCCTTATTCTGAAGGTAATATTTTATTAGTTTAAATTGTTTAAAATCAATTACTAGTTATCTCTCTATATCACGTTTAAAAACGCGAGAAAACGCGTTATTTAGATAATTTATAAATTACAGAAGTTCACGTAGAAAGTAGTAGTATTCCTATGCAAACCCAAAATATATATCTCACCAAAACGTTAAGATTAGCCTATTTTCGGAGTATCTCGACCTCTACCGGTTGGATTTTATTCAAGATTGAAATATATACTTATATAGCTAGTAAAATTCTGAATTCTGAATTTGAACTTTCTATACCCAGTGTAAGGTCGTAATACAGCGATTACAGAGGCCGATAAGATGGGCTTTAATGGGGGCCTCATGGGCCCCCATTAGTGGGCTACGGGTTGAGTCGGGTTTCGAAGGTTAGGCCTATAGCTCACTGCGGGTTGGGCTTTGGGCCTAGGGTGGGGGCCCATTTGTGGGCTTTGCGGAAGTCTAGTTGGATACCCGTGTCGCCGAACTTTCGCGAGAACAAAAGCTGCTAGATGGAAATTTAGCCATACCATTCTCGAGTGCGCTGTTGGTATTAGGAGTGTTTGTACTATTTAGTGGACTGACTGATCCCAGACTAGCTGGGTCTACCTAGTGGATAAGCGGAAGATTTGTAACGTCAGTTTGTGGCCCAAGGCGAGCAAATCATCGCGGTGCAATATCGCAGGGTACGATTTCGGTTTTTCTCAAGCAAAAGCGTTGACAGTGCAACGCTTGCTAAAGAGGCGAGATAGGAAAGGTATGACCGCCCTCGTTACCTTCAAAGCGATATGGAAGACATGAGACAGGTCGCGCTGGATGATGATTTGTCACTCAAAGGTGACCGTGAGAAGCATTTGGCGGGGTCTGAGAAAATAATCTTTTCGAATGTTGGTGATTTAGAATAGTGTTTATGGCCTCCTGATGGCAAATTCCCAGCATGTGATAGATTTTTACTAGCCTATATGCAATAAGTGGTAGCGGAATATGAAAGCTTTGGTACGCATCTTACTCGTGACTAAGCGGGGTTAGAGTAACAAAGCGAAGCTGGAGGGATGAAAATGGACGGGGAAAGGAAGGATACTTGTAGCTTTTTTGGTCATGATAAAAATGTACCTTTTACTGTGCGGGCTGAATATTCGGGTGAGGAATATTCAGGTGGGTGAATATCTGCCCTGAGTGCCCTGAATAGAGCGGCGAGCCGCCCACACCTGAACCGTGGGCGCTAGGTGACCACGGTCATACTCTCGCTGTTGTATGTTTTTTTTGTTCTTGCCTCTATTTCATCTTTTTGTTTGTTGGTGGTTGGTGGCGGAAAATGGAGAAAGGTCGAGCTGCGTCATGCGTTAAGGGTGATGTTGATGAAGAGGAGGCGCCGGCGGCTTCGTCCGTTAAATTTTGTGTAGCACATTTAGATGATAGCCCGTGTGTTACGATCGACTGTACCAGATAAAATGGTACCATGATGGTAACAAAATAATTATGCTAACCGCGTAGTCTAGATGCAATCGCGTACCTGAAAAATGTCTATATGATTTACCTCCCCTCAAAGCAAGTCTTCTATCCCAACACCATATCACTAGACAACCTTCGCACTTCAACAAAGCCATAGAATCTTATTCGGTTTGAACTTTGAGCCACCACCCGGGCATTTAGTTATCCAAACAGTCTCTCCCGACTCATCAACAGAGAGCAAACAAGCCCTAATACGCCAGCCACAAGTGGTATGATAAAGGCCCTTGCCATCGCGGAGGTTATTGCTTCAATAGCTGCAGTCCGTAAGTCACTACTGAGCTTCTCAAACAGCATGCTCTGGGATCCAGCAACAGCACTTCGAATTTCAGATTGACTGAATCCCTGACCTGCCAAAACACGATTCAAGTTGCTGATGGCGTTTGATTGGAACGCTTGGCTGGCAATAACAAGACAGATGACCGTGGCTCCAATCTGCGCAACATTCTGCAAGTTGATAGCGCTGAGAGCGTCGGTTGGTTTGACTTTCAGGCTGCCCACGGAGTATCCTAGCTGCATAGTGATTCCGGTTCCGACTCCCATCAGGATACTAAAACCGTAGATCTGGCTAGTTGGTGTCGAAGGGGAAAGGTATCCCACGAACAACGCACCAGCTATAGTCATAAGGATTCCGGAAACCAGACACATAGGCATGTAATACTTTATTTTGGGAAGGGCCGAGCCGGAAGCAAGGTTGAACGCGATAGTGAACAGGAGGTAGGGAAGAAGTCTGACTGCGGCCATGAGGGATGAATCGTTCCGTGTGAACTGGAAGTAGATCGGGATGTAGAATGTGGTAAAGAACATGCAGGTGTTGGCGCAGGTGGTGGTGATATAGAATAAGATTTGGGTTCGAGATTTAAGCAGGTGTCCGGGAAATGATCTTTGTTCGGGGGTGGTAAAGATGCAGAAGGTCTGCTGTAGTGCGTAAATAGCAAGTAGAACTCCCCATACCACAAGCATTGCAATGGTACTACCCTCGTTCCACTGCCAGATTCCACCGGCAAAGATGAAGCCTATCGCAAATGTCGCCCACATCGCTGCGCTAAGCACGAATCCAACATAGTCCAGACTAAGAATTCGATCTTTGAGTGGTCTTCCAGGAGCTGGATGAATGGCTGGAAGGTAGAACAGGTAAACAGGAGCTGTGATAGCACCGATGATAAGATTGATATAGAATCCCCATCGCCAAGTGGCAGATGAATCCGAAAACCCGCCACCAACCACAGGGCCTAGGATCGCTCCTAAACCCCAGACAAACCCAGTGCCAGCGAGATATGCCCCACGCTCATTTCGAGTCGTCATGGCCGAGATGTGGCTCAGTCCTCCTAGATAGATACCAGTTCCTCCGGCACCGGCAATCACACGTCCCACAATCAGGGCACCCATGTTTGGAGCGCCACCACAGAGAGCAGACCCGCCCTGAAAAAGGACAATCCCGGCAATGTAGAGCCATTTCATGTTGAAAGTGGTAAAAAGAAATCCGTAGGGCAAAATGACAGCGACTGATCCAAGAGGGAACCCGGCCCCAATCCAGGCGAGTTGGTCAACTTGGCCAAACCTCTGAATTACCGCCCCTTGAACGTCCGCAGCGATCGTTGTATCCAGTCCATACATCAATGCTGAGAGGTAAAGAGCAGCGCAAATTAGAAACCATCGATAGCCCGTGATTTTGCGTACATCGTTGTCGCTGACGCCCGGATCACTGGAGTGGTCCTTTTCGTTGGGTTGATGGAGGTAGTCTTCGCTTACTTGGCTCACGTTTTGGTTCTCGATGGTCGGTGAACATGCTGTGTTTTGTCCAATATCTCCGACACTGTCTGAGGTAGTAGACAATATTGTGGTCATGGTAGAAAGTTGATAGCGTGCCAAGCTATTAGGTGGTGAGTTGAGTGACCTGGTTGTAGTTATATCTGAGCACACGCAATGAAAAATGCTGCAACAATAACAGTAGAACAAAAGAAGAAGATAAAATAGAGGATATTTCACGGAAATAGGAGTTAATGAATTGCACGATATTAACGCCGATGAATTTGAAGTGTTGGTATATGTTAGTATAAACAAACCCGATGATTGTCGGCCGAAGTTATCAGGACCCTCTCAGAACCCGAAAGGTCTCAACTCGATTGGTACACCCTAGTTGCCGATCAATTTCAATTAAGGGTCCTTAGTCTTTATCAGTCATGCTAGCTCCAGGGTTTCGCGGAAATAATCGGTCTTAGCTTAGACTATAGTTGTATGATTGGTACATCATATTTGGTATCGCCGACGGTTTGTAGTCAGGATAAAATGATCAGCACCTTCATGGGGCCTCGCAATTACACCTTGTACCCAGGATATAAAAACTTGTAGTCATCCTGCACTTTGCATTCAAGGGAGAGCCCACAATAGCAGGTTTCTTTCTATATCTTCCATGTGTATCGCCATGTTCATCAAGCCAAATGTTTTTGAAGTCTACCGTGGAAAATGTGTAATAGCGGAAATTTGATTTATACTGTAACATATGTACGATGTAATCATGTATTATATCTTCAAACAGGACGAACACATCTCCCAGTGTGATCTTCTACAAAAACTAAGCCCCGATGGCCTCCTCCGCAATAAACCAATACTCGATCGCGCATCCATCAGTTTCAACATACTAATGCTCTTTCCAAAGGATGCATTTAGCCATGCTCTGAATCTGCAGGCAGCAAGCTGTCAATACCATGGTCAACTACAGTGTGAGTTTCCTTCGCCACAGATGGGTCGATGAACAACATGCCTGCTACTGTGGTCCTGATAGCATCAGTGACAAGTGTCACCACCGCCTTTAGAACCTCTTCTTTGTCCTCGCCATTTCCAATTTTCTTGATTGATGCCTCAAACTGCCGGCGGAGTTGTACAAAAAGAATGGGGACTGGAAAACAGGGTCAGGTGACCCCCGATTCTAACACGTCCTCCATAGGACCGACTCGGAACACCAAGCTGATTCCTTTTGAAAACCCCCTATTTAACTCTTTCAAAATGACCACTCACACCCTCTAGAGATAGAGATCGGAATTGACGGCTGTTGCAACAGCATGTGTATCTGGCATCTGGCATCTAGCATAGGCATCGTACTCTGACATCGGACACTAGTAACTATGGGGCGTATCAATTTTGTCGTTAGTAGAATAATTTATGAAATTATTTATCCAAGGTGGGATGCTATGGTTGTTACTGAGTCAGTTCTAGCTCTTGCCCTAGCTCTTGCTCTGGTGTGTATGTTGTTCTCAAAGGATTCATAAGGATCGTAGGATTCATACGGTGAGAAACAATTACTGTTCTTATGTCGCGACAACGGTTTGAAAGGTACGTGAGTGCACGCATTGGCGTGAAAAACTCGAAATTCGGAGCTAGAATGGAGCTGGCGAGCTGTCAAATGTTCAATAAAATTGTGCGCCAATAGTGCATAGCACGTTGATATTGATAAAAATGCAAGATCGGCGCGAAAAGAAGAGTGTGCTCTCTGCCCCTAGGCTTTCGGGAGAGTGTGGAGTACCGAGGTGGATACCGGGTACGGGTGGATACCCAGGCGCCGGGGGTAGCTTAGGTATGTAGGTACCTATCTTAAGTATTCCAAGGTTAAATATGATAAAAGTAAGGTGCTCGGGACAAGTAAGTGGATGAGAAGCTAGGAGAGACCAGCACAGCTTTATTCAGACTGCTAACTGCTGAATACTAAGGGAGAAAGAAGAAGAAAAGGGCTGGCAGTCCTGGAAAACATGGTCAGGTGACCACCCATCCTAACAGAATATCAAACCTAATGATGATAGTGAATCATTGCATCTGAAAGTTATCATCTTGCTCGGATTTTATAGGGGTAGATCTCCGGCTGAAGGAAGACATAACATCTATGTTGTTTGTGCTCTTCGAACTATCTTCGCCACCATCGGCAAGCTTGTCAGCCCGTATGATTTGATCGGCAAAGCGTCGCTGGGTCTCATTCAGTATACAAAGGTCGAATCCCCGAAGTTCCCCTCGCAAATTCAGTCTTTTCTGGTTATGATCGATGTCTTTCATATTTCTGTTCACCGGCTCGCTAGGGACTGACAGTGGTGATGTACGATCCAGTCTAGATGGGTCCGTACTTGTAATGTGTCAACAAACTGTTTTGACATCATAGTTGCATGACACCTTCTAACATATGCTTGTCTCACTCCCACGTATTGAAAATAGCTACTATATTGGAGTAAACTAACGGGGTGATTGTGAGACAATAAGGAGGTTGGTGCCAAGTAATGCCGTTTGGGGGCCGGGTATGTGCCTAGATAATCTCCCGCCTACCTCCGTACCTCCAGGGCTAAACTCCTCTGACTTGCGTCAGCCAATTCCTACTCTTTATTTGTTACATCTACTTGCGTTCGCCATGCAAGGCCGAAAACGTCGTGTCAGAACGTGTTATCCTTGCTATACGCGTAAACAGAAAGCGAGTGCGACCGGACTCCGATCGTGATGCAATGCTGATTTGGATTGTTTGTAGTGCGACCGCCAATATCCATGCAACCATTGTACCCGCCGTCGCCGACCTGAAGAGTGTGTCTACGATTCTCCGCCGGTGAATGTGCCCTCCTATTCGTCAGTCCCTGCAGATCAGCTAGGGACCCAACCACCTCGACCGGTAGAGAGCGCACGGCCCATGCGAAAACCAGCCATGGATGACTCCGAATCTCACTGCCCCAAAGAGCATTGTGCCCTAGCTCGATCCTTTGGCTATTCTGAGGATAGCAATTCCAACACAATGGCTTTGCTCCGAAGGGTGAGTCTCGTAGTATTGCTACCCTTATGGTATTATTTAGACTTAATTCAACCTCACAGCTAGAATTGCCTGATCAAACTGATACAGAGCAAACGGATGCCTTATCCTCTACTTGGGACGCCATTCACTGTGAGCTTGATCTCATGCCTGAGCGCCAAATCATCGACTTTCTTGTGCAATATTTCGTTTATGAGTTGAATTGGTAAGCCTGTTTAGTTATCAGTTTTGCTTAGCAAGATTGCTTAGCTCTCTCGTTCTAATCTCTACCGTTGGCTTAGGATGAAGCAAGTCATTCACGCTCCCAGCTTTTTGACAAATTACCAGCTGTGGTGGGCAAAGGATAAAATTGCGGAGGTTGCCGACGTCGAGTTTGCAGCTCTAATTACTCGCATTTGTTCTTATGCGACACAGTTTTTGCCCTCGCCCTCTCATACCGTTGATCAAATTTGCGGTCGGTCTCTAGCCGATATTCGTGACACATGTAGTAATATTGGAAAAAATCTTGCTACAGCGTGCGAGATTCTCGACTGGAAAGGCACTTTGGTCCGTATTCAACATATCATTTTTGCTGCATTGAAAGTCTCATGTGGAGGGAGGACTGGCCAATTTTGGGAGGGCATAGCTTCTGCATGTCAAGCTGCTCAAAAAGCTGGCATCCACACTAATAATACCATTCTTATTGAATCTCAGCTTGCCAAAGATAGTGCTCAGGAATTGGAAAGAGATATTCAGCGGAGAACTTTTTGCAGTCTTTATGTTTTGGACAGGTACGCTTGGTATCAGTACAATACTGAGATCTTACTATCGATTAACACATCTGAGTGATAGTCATTTGTCCAGACAATTAGATCGGATTCCGTTCTTACCCAATCACTTGGCCGAAGATACACTACCCCGGCTGTGCTTGATCCCAGAGATTGGCCATATACCGGCAGAAACTGCTGCTAAAGCGCCCGACATATTCACCGAACGTCTCATGCAAGTTCAGCTTGGCTTGTTTTGGCGAGGCCTTGGGCTACAGCGTAACTCTGAATTTAACCCGACCGAGAGTGAGCAGAGATATGAGAAGCTCAACTCCGAGTATCTCAGCAACTTACACCCGGCCTTCGCTATAACCTACCCAGACACGACTTTGGATAAGACTCTCCCAAAGCTACCTATGCAAAGACAACTGCTATATATCGCGATCTTCGACTCAATTTGTTGGAATTTCCGCCCTCTCCTACTGCTGAGACCAAAACAAATCGCAAGTTTAGCCCCCTACAAGAAAGTTCTTCTTCAGTCGCAGAAACAGAGGCTAGGGATGGCTGCATTGAAAGTTCTCGAAGCTGTTGCAACCCTTCATACAATGTTTGGGGGCTCCTATACACGATTTTCTGCAATTATCTTCAACTCTTTTGAGCCTACCATTCTTCTGCTTAATCTTTGTTCGCATCCAGATTTCCCATTTGATCAAGGCGACAATAGCACGAACCTCGTGGGAATCAAGGTTAGAATGACATATCAAATAGCAATGCGGGCGGTAGAGCAGGCTATTCATCGTCTTCAAATGTTAGCCGAGCTCAGTGACATGGCTGCATCCGGAGCCCGCGTGGCTAGTCAGCTTTTTGCCAGAATTGTGCAGCTCAAGCAGTCATCTAGTCCACTCGCTCCTACATTGTCTGCTTCTGGCTCTTTAGGGCAACCCCAATTCCCAAGTCCGATAGGGATGTATGGTGAACATGAAAAGTGGCCGTCTTTGGAAGCAGGAGATCCTTATTCAATGCCCGATAATTTTTCATCGATGGCGCAAGAAGACACATTTCCAAATCCCCAGCTTTCCTCTTTAGAATTCCCCATGCTCTGGGGGGATTCATGTTCTAGCGTTGTCTTCAACGAGCCATAAGGATTTGCTGTTGATTATTAATTCTTGGCGTTGGATAGTTTCATAAACTTGAAAGAGAAAATTCAACTTTACGACAGGCAACACGACGGGCGGTATTTCCAATGTCTTTACATCAGGGTTTAGTGATGCACGCATTACATTGTCAAGCCCAATGCCAGTCTAAATAACACCGCAAACAGCTCAGATCAATTAGGGTTGTATACACTTGATTAGCCTATGTAGATATGTAGGCCACCATAGAGCACTTAATTACTTACAGATTACCTAGTTATTTACCATGTGCAGTACATAATAAGGCGGCAAATCAATTTAAAGAAGATGTTTGGCAAGTCATATAATGTAAATTTGATTTCCACTCCACCTTAGTTGCAGGCTACATAGGTTAGCAGTATATAGATACTAGCAAGCAATGTACGCACGCACGGAAGTGGCGTTCTGGGCAAGCCTTCTAGGTTGCGGCTCCAGATGATTCAAGAGTTTCCAACAGCCCAAATGAAAGTGATCGAGGTAGATGTAGGGTGAGTAATTGTGAGGGTGTAAGTGATCGCTAATTTCAAAATATGCAGTTAGATCTGTTTGATATATGATCAACCAATGAAGCAGGCTTGTAGCGCTGCGGACCTGAATAATGATAGTCCCTAAGGTTGAACCATCATGAGTCATGTTGATTCACTTGCACTAACCCCAAAAGGGGTTGGCGCGGGCCGGGCGAAGTATACAATCTTGGAATCAATTGCAGTCCACTTAGTATATAATGTTGTTTGTCTCCATTTATTTGGGTCAAATTTAGCGACCTCGCCATCTCAATTGCCACGGAAAATGGCTGAGAAACACCCTATTGAAGATCTACGCGCCCCCGAGGCGAACAGCCTATCAGGTGGCGACAGTGACTCTCGAGCAGATGATGCGAGCGACTACGAGCTGACTGGAATTCCACTAGTCCTAGTCATGACTGGACTTGGCCTGTCTATATTTCTCATGTCACTGGACTCGTCTATCATTGCCACGGCTATTCCCCGGATCACATCACAATTCAACAGCACCAGTGATATTGGCTGGTACGGAAGTGCATACTCGTTTGCGATGTGCGCTTTGCAGCCTGTCGCAGGTAAACTGTTTACAAGCTTTCAGATGAAGGTGAGACAATCTAAAGCTTCCAGTTGATATGAAGTCTCCATTAACAGTATTAGGGCATGTTCCTCGGATGTTTTACCATCTTCGAGCTTGGCTCATTGCTCTGTGCCCTTGCTGTCAACAGTCCTATGCTCATCTTTGGGCGTGCTATAGCTGGAAGTGGGGCAGCAGGATGCTTTACAGGAGCCTTCTGTATTGTCGCAGTTTCTATCCCGCTGGTCAAGCGACCATTCTATATTGGAATCCTTCAGTCAACCTTTGGCGTTGCCACCATCATCGGACCCGTATTAGGTGGTGCATTTACAGAACATGTGACGTGGCGGTGGTGTTTCTGGATAAATCTCCCCATCGGGGCTGTCACCATCATCTCACTGGTGTTCTTCTTCAAGCCGCCTACGCGCGACTCGAGAAAAGCTCCGTCGGTTCTTCACAGACTGCAGAACTTGGACTTGCTTGGCGCCTCTCTTTTCGCTCCGGCCATCGTCATGATATTTTTGGCTCTTCAATGGGGAGGGACTGAACACGCTTGGAAGAGTGCTACCATCATTGGTCTCTTCATTGGAGGCGCGGGTCTTGGTGTTGTCTTTGCTCTCTGGCAAGTACGAAGGGGTGATAACGCCATGATTCCACCACGTCTGATTACTGAGCGCACGATGTTCTTCTCTTGTTTCAGCGAGTTCTTTGCCATGGGTGCCGTGTATATTTCGATTTACTACCTTCCAGAATGGTTCCAGGTCATCAAAAACGCCTCGCCAACAAAATCTGGAGTTATGTACCTCCCTTTAGCACTGTCAGATGTCCTCTCTGCAACCCTGACAGGCGCTTCGCTTAAGTATCTTGGATACCCAAATCCCTATATGCTCCTTGGAACGGGTTTGATGAGCATAGCAACGGGACTCTTCTCTACCTTCTCTCAAACCACGCCCCACCAGCAGTGGATCCCATTCCAAGTCCTCCATGGTCTTGGCGTGGGAATGACCCTCTCAATGCCCTACGTTGCGACTCAAACAGTCCTTGAGCCAGAGGATATCCCTGTCGGCACCTCACTATTGCAATGCTTCCAATTCTTCGGAGCTTCCGTGAATCTCGCTATCGCGGAGGCCATTTTTGAGAACAAGCTTGTCTCACGACTAGAAAGTTGGGGATTTGAGGGCCACGAGGTAGAGAAAATCCTCAGTGCAGGCTCTGCCGAGGCAAGGAATGTGATTTCTGCGGACCACCTTCCAGGTGTATTAGATGCATACAATCACGCGATCACCAGGACGTTCTACGTCGCAACTAGTGTTGCCGTTGTTGCATTCCTCCTTTCACTCGGCATCCGCTGGAGAAGTGTCAAGCCAAAACCCCAGGCTACTATCTCCGATGAGGAGGCTAGGTCGTCAAGTCAGTAATCTTTGGCGGCACTGATTAGCTCAAGCAAAATATGGAGAATGGAGGACTCCGGAATGTGATCCCTGAGGGTATCACAGACAATCACGTTTTACAGCTCAAATTAGTATTTAGAGATTTTTAGAATAATGATGCATAGCTAGCGATTTTTTAATCCGAAAATTAAATTGGTCTTCATTGCACCGTCTGTGCCTCTTTGTCTGACCAAATACATACAGGAATTGCGTTGGCATCATATTAGACGGCTGTTCAATGCCGGCCAATTGATCTATCACTTCGACCACCAATCTGCCTACCACAAATTTCTAGGGTTGGCTTGATTTCTCAGCAATCCGTTGAAACACTGCCGATGCATCTAGGAAAGTCTCCGCCCGATAGCACTTCACATGCCCGGCATCGTCCTTCCGAACAGAGAACACAGCAAATCCGGGAATAGTGATTTCATCCGTATCCAGGGTGTCTCCTTTGACAAGATATCTGATTGTCGCGGCCTGATAGATACGAGGGGCGATGTAGTCAAAATAGCGGATCTCGTGGGTCATCATGTCAAGTTGGCCGAGAACAGTTTTGAACATCTGCCGCACCTCGCTGCCCTTAATCACAGGACTATTCGCATATTGCATCTCCACATCGTCGGTCATGAATTCGTCAAGCCACTTATCGGTGTCGAGGGTAGCGCTCGCTCGGTGGAACTAAGTATCGCTATAAGTTGGTTGTTCTCGGGTTTGCTAGAAGAAAGAGCCTTACCTCTTCCAGCCACTTTAACACAGTGCCATTATCAAGCTCAGGACCAGCTGACATTATGAAATGAAGTAAGGAGGATTTGGGGTTCGAGATATCTTATGATACAAAGTACGAATAGGATTTCAAAGCACGCTAAACACCTAGTTATATACCTACCTAGCCCCCAAAAACTGCTTATAAATTCAAAATCGACTGAACTACCCAAGAGTTCTAATTTCCAGTTTATCTCCGAAGTTTTGGGCCGTGCACATACATCATATCCAATAACAGCTTTATATTCCTTTCTATCGGTAAGGCTAAATATTCATTCCTTGAGAAAATGTGGATCTGCTCATGAACTTTATGGAGTCTCGGAAAAAGGATGTGTGGTCCTCGTGCGTCCTGACCAGCATGCCGTATATGGTGAACTGATAAATGTACAAGAGCCTATAAGGATGGACTTATGCAGAAACCGCCCTCTTAGTTCGATCTAAGATTCAGGAGCACCATCCCCAACCTGGCTTCCGGTGGTATAGTTACCAAAGCATGCCTTCTGGAACTGCGCCTTTTTCTTCAGAGAGGGCACGCCATGCAAGAACTTATCGAGGCGGCAGAAACCATTGCTGGAATTCTCACAACCGATAAGTCCATCTTGCGGGAGAGGAGCATTGTTGAGCACAAATCGAATGTACTTCGTGGTTTTGGTAGTCGACTTGATGCTAGGGTTTTTGTATAGAACAGGGTCCAAATGTTTGAAGGACACATCATGAGGGCAATTCCAGATCTCAGACATGAATCGGGCACCAAAGGGTGTCATCTGGCTGAGAGAGAAGTTGCGCTCAGGCGCATGGTCAATGTGAACGGGCAAGCCCTTAGGACCGTAGTTGAAGTAGTCGAGACCAAGGGCGTTGATTACGGACAATATGATATCATCGTGAGACATGTCCATGTAGAATGGTTGGCCAAATGGAAACTGGGCTTCGTTATTGGTATAGGTGTAGTTGATGCTTGTGTCGCTTGAGGTGATGAGCTTTTGCTCGAGGCGAGCGGCGAGCTCTAGAACATAGCCGATGCCCTGGGCGCGACCACTGGGCGAGCCGTAGGCGTAGTCTCCATAGTACTGCACGTCGATGTTGTACTCGAAGTCCTTCCATTCTTGCTCGCTGAAAAGAGAGCAGAAAGATGAGCCGCCAAGACTGGTGTATTCGTATACACAGAGGTTCTGCATGGCGAGCACATCCATGGTGGTCAGGTTGAAATCGCGAGGGAAGTAGGAAGACAGACGGGTGCGGGCATTCTTTAGGTATCGAGCAATGAAGATCTCAGCAGCATTGTCGCTGTGGTTTTTGTTAATACGGCCTCAATGGTTAGGTATGCACTGATAGAGGACTTTTCACACACCCTTCAGAATAATCAAATGTGCATGTTTCGTAAGAAGCGAGTGTGTTGTTGAAATCGCCCTGCTCGGGAATCACGACAAGATTATACTGGTCGTAAGAGCTGTTGGCCCCACTGTTGCCAAAGAAGCCGCCTAGCCAAAAAGGTTAGCTAGTTATCCGGAACTAATGAATGAGATAAAAGTTCCACTCACTGAGCCACCAACGTGCGCTTTCCAAAATACGTGCCTGGGAGGTAGTGCGAAACACTGGCGTAGGGCGATCTGTGCCGTTGGCATAAACGTTAAGAGAAGGGCTCCAAGCAGCCACATTCTCACGTCCGGCACGATACAACAGTCTTCCGTACTTGATCCAAAAGTCGGCACCAGATGTTGCCTCAGTAGCAGCACCATTCTCCATAAGAGTGTCCTCGCCAATAACATACTCCCAGTTGTTTAGGAACTTTAAAGGACCAACAGCCACGGACTTGTTTGGGTGAGCCTTGCTATAATTGGTCAACTTGGCCGCGAACTCGGTCATTCCCTCGCCGTCCAACGGGTAATCCGTGGGGAATCGCTCCGCATGGCGATGCAGAACGTGGACCTGAGATAATTCACATCCTTGCGGCACACCACTAGGAACGCCGAAGCTATCTGCATCTTTATAGGGGCTGAGATTGGCCCAGCTCTTGGTCATATCAAACCCAGATGCATAGCTAGATCCAGTTGGACCTGGTCCGTGAGCAGACGTGCGAGTCGCTGTAGCTGTAACAGCAGCTGTCACCAGTGTGGCTCCGATGAAGTTCTTCATGGTTGGAACCTCTGGGTCACTTGTGGGGTAGTAGCTCCACGGTTCACTTCAGCCTCTTGTTCTTCGTTGTTGACGTTTGGAGATACCCAATTGCAACTGATCTTTACAGCATAGGTAATTACAGTAGAGATGTGAACTGTTGACTTTATAGAATCTGATGAATTCTCCAATTAAGTTTCGGGGGATTGTTGTTCCACATAACTTGTTTGAGCCCGTGATCGGCACTCTCTCTCTCCTTCCTAGCTAAGTGGCTTGTGGGGTCTTTGCGCAGGATTCCCACCATTCCCACCTTGTCTATAGCGCATCCTTCTCACACCTGGTCACGCGACACTAAACCTCTCACCCATTTCTCACCTAGGTCCAACTCCACTCCTAGCCACACATAAGCCACACGCCGGTGAGTAGTTGAGTGACGAGCGAATCCTCACTGTTGTGTGTTTTGATTGTCCTTTTTTTACCCTTAATCTTTCTTTTACTAGATCCTTGTCAAACTTAAGATGACTAGGTGTTGGGAAGAAGCGAGGTCCTGCATTATGTATGCATTATGCATTACATCGTCAGGTCTAGTGACAATGCAAAGAACGCAGCAAACAGCTCAGATCAATTAAGGATAGATACACACCCTAGAACACCCTAGACTGGCATGAATATGCAGGCCACGATATAGGACTTATTTAATTGGCCAGCTCGCTCTCTGGCTTGGTCTCTATATCAATGTTTGAAATGAGTGTTGGTATGAAAAGTAGCTGCCTTACAGAAGATGATTAGGCATTTCTCCAGGGCTTATTCACCATAAATCAAAAAAGCAAGACCCAGATATGCAACTGCCTCTTGCGCCGTGAACCACCCCTAACAGACAAATCGATACCGTTCCTATAAGTCTAGGACCTCTTCACTAGGACGAGACGACCCTGACACTGATACCTAGCCACTTTCAGCCACAGTGACTTCAATGGAAGGCCAGTAACTATATTACCGTCCCTGGTCGTAATAAGTAATAACGGTGGGTCTCCTTGAGCTGCATGTTCTGCTTGAGCTTGCATCGAAAAGAACATCCAACGTAGCAAGGCAGAGGAAATGGAAAAGTCGAGAATTCTAGAAGATAGTTATCTGCGATTGTTGGGGTGATGTCAATAATTCTACGTGTTCTACGTGTACAGAGAATTATTGGACGCCTAATACTTCTGAGGTTAGCACCGCCAATCTACGTGGGCATAAATGAGCTGTGAGATTCTGGTGGCTCTGTAGGCATAGTTGGGAAACAAATCACTTTTAATATAATAATACGACAGCGTTGTGATCAAGGAAATGCGACATCCACTATGAAATGAAACCCTACTATGATTTAGTCGGAATAGTAGTAGATACTTAACAAGGTTTGCCGAACCTTGAAAGCAGCGACGTTAATGCCTTGTGGATTTTCAAGGAATCTTCTCCAAGCACATAGACAAAAATCTGATCGCCTTGGCCAGATATTATTTGGGTCCAACATCCATGTTGATAGTGATAGTTTTGGCTTCCAAATAACTATTGACAGCCGCAAAGCCACCCTCACGACCTCCATTCCCGCTTTCTTTCCAGCCTCCATAGGGAACAGTGGCTGTCGGGAAAAAGTTGGAATTGATAGCCACGGTTCCAGACTCAAGTCGCCCGGATACTCTTAACGCACGTGCAATGTCGCTTGTGTAGACACAGGCAGATAAACCAAAGTTGGTATCGTTTGCAAGTCGAATAGCTTCCTCTTCAGATTTGAAGGTTTTGATTCCCAACACCGGTCCAAATATTTCTTCCTTCCAAACAGAGGAATCAAGCGGAGGGTTCTGCATTATTGTTGGTTCGACGAAATTACCCTGAATCTTCCCACCAGTGAGAAACTCGACTCCATTCTTCTTGCCTTGGTCAAAAAAGGCCTGGACGCGTTCTGTCTGCGCTTTATCGGCCAACGGTCCAAGAAATGTCCCTTCCGCGAAAGGGTCTCCCGTGGTATTCTTGAACATCTCAAAGCGTTCCTTCAACCCTGCCGCGAACTTTTCGGCTATATCTTCATGAATGAAAACTCTCGTCGCAGCAACGCAGATCTGGCCGGAGTTGAGCAGAAAGTTCTGTGAGGAGTTCTCAAGCGCATTTTCAAGGTCTGCATCAGAGAAGATGATCGATGGTGATTTACCCCCAAGTTCGAGGGTAACGCGCTTGAGGTTACTGTTCGTTGCGGCGACTTGAACTTTGCGCCCTGCCATCACAGAGCCAGTATAACTGATCTTTTTGATGCCCATATGAGAAGCGAGTAGCGCCCCTGTTGATCCAGGGCCAGATATAATGTTGATGACGCCAGGAGGAAACCCGGCTTTCTTCACTAGTTCCCCAAAGGCCAAGGACCCTAGGGGTGATTTCTCTGAGGATTTGAATATAAACGTATTTCCAGCTGCAATAGCAGGCATAACTTTCATGCAAAGAAAAGCCAATGTCGCATTCCATGCGGCAATACCGGCGCAAACACCCAAGGGCTGGTAGCGCACCAGTTTGAATCGTCCATCGCCATCCTCGGGCTGCATCTCCCCGGGAAGCTTGTCGCACCATCCAGCATAATACCGGACAATAGAGCCCAACATTGCTCCAAGTTTAGTGCCAAAGGCAGTCGGCTGTCCCATTGCAGTGCTTTCGAGTTTCATTAGGGAGAGATTTTCCAAATCGAGCAAGTCGGCAAGCTTGAGCATGATGCTTTGCCGTTGGCTGCTAGCCATCTTGCCCCAACTTCCCTCAAATGCAGATTGAGATGCTGCCACTGCATCGTTGATATCCTCTTCCCCAGCACAGTGGACTTCTTCGGTCACAATGGAGTCATCGGTCGGATTTCGAACTGTCCAAAACTCGCCAGATTTGGCAGGGACGTACTAGGACCGATGGTAAGCCATACTGTTAGGAGCAAGGGGCTATTGGTATAAACTATGACATGGCTGAATTGGCCGGGGAGTTCGTAAAGGGAGGAGATTGCTCATATGCCACGAGTAACATACCTTATTGTTGACGAAAAGTTTGGTTTGAATCATGGCGTTTATCACTTTGTTACCGGTTAGTGTAGGGGGAGAGAGGCATCCGCTACTGTCATTCTGCAATTGAGGAATTTATTTCTTAAAAGTGTGTAAAGTGTGTTATTTTCAATGACGAGTTTCAATATATGCACGGCAGAAAGTTAGACGTATCATCTCTGTGGGATATTTATATCCGGCTGGACAAGGTCTAGGTCCAGTTAAAAGGTCCCCGTATTGACTTCATCAACTAAATCTTAAGCTTTTTATCGAGTGACCAGGGTTGGGTTGGGCCCTGGGTTCGTGGGGTTGTCAAAGCCTAGTTAGGTCTTGAACGAGCACGAGGCCTACATAGTATATCCAAATCGCGTCTGAATCCCACAGGCTTTTTCTCCAAACCGCGTTTTAGGTTTTTGATGACGGTACTAGCATCAGAATGACTGATGCTGAATCGCAAGTTAGGTTGTCTATCGAATTGCCACCACGCCCATGAACTGGCTCCGAAAATATACTACCAACTTTTTGAATGGTTAAAGTGACGAAGGCGATATTGGAAAATATATCAGAAAAAAATTGACTGGTTCCGAATGACGAGGTCAACGTCGACAACCAACATGAACATACAATAAGCCATGACGCAACATTTTAGAGAAGCCAACTTTGTTTGGTTAAATACCCGAAGGGTACCCAGTGGTGGGCGGTGGCATGGATACGCTACATTACTTTGTAGATTTGCGTCACAATGGAACTCCCATATCAATAACGATAGTGGAGCACTTGATGCTGGTGGAGTCATTTCGATTTGCCATTAGAGACCATGTCCTCACAATATTGGAAGGTTGTAAGGTTGTTATGTGCCGATAAGAGGGCAAACGGTGTTGTCATGTGACAATGAGGTAGACGATATCCATGGATACTGTGACAAGTGGCGTCACCGATACCCACCGAACTATTGATCGAGCATAAGCCACACCACACGCCGAAGTTAGTGAGTAAGTTTGTAACTGTTACATGAGAAATCTGTTATTTTGCCATTAACCCAGTACAAACCCTTCTCGGATTTCATTCTTATCCTCTTGTTGTCACTTAAGTTCACAATCTAGTTATGTCCAACTATGACAATCCAAGTCAAGCTCATGCCAGCCATTATACCATTAAGACTTCAAACCCCAAATATCACTGCAGTTGAAGATAATCGCGACCCTCGACTTTATCCAGCGCATCGGTAACGCGTGACCCCTCTCCCTCGAACAGCATCCCGTCGTAAGTCGCCGCGCCCAAAATACAGCCGATGATAGGGGCGAAGAGGGGGACAGCAAAATAGTAGTTGGCTGCCGTGAAGACCTCTCGGCCATAGATAATGGAGGAGAACAATCTCGGGCCGAAGTCTCTAGCTGGGTTAATGGCCTAGTGTTGTTAGTACAAACTCCTAACCTGATAAACTGAAAAACATACATAGCCAGTCTGCCAGCCCAATGCCGCTCCAATCATAAGCAGCAGCAAAAAGGAAGCCATCTGTGGAGCGGGGAATCGACGGGTATTTCCCGGATCGGAGATGCTGAGAGAGCCAAACATCAGCACAGCTGCGCCCAGCACCTCGGAAAATACAGCCTCCCAGTTCGACTCGAAGAACGAAGCTGGGTAGGTCGCGAAGACACCCGCTGAATGGTGGCCGATCGGGCTTAGGATTGATCCACCAGGGATTGTATATTCGGGATCCCAAGCTTTGATCGCCGACCGATAGTTGATATATACGATAGCAGCGCCGACAAACCCGCCTAGGAACTGCGCAGCCAGCTTCCCCGGGATTTGTTTCCACTGTCCTTCGGATGGGCGCACAAGAGCAAGGCAAAGAGTCACGGCAGGGTTGATAGTCGGGCTGGGATCAGATAAATAGCCAGAGAGACACACAGCAGAGGCCCAGGCGATGTTGATGGACAGCCAGGTGCCGTAGGTGTAGTCGGACAACAGGCACTGAGCGACAACTCCATCTCCGATGACGATGAGCAGTGCAGTGCCGAGAAATTCAGCCAGATATGGCTTCAATGCCGCCCGACGAAAGATCATGATCAAGTTAATATTGAAATCGGACTCCCGCAGGTTCCAAGGTTACAAAGTGGGATTGGAAATTGTGGGAACCCCTGATTTCAAGGGTTCAAGTGGGTCAGTGGGCGTGCCAAGGTTTACATAAATAAAATGTGGCACATTACACCTCCAGGGCTCGGATATGCCTAATACAGAATGCCGATTCTCATGTCTACAAGTACATATACACCACTTCCTTGCTAGCCAGTTCAAATAAATCTAGTGGATAAGAACATGCTTTCAAATGAAAAGCTTGCCAATTTGACCACGAAAAAAATACCGAATGAGCGCCGTAGTCTATGGATACTGTCAAGTATAGCTTCAATCTCAGCGCTATTGGGGGCCATAGGAGGTGCAGCAGGGACTGGGAGGCGTATGAGGAAGGAGCAAAGATGAAACTAGGAAGTGGAAAAACATATCAAAAGAAAAAGTCCGCCAAAAAGTCATCACACGGCTGCATAAGCGACCGACTATTCTTGCAGAGATAAATATAAAGTATAGGATTTTTTGACCAACAGAATATTATACAATCTAATCAGTGCAGATGGAGCGGGGGTGCAATTAGGTATATACCTAAGTACTCATGTCTCCTGACTGTAACTCTAGAAAATAAAGCTGCCATATAAATCTATATAGTATTTGCATTTCCTTGGGTGGTACACTATCTTCCGCCATGGACTATCTAGGCCCGTTAAGTGGTCTATATCAAAACTTACTAGCTGTCATCATATACTCTTGGACTCGAAAAGAATTAGTAGCTAACACCTACCATCTTTCTTATGAAAGCGAAGTATTGTATTAACTAAGTAATTAATAGTGAACTAAGCTTACTTCTTCTCGTAATGGAGACATTTCTTAAATTTCCTTGAATCTGTCTAATTTTTGAGAGGCGTCGGCATTTCCACTTGTGATATGTGGGATTTCCCCTAAATAAATACCATTGATTATATATCCTAGTATCATTTCCACGTGAGCAATGTCTCTGAAAGCCAAGCATCCCCGCAATTCTACCCTACCGTGGCCAAATGAATTCGGCTTAAATAGTGCCGACAGATTAGGCCATTTGAAAATGCTTTTACATATATATTTCTTTAAACGGCCTAGTTTTGCAACACCTGCTTTTTATTCGTGCAACGTTAGTTCCTCCGATGACACAAATCTATCCGTACGAAGCAAGGTGGTGTTGATCGTTAAGCGGGTTGATTGACACGAACAACAAATATGGATCTTTGTTTATAATCGGGCTCTGATGGACCGAGGAAAGAAATAGTGAGGTAGGCCAAATAGGTGTCTCATAAGAAATATAGAAACACCGCTAAAAAGCCATTTGTGTCCTTTCTATATTCAAACCTTCTTCCGCCATGTGGCTGTTAATTTCAGTCATTCTGCCACTGCTGATAGCATCGTCGAGTTCCGTGGCAGCTAAAATCCACGAGAAGAGTTGTGTAATTAAAAGTGGCGGAACTAATGTGACCAACGATGTCCCAGCAATTCTCGAGGCATTCAAAAAGTGCGGGAAAAATGGAAGAATCGTCTTCGAACCCACGACGTACTACGTCAACTCGGTTATGAATATCTCCTGGCTCGACAATGTTGACATCGACATCCACGGAACACTTTTGGTATGTCTTCCCGTCGTTGAGACATTTCGTTGAAGTCCAAATACGATTTCTCACAGTCTATCTCGCTTGTTAGTGGAGCACTGACATCCCTTACTGGCTGAACAACTCCATAGATGTCGGATATCAGAACCAGTCAACAGCTTTAATAATTGGTGGTAATAATGTCCGCATTCATGGTTATGAAAGAGGCACGTTTGACGGCAGTGGTGACTACTGGTATCAATGGATCAGAGAGCAACCCAACACATCCAACTACCCGGGTCGGCCACACGCTGTGACATTCGACAACCTTACAAACTCTGTCATTCGTGGCCTCACCTTTCTGAGAAGCCAGATGTGGTATGTGAAGTTGCATGCTTGTCTCGAAAAGCCGATAGACGCTGTGGTCTTCGCTTGCTAACCGTGGCCCTGACCTTTAAAGGACCATGTCAATAATTAACTCTCACAATGTGTTGCTTGACAGTATTCTTGTGAATAACACAGGAAACTGGGCACAAAGCTGTAAGACTTCCAGAGAAAAGCACAGTCTTAACCAGAAAATACTGACTCGACACAGCCAACACTGACGGGGCCGATACCATCCGGTCTTCTCATATCACATTCAATAACTGGACCGTCTACAACGGCGATGATAGCCTTTCCATGAAGGCCAACAGCACCGATATAACCATCACAAATAGCAAGTTCCACAATGGTCTAGGAATTGCGATGGGGAGTATTGGGCAGTATAAGGATCAATTCGAGACGATCGAGCGAATCACGGTCAAGAACGTCGAGTTTGACAACACATTACATGCCGTGAGTGAGACACAAATAGCATACCATATTAGACCGAGTAGCCATGGGAATGAGGTTATAACTCGAATATCCTTTAGTTCTACATAAAGACTTGGACTGCCGACCAGAATGGCTACCCACCAAACGGAGGCGGCGGTGGACTCGGGTGTAAGTATTTATTGGCTGGCTCTCATTTGATATATTGGCTAACATATCCAGTTGCATCTGGGATGAAACTCGAGAACCTGACAACAACAGGGCTTCGTGGAGCCGCATTCGCGATATCGCAGTGCACGCGGTTCTCTGGTGCACCGGGCAAGGGTAACTGCACGAACTCGGAATTTCAGATCAGAAATGTGGAGATCGACGGGCTTACCGGCACCAGCAAGTCAGCAAGGTTGGCAAGCCTACAGTGCAGTGCGGTTGCGCCATGTACCAACATCACCATCGTTGACAGCATCCTGCATCTTGACAATGGCACCGTCGCGGGTGAGTATTTGTGTGGGAACGTTGCAAATCCGACAGGATTCAACTGCACCGGTGTGCCTTGTGTGGGTGGGAGCGCCACTGGGGAGTGCTAAAGGATTCTCGGCAGTAAATCCTCACCTATAGGCATACTACCAAGAGGGGTGCACTCTCTATAATGAAATCTGGTGGTGCAATTTTGCCAGCTAGATCATCGCAGGTCACTGGCTTTCTGTAGGCTCGGGGGAAATCTTGGAGAAGAATAAAGAAGGAAGGCAAATTATCTGGCTGGATTTCATTGCATCACAAGTTCAAGCAGTTGAGTAAGGATAAGGATTAAATTAAGGCTTGGATGTATATAACAATCCGATGTAGTGTAGGGGTTATCACTGTGCTCTTTCACAGCACTAACGGGGGTTCGAATCCCCCCATCGGAGTTTCTTTTTTTTTCATCATTTAATTTAATACCCTATTTTTTGTTTTTTGTTTTTAGTTATTTGCACATTTGGCAGTAAATTATGATACATACTCGGCTCGTAGGGTATGCAAGTAAATGGCTATAATATTTTATCATGTTCCAAAATTAGCGGTCTTGTTTGCTCACGTTGATACTACCTATGTATGTAGAAAAGAAACTATAGACTCGGAAACACACATGATGTCGCTCTGGCGCAATACCAATATGCACCGAGGTATTCACACGCTCTGGCTCTGCGTGTATGATTTCAGTCATTGAAGTCTGGTGGCATCCGAGAGCTCTTGCTTCCCGCTCGGGTGGCGATATTATCCAGTCGGCCTTCTCTAGAAATACTCCATGCCTGAGACTGATGTTAGACTGAACTTGATACACTTAGTATGTATGCACGGGTTTCTTCTTGGAACCAGTCACTCGGAAGTGGCATGGAATCACGTTCAAATAGGGCGTAACCAAGGATTATGCCCTCCGCCTCGTTTTTTGCTGATATGATTTACAGAAATAGTAGGCCGGTTATACGGCCTTGTGGGGTCTGTTGGCGGTATTTTTTTGGTGGCTTTCTCGGAAATTGTGTTTGGGTATTCTATGCCACTTCTCGGTCTTATGTGTAGACAGTGAAAAAAGGAGGGGTGTAGATTATTGTGTACACAATGTTTGTATATATGTATGGCCAGTGATATATATATATATATATGCCGGTGCACATGCGAATAAAACGACAAGAGCTTTCGCTGTTATACATGCATAGGAGCCCTTAATGATATACGGCCCTCCCTAGTATAAAAACCATGCCTGAATTGATCGAGTACCACATCGAGAACTCTGATCATCGGGGGTTTCGTGGTCTAGTTTTCGTATAACTGCTCTTCTTCATACCCAATGATCGAACATCAACCGTTCTTTTTTTTTTCGGACTGGAATGACACTCATATTGCCCATTATACATAACTTTGGCACCAATTCTATTGAGGTATTTAGCAGAATTTAGAAATATCCGCTAAAAACCTTGGAACTTAGCTACGCAGTGATAGATTAACAAGGTGGTTTAAAATAGATAGTTTTTGGAATAAATATTACTCGATTGCAAAAAATATACAACAATCCGATGTAGTGTAGGGGTTATCACTGTGCTCTTTCACAGCACTAACGGGGGTTCGAATCCCCCCATCGGAGTTTCTTTTTTTTCTTTCCGCCTTCCTTGCCATAGTATATAGCAACGCATGTTTTTTTTTTCTTCCCCCTCTCTACATATAAATCTCATCCTAAACAATTTGATTGCGCGTCTCTTTCCATTTCATTCCAATCAACCTGACCGGGGTGTTCTTCACTGCCTCTACCCAGTAGCCTCATGTGATAACCTACGTATGACCAGGGCCCATTAAATTGCTTGGAAGTAGCCTCAATATTTCACCTGGGTAACAATTTCTCCCATCCGTGTCGCCGCATCGGCCATTCCTCCGCATCAATATAAGCACGAATCGCCGAGGTAGTGCTGAAATCAGCCTATAGCACCCGAGAATCAAATATATTTAACTCGGCCTGAAGACACTTATCGCAACAGGAAACGATCGACATACTAGTCATCCTTGAAGATCCATGCATTCTTCTGCGCATTAGGTGTCCGAGGCTTTCCAATAACCGGCAGATTGCCACTCGTATAAGCATACCCGGGGAAATTTGTCCACTAATGGTTATTTCGGCTTCACTCGAGCACAGGTAATCGCTTGGCTCGTATATTGACCGCAGATTACCGTGACGGATTTGGCAACTCGCGCTTCGTGGACTCTGCAGGGCAGACAGCACAGATGTAACCTCGATATATTACTATTCGGAATTTTTCGCATGCAATCTTGGATTAACGAGGGTAGATATAGTGAGATGGCATGACGACCGGCAAATATATATTTTAAAGCCACGGGATTTAAGGGCTGTCGCCAGGCGCTGCACGCAACTGCCAGGATGCGGGGGACAACCCTGCAGTTTCGCCGTTGGTGGTAAAATGATATTCCTCTCACTGGCCAGTATTTTACACAACAAGTTAAACTGCAGCCATATTCTGTAGGCGCTACCTCTTGGACTCTCGATTCGCGAAACAGACCGCGGCGCACCCGGCAACACCATCTTGAAACACCGGCTTTGCCGTGCTGCCAGGGTTCAGTGTCTCTTTCTGAAGTACTGTTGATACTACTGGTGAACCCCGCAACGTGATCCACAGTAGTAGCCAAGACTCAGCATGAGTCCTTCATCTTACCTTCTTTACTTCCGACGCTTCGGGTTGGGCAACGCGTCCAATATGATGTGCCATGTCTCCACAAATCAGACCATGGCGCCCGTGGTCTATTGTGCTTAGTGTCTGTCTCATTCTGGATCCGAGATGGTCAACAGAGCCTGAGGACAGTCAGGATTTATGCAGAGGCCTAGTTTATACCCGATGGTGACCGCATACGATAGCGATCAGCATGTATACGTAGAGCCTCGCTTTCAAATCAATGTGTCCCCAACGAGACGGAGAATTGTTCCCGACACTACTCAGTATATATGTTATATAAATCGATAATAATAGTCTATAGTATCAAATCGTCGCCACTAGACAGCTGGTACTATAAGCGTATTTCTTTGTCTGCTCATAATATCACCGGGGCTTGGTTTCGGCCTGAAACGCTTTATGCCCGGAGGGTCTTTAGAATAATCTCCCGTGTTTGGGCTTAACGCCTCGCGGATTATCCGTCACAAAAACGCCTTTTGGCGGTTTGATGTCAGTGGAGGAGCGCCGTGGCGCCCATTTGATCTAGCGGCGCTCTTGGCAGGCTTCGACCCCCTTCAACCCCACAAAATGTCTCATGATCTTTATTCTGTAGAGTATAGTTTAGTCCTATAATCAAATCTCAGCCCAGGCAGTACCGGTGCTGATGGTTAAATGAAGGATCGACAGGCAACATACCTCAAGCGTCTCAATTTGCAGCTATTGCTCCTTGCACCATTAAGCCCCCCGAATCTTATACAGCAATCGACAGAACTGGACCGGGGCATTCTCCGTTTTCACGGATGTTGAAACGGCTTACCCACTTCAATATCAGTCAGGGTCTTGACAGAGAGCTCACAACTATCATAGAGCGAAGATCATTACCTTCCTAATTCAGGCGCTGGTTCCATCCTCAAACCAATGCACGACAACGGAGCTCGTCGAGTATAGGAGTTGATACTAGATTGATGATTGTGGACTCTCCATCCATACCAATTTGGCGACGGCCTCACGGTCCGTCACACCGGTCATGTTATGCAGAAAGGGCTCTGTTCAAGCCTTGCATGACAATGACTTAGAGCAATCATGTCCGGAGAAAAGACATATAAAGATCGACTCCCACCCCGGGATAATTTATGTTCATCAACTGCAGGCCAGACAACAAGATAACAAGACAACATTGAAAGCCGACCCTTCCGTTTCAACAAGCAATGTATCAACGCGCACTCCTTTTCTCCGCCCTGGCGGCGGCAGCCCGTGCCCAGCAAGCTGGCACATTGCAAGCCGAGACCCATCCCTCTATGACCTGGCAAAAGTGCACTGCCGCGGGCAGCTGTGCTGACCAGACGGGCTCTGTTGTCATTGATTCCAACTGGCGTTGGCTTCACTCCGTCGATGGCTCCACCAACTGCTATACTGGAAATGAGGTAAGAAACCCCGAACCGAGAAGATGAGGGTTCATATTAATTGACTTCTTTGATAACAGTGGGATGCGACTCTCTGCCCCGATGACGAGACTTGCGCCACAAACTGTGCTCTGGAGGGTGCCGACTACGCCGGAACCTACGGTGCAACCACCAGTGGCAATGCCCTCACTTTGAACTTCGTCACTGGCGCCAACATTGGCTCTCGTCTGTTCCTGATGGAGGACGAGAGTACCTACCAGATCTTCAAGCTCAAGAACCAGGAGTTCACATTCGATGTTGATACTTCCGAGTTGCCTTGCGGACTCAATGGAGCTCTGTACTTTGTCTCCATGGATGCCGATGGTGGCCTGGCTAGGTTCGATGGCAACAAGGCAGGTGCCAAGTACGGAACTGGCTACTGTGATTCTCAGTGCCCCCGTGATCTGAAGTTCATCAACGGCCAGGTGGGTTTTTATACTGGTGAATTCGACAAATTTGTGGGAAATATAACTAACGCGCGATACAGGCCAACGTCGACGGCTGGAAGCCCTCCGATAATGACAAGAACGCTGGTGTTGGCGGCCACGGAGCTTGCTGCCCCGAGATGGACATCTGGGAAGCCAACAGCATTTCCACTGCTTTCACTCCTCACCCTTGCGACAGCACCGAGCAGACCATGTGCGAGGGCGACGACTGTGGTGGAACTTACTCCTCCAGCCGCTACGCAGGAACCTGTGATCCCGATGGATGCGACTTCAACTCCTTCCGCATGGGCAACGAGACCTTCTTCGGCCCCGGCATGACCGTCGACACCAAGTCCAAGATGACCGTGGTCACTCAGTTCATCACCGCCGACGGTACCGACTCCGGCGCCCTCAGCGAGATCAAGCGTATCTACTTGCAGGACGGAAAGGTCATCGCCAACTCTGCCTCGGAAGTCGCCGGTGTCGAAGGAGATTCGATCACCACCGAATTCTGCTCAGCCCAGAAGGAGGCCTTCGGTGATGAGGATATCTTCAGCCAGCACGGTGGTCTGGCTGCCATGGGCGAGGGTTTGGACCAGGGAATGGTTCTCGTCATGAGCTTGTGGGACGACCACTATGCTAACATGCTCTGGTTGGACGGCGAGGTCTACCCCACTGATGCCGATGCCTCTGATCCTGGTGCTGCTCGCGGCACTTGCGCCACCACCTCCGGCAAGCCAGATGATGTTGAGGCCAACTCGGGCTCGGCCAAGGTTACCTACTCCAACATCAAGGTCGGTCCCATTGGCTCCACCTACTCTTCCTAAAGAGTCAAAATGACAGGTACTTGCTGAACTTGACTACACCTGGAATGCGGGGTCTCTGTACTGTATGAATCCTCGCGCCAGTGGCAGCAAATGCCCAATTTGGAAGAAAGTTGTGGATGATATATAAGGTTTCTTTCGTTGACAGTTATCTGTATTCTTGATTTCATTTGTCTTTCTTAGAATCAAAGTCATTTTTATCAGAATTGAATTAAAGTCGTTGATCGATTTGAACTTGAATAAGTAAAGAAGGCGGTCTGTGTATTCTCGGCGCGGCAGAAAAAAACAGCCAGATCTAAAGCTCTAGCTTTCACAATTGATTTTTTCATTCAATTCACACGGGCGCATATTTTTTAATAGGCTCATTAGCAGCCTTCAATTTTGTGCTCATTCCCGACGCAATTCGCAACCATGTTCGACACGGTCTGCACGTTTCCGCTCTCCTCGGACCTGTTCGCTCAGGCTATCCACCCCGAGGAGCCCGTGGTCTCTGTCGGTCTGGCCTCGGGCCACGTCCAGACCTTCCGACTGCCCTCCTTAGAAGCAGAAGATGATGAAGGTACTGCATTGAACCCGTCGGCCCGGGCCGGAAAGGGCCACATTGACACAATGTGGAGAACTCGGCGACACAAGGGTAGCTGTCGCACCCTAGGGTTCAGTACGGATGGCAAAACACTTTACTCGGCTGGTACAGACGGTATTGTGAAGGCTGCAGGCACTGAGACTGGCCAGGTGCAAAACAAGATTGTGATTCCTCTTGAGAAGAACGGGTAAAGGATCTATCCCGAATAACAAGCGTTGCAATCTAGACCTTTGCATTTGGCTGACTTGTCGGGATTTTTTTTGATGTCATATAGCTCTGTTGATGCGCCAACCATGCTCCACGCCCTCTCCCCCCAAACTCTTCTCCTCGGCACTGACTCAAGCGCTCTGCACCTCTACGATCTCCGAATCCCCTACTCCAAGGTGTCCGCGCGGCCTGAGCAGTCGCACCACCCCCACGACGACTACATCTCCTCTCTTACTCCCCTGCCGGCTTCCGACACTAGTACGTCGGGCTTCAGCAAGCAGTGGGTCACAACTGGTGGAACAACTCTGGCTGTAACGGATCTCCGGAGGGGCGTTCTGGTGCGCAGCGAGAACCAGGAAGAAGAATTGGTCAGCTCCGTCTTTATGGGTGGTCTGCCTTCCAGCGGAACCAGCCGGGGTGAAAAGGTGATTGTTGGTGGAGCCAGCGGTATCATGACTCTCTGGGAGAAGGGCGCATGGGATGACCAGGATGATCGGATTTATGTCGACCGCACTGATGGCGGAGATTCCATCGAGACAATGACAGTTACGCCTGACTACTTGGGCAAGATGGTGGCTGCAGGCCTCTCAAACGGAAAAGTGAAATTCGTGCGCATCGGATCCAACCAAGTCGTTTCTGAGGTTGTGCACGATGAGATCGATGGTGTTGTGGGGTTGGGCTTTGACGTGGAGGGCCGTATGGTCTCTGGTGGTGGTCAAACCGTTAAGGTTTGGCACGAGGCTGAGGACAACGTCGGTGATGGATCTGGCGACGAAGACATGATGGATGATAGTGATGACGATAAGGATTCGGATGACAGCGAAGCGGAACGCCGTGAGAATGCGAAGGATAAGAAGAAACGCAAGAAGTCCAAGGGCAAGGACCTCAGTGGTGCACAGCATGTCATGGCCTTCCATGACCTGGACTAATGTCTCAATATCCCATTATCTGATACCCACATCCGCAGATCAATTATTCAGCCCAAAAACAATAAAAAAAATTTACATAGCGCCAGTGTTGAGCTTTCCCAGAGCCAAAGGGAAGATGAATATCTTTATCTCTGTTTAGAGACAATGGACTCCGTATGTATATTCCCTTTGTTTGGAAAACTGGGAAATAAAATATATGATTTCCCCCTTGCTTTACTTCAGGTTTAGTTTTCCAATGCCAACTGAGCGTCAAAGGCTACGAATCGCCATACATATATATCCATATCATTGACAGTATTAGCATCTCAAACTCAATCGCCTGAGGCCGACCTCTAAAATACAAAAACCTCGCTTCATTCAGTAACACACCTAACTCCAAAAAATGCACGAATTATTCTTCAAGCAAGCCAGACCACTCTGGAACCTCCTTGATAAGTTTCCACATATACCTCTCTAGCTTGACCGCACATTTCGCATATACCGTTGTGGCATCATTATACTGCCGACAGTTACTGAACATCAACTTGAGATCGTCGACAAGCTCTTTCGGAGTAGTGTAATGCTCCAACTTTTCTTCTATCGTCGACAGATCCATTGGTGATAGAATGGCATTGTAATAATCAGGGATCTCATCTTTGTCGACAGGATTTCGGAAGGGCCATGCTTGTTGGTGGTTTTGGATTTTATTCACAAAACGTCGAAGTTCGTTGAAATGGGGTCCGTTAAAACGAGATCCCTCGCATGACTCTCGCGCTAACTCGTCCATATCCTGAGACCAGCCAATTGCCCGGATAGCAGGGATAGAGAGTGGATCGATTGGAATCACGACGCCGCTAGCCCATTGTTGGGGTGGTAGATGAATGATATGACTTTTGCTCAAGGTACGTATTTTGGCCAGGACGGATTCTTTCTGCTTAAGAAGCATTCGACCAATCTCGAGATACCGTATTCGGGCAAGCATCGAGCATTGCATAAGTGTCCCTCCTTCGTAGTCCTTAATACACCCCATCCAGATAGACTTTTCTAGAGTGATCTCTTTAGTAAAACCCTGCTTTTGAAAATAGCCGATAGCAAGATTATCGGCGTAAGTCAGAAAATGCATCACCGGCGAAGTAGCTCTAACATAATCTTTTAAATGGGCCATAAGATGCGCTCCGTATCCTTTCTCCTGCTGATCAGACGAGACCGCACAAAACACAATCTCGGCGAACTTGCGGTCTCGGAATTCTCGGATCGATATACCACCGATGACCTCTAGAGGCATTTTAACGATAGCGATCGATAAATGAGTGCGATCGTAAACTAGTCGTGCGATGTAATCCTTAGGCATTTTGGGAAGTTGCCTTTGAAATAGGCACTTGAGGCCTGTGAGAATGATCGTACTATCTCTGGAGCCATCATTGTTCACAACTCGAAACTCAATCTCGCCATTTCGTTCTTCCAAAACCGCAGGCTTTATAATAGTTAGACAGTTTCTTGACATTTAGAGGTCCTAGCATACCTTATCTGGAAAAGGAACCCTCCGGGCTATAGCTGGAGTTTTAACATCCAACCCATCATGAAAGCATTTGGCTCTTTTGGCATCGGGGGGACTATTTGGCTCTTCGCAAACTGGGCGCTTTGCGGTGAGGAGATTTAGCACGCTGTCGGCTGGAAATGATTGTGGCTCTGCTTTGTCCATTTGCGTGTATTGGCGAACCTGATCTTGTGATAGGTAAGGTGAAAAATGGGAGAATACGAAATTGTTGAGTTGGTGTTGACTAGTAGAATCCGAGGTCAGAGGCTAATCGGTAAGACCGGCCGTCAATCCTCACTGGGATGCCCCTGGAGCCCCTTGTTTTCGCGTATATAAACACTGCTTGTTTTTGAAATTGTATGTTTAATGTTTCTAGGGAAAGCATATAGAAGATTAGAAGTAAAAAATAAAACTATTCGCCTAGGCACTATAAGGAGCGCGAAGGAGGAGGAAGAAGAGATGAGAGAGTGGAGTAAGAGATCGACTAGTAATCTTATGTTGTACTTTAAATGATCGTGTCACGTGAATTGAATGCTTCAGGCATTAATTTGTGTCTGCTCAATGTGTCTATCTTGGCTTGGAAATTTATAACATAATAAAGAAGTACTTCAGATGGCTTGAAACATAAAATTAAACTTAACTACCTCTAAAGCCACAATGTTACCATTTTGGGGGAGAATTTTTCACAGGCGGTTCACTGTGTGGATTGGATCGAGTCTCATGGGTGATATCAATCTGATTGGAGACCATGATAGCACCCGAGGACGCTTTGCCAGACACATCTGCCGGATATGTCTTGATGTTCTGCATTTTAACATCTTCCATCATCCGTTCCTCACTCTCGGTAAATGACATGCCGATGGTCATAGGATCCGTACTCGCAGGCCCATGACCCTTTCGACTGGCATAGTCGCCCCCACCACCAATGCTCCGGAAACCATTTGAGGGCGTTTTGTGCGTCTTAGTAGAAAACTGAAACTGGCTGCCGAGAAGTTTGCTGAGCCAGATTCTGAATAGGTGGAAGATCATGGGAAGATTGGTCGTGACGACTGCGACGAATGTTTCGCGCATGCCCCATTCATCGGCAAGTGCTGCACCGTTTTCAGGCTCCTATAAGAAGTAACAAATGAAATTAGACAAATACTTTCAAGTGCGGACGGGTGCGATGCGAATATATTGGTACTCACCACTAGGAGGAAAACACTCTTAATAGTGGCACAGACAAGAATAAAGACACCGGCACTGAGTACAACAGTGGCCGCGATCTTTTTCAAAGGCTTCAAACTTGATTTCCAAAGCATGGGAATTGGGATGAATATGAGGTATGGATCGGTAATGAGGTTTGCGGCGAATGTCACTGCGATGACCGGCTTGGAAATGGCTGGTTCGCACACATCTAGAAACATAGTTAGTAGATATTGAGTACCCAGGACAAGAGGAGAGTCTGACTGCCGGGGTCTGGATTGATCTGCCAGTTTTTGCTGAATGGTCGGCATGCTGCAAAGATTGTGATGACACTTGCGATAAAGCTCCCAATGACAATGCCAAACCCAACATAGATGGGAATTCGATAACGCCGGCCAAGGCCATCCTGTTTTGTATCAGTTACTTGCAAAACATTTGTCAAAAAATATCGAGATTAGTACCATTAGTCGCACGTAGAATGCCAGCACGGACAATTTGAGTACATTAATCAATGCCGCATAAGTAGTCCAGCCTGCAATTTGAATCTTGGAGCCAATCACTCTAATAAAATAGTTAGAAGTCAAATTCCAAGTTATTCTTCTGTTGAAAATTGGAGATGTACCTGGCCCGGTACTCTGGATTGTCGGGTAGTAGTGCCGCTCGCTGGGCGGTTGTCATGCCGTTGTTGGCAAGGCCATTAGACACGTTGCCCACGCTATATGCAAGCGACGCCTGTGCGGTGTAGATTATCTACATGGATTAAACATCAGTAACCAGTTGGACGGCATAAGATTGGAGTCAATCACAATTGCAACCCATACGAGGTAATCGTCGAGTCGTAAATTCCTCCACCCTCCATTTCTCGACCGAGCGTATGTTCTAAGAATTGTCACGGCAACTCCAATTGAATATAGCGTCCATAATTCCACCACAGTCTTATGGGCATCTGACGCTGCATCTCTTGCCTCTAAGCCAAATAATGCCATGATGGTCGACATCTGTGACTAGCGGGGGGTGGGCTAGCGTGACGAAGATTTGCAAATGAGAATAATAGAAAGGGTAAGAAGAATAGACTATCTCCCCTGCACTAGTGCGGATCTCTCTTGGATCGCTGGGGGTTCGATTTAGTCCCCATCAGGACCGAATTCACGTACGAGACCCGGTGTATATAGCTCCATACAATTAAATTCCAAACTATCAAATTTCTAAGCTGGTTCGTTGCGGTTTACGAGAATTCCACGGTTACGAAATGGGTTAAGCCACTAAATTGACACGGAAGAACGATAAAGTTTTATCTAAATTAGTGTATATTCAAGTTCCATGGAAGTCTACGAGTTTACCCATGGATCATTCAGCTCGGCACGGAGAGTCTGATGAATGCCCCGATTTGGGTATATGGTCGAATACAGTTTAGCCGCCAGGGGTTAAAAACGCCCTGCATACTATTCAGCGGGAGTGAAAACAAGCATGCATATTACCACGTTGCCCCCTGGCAAAAAATTTGATCTATAATATATTTGAATTGCATGATATATTAAGTGGCATTCCCTCCAAATTAAATTCAGCCTGAAATGTAAGACATGTGCCTTGAGGATGTCCAGTAGCGAGATAATAGTGGAACCTTTACGACGCGCGATGGATGCACTATCTCCACACGGTTGGGGCGAGACCGGATACCATATCCAACCACATTGCAGCCAAGCACCATTTCATCGGAGGGCTAGAGTGGAACTCCATTGTCCAGATCAAAAGGCTGTTCTTCCAAGGTTATTACTGATGGCGGATGTAACATCCCTAGCCCCACCCCTGCATTAGCGTAAGACAGAAGGAAGTCTGTCGGCATTTTTCAAACCGGGAGAACATTAAGGAGGAATAGAAGGGGACGATCCTAAGTTCAAGGAGTGGAATTACGGGATATTCACAACGTGGACATATCGCAGGGCCGTGCTACAAAACCCCGCAGAAAGAGAACGCTAGGACAGTGTAGAATTGTTCGTATAACAATGCCATTGAGACCTTTCAAAGGATTATAATCTAGTATACTCTGCGCTATTAAAAGGAAAAAAAGACTCTAACCCAACTAACCCTAGGGCAATTTTGCAATTCCCGGAAATAACAAGCAATAAATAGTTAGAGCGCCGCAGAACTGACAGGGATTCCTTCCTACAGACCCTGCAGCCTATCCACTTTTTTCTGACGTCTTCTGACGATTGAACGCAAGGGGCAATTGAGTTTCGAATTTTTTTTGTCTTGACCAATTCAGGACATCCTCTTTTGAGTAATGTATCTCAAGACAGAGGTGCTTACGGCCGTTGCGGCTTGGGCCTTTTCCGCGGCCTCTTTGAGTTTGCCTGTTGGCTGCGATATCGAGGGCGGTATCTGTCCACGAGGCGATGCTGACCTGGAGGCGCTCGGAAGGAAGCTTTCAAGCTCTGCCAAGGTGTATTTCCCCGGGTCGAGCGAGTTTCAGCAGCTCACAACGCGGTGGTCTGTTCTAGAAGAGCCTAAGGTGAACGTCGTCGTTGTGCCCGGCACTGAGAACGATGTTGTTCAAACGGTAGGTTATTTTTTTTTTGGTTTTCTATATATGTCAGTCGGGTAATAGAATATACTAATTGTGATTTTTAGGTGAAATTCGCCAACATCAAGGACCTTCCCTTCCTCACCTACAATGGTGTCCACGGAGCCCTTGTTTCGCTGGGTAAGATGGACCATGGCGTCGGAATCTCTCTAAGCCAGCTGAACAGCGTCAAAATTGCCACCGATGGAAAGACAGTCACCATCGGTGGAGGAACCATGTCCAAGAAGGTCACCGACACCCTTTGGGACGCAGGAAAGCAGACAGTTACTGGAACCTGTGAATGTGTCAGTGTTCTAGGACCGGCGCTTGGCGGTGGACATGGATGGCTCCAGGGTCACCACGGACTCGTCTCTGACCAATTCGTGTCGATGAATGTTGTTCTCGCCAATGGTACCCTGAAGAAAATTAACAAAAACTCCGACCTCTTCTGGGCGATGAAGGGCGCTGGCCACAACTTTGGCATTGTGACTTCTCTCACCAGCAAGATCTATGATATCGAGCACCGCGACTGGGCTATCGAGACGATCAGCTTCAGTGGCGATAAGGTCGAGGCTGTCTACGAGGCTATCAACGAACATCTCCTGAAGAATGGCACGCAGCCCGCGGATGTCATCGAATGGTCGTACTGGATGAACGACCCCACCGTTGACCCTAACAACCCCGTCATCGTAGTCTATCTCATTCAGGAGGGAGTGACTGCCATTGACTCAATCTACACCAAGCCTTTCCACGACATCGGACCGCTTGCTATTGTGCCCCAGGCAGGCACCTACAAGGACCTCGCTGCATGGACCGGCATTGCCCTCGACTCCGCGCCATGCCAGAATATGGGAATGGCTAACCCCCGTTTCCCCATCTACCTTGAAACATACGACGTCCCGGCTATGAGGAAGGCATGGGACATCTACGAACCTGCCATCCGTGGAACTTCCCCCTTCAGCTACTCAATCTTGATGTTTGAGGGTTACTCCTTCGGGGGCGTCCACAAGATCACTACCCGCGAGAGTGCTTTCCCATTCCGTAGCGAGAACATCCTTGCTGCCCCAATGATCAACTACGTGCCTGTCGATCAAGCACTTGAGGACAAGGCGGTCGCTTTGGGTAACGAGCTCCGCAACATCCTCCACGAAGCCAGTGGCCGCGATGATATTCGCGCATATGTCAACTATGCCTACGGAAATGAGACGAATCACCAGCTGTATGGCGACAATGCCAAGCGCCTGGCAGCCTTGAAGAAGAAGTATGACCCTACTGGCAAGTTTAGCTTCTACGCACCAATCGCATAGATGGCTTGAGCAAGGGCTTGAAGATTTGTAAGTATAATAGCTTGTTGCAAGTACATGTGTGTACCATAAGTACGTGGAAGTAGGATCATTTATGTTTTAATGTACGAACCTGTGAATTACTGCATGCAGTTAGTTTCTCCATTTATAGATAGACTAGCGCCCCCGTACGTCGTTCTCTAACACCCTTGCCCTGGTATAAAAAGCTCGCCCGGCCTTGATGATTTATTCTTTCTTTCTTCCTTCCTCCATCCCCTCTATCTTGCACTCATCGTAGCCCCCTCTTTTCTATTTCTGCCCCCACTAACTCTTGGGTATTGGCTCCCAGGCCAATGCACTGCCCCCTTCTTTCTCACCGCATAATGCCGCTCTACCCGACTCTGAGGTCGTCCTGGCCAATGTTGGCTACCACGCTATGCAGTTGCTCGGGGCTGAGGCTCATCTTATCAGCGTTGGCTTATCTCTTGGTAACACGCTTGGATCAACAAGTTATATATACTATGTTTCTTGTATGGCTTTATAGAGGCACTGAGAAGCTGCGATTATTCAGCCATTCCACTACCAAATCTACATAGATGTCAAATACTCCCGCTGGTTCAAACCATCCGCAACTGCTGCAGATGTGGGTATATAACGGAAAGCTTAGACCATCACCAATCAGAATCATCCTCCGAATCTGACTCGGAGTAGCGATTTTCCTGCTCGGCAGCTTGGTTTATTCGCATTCGCATGCGAAAATGGTCGAGTCGATCACTTTGCGATGTCAGGTTTTGGAATGCCCTGTCCGTGGACACGGGCTCGTATGAATCTTCTATTGCATGTTGCAATTGAAGAGGATACTCCACATTTAATTTTTGATCGAGTAACCTGTCTCGAGCAAGTGGAGTCGTGCAGAGGAGTTTGAAGTTCGGGTGGAGGGTCCGGTGTGTCACCAAGCGGTTCAAAATGTGAACCACATCCACCAGCTCGTCCTTGAACTGCTGCGAGGTAAACTCACTGAGTCCGTCTATTATACATATAATGGTAGCCTTGCGAGGGAGCTGTTCGATGAGCTCAAGAAAAGTGGAACACAGCTTTTGAATATTGTGAGCCTCTAGCTGGTAGACGAAATCTTTTGTATTGATGAAATCGAGATTGAATCGCCGACCTGTTTGAAGAAGTTGAGCGAGGAACGAGCGTATGAGCCCACTGGGTCCGACAAGGGAGTCCACCCGGTTATGACGGGACCCATGAAGGCCGCAGAAATAATGCAGTATTATGGTTGGCTTTTTCTCTGCATTGCTGTTGCGGCGAAGTTGCAGGGCGAGCATTGCGCACAAGATAGAGAGTGGATTAATACGGCCTGGACCGGATTCAGCAAAGTTCCCATGTACGAGGAGGCTCGTGGGTTGTGTTGAAGCCATCCATGAAGTAAAGGCTGGAGATGCGAAAAGCTGCTGAGCCTGGGCTTGAGCCGAAGAGGTAAATTGATCGAGCTCCTTGAGGATAAGCTGTATATCGTTTGTCGGATGCTGTGGGCTGACACCGAGGATGTCGTGTAGCTCAAGCTCATCTAACAGGGGCTCCGGCTTCAATGCCGACCGTAGTGCTGGGTATTCCCATGCTCGATCATCTTGCGGTTGATCAACATGTACAACTACCTGGTACAGTAAGTTCGTTATGACTGGACCAGACGGATGATTCTCAATCTTTTTGATCAAATCAGCATATCCTTTCTCCGCTGCTTGCGACAAGGCCGATATTTTGTTGTCAATATTTTTCGATAATTCCTTGTTTTCCGCAACATCGGCCCCGGTATCGATAGCCCGTTGATCGCGTACATGCTCTAGGCACCGATTGAACACATCCGCCTGGCCCTGTACTTCGCCCAGAATGGAATCTATTGAACGACCTGTATGGGGTGATGCCCTCACCCTTCGAATGATCTTCAATGCTCGCTCGCTCCACCGCGGCGCGTGGCTCGTGCTTCCATTCAGAAGAAAGATGAGTTGAGCCATTGCCCGAGCAAGGGTCTCATATAGTCTGATGGCGGCCGTGCGTAGTTTTTTAGCAGTAGCCCATTGATTTTGTCGAGCTTCTGCGGAAAGGATCAAATCTGGGATATTATCAAATGCCCCGAGAATCCTCTCACGGTCGGTAGCATTTTGCCGCGCGATCTAACCCATCTTTCATCAGATGTCATATTCACGAAGAACCGAGCGATGAGCCAGGGGAAAGAAGGGCTCACCCCAAAGATTATCTTCAATCCTGCACCCAAGAAGCACAAACCATTATCCGACGGGATCAAGTCTACCCATGGAGTAATCTGGTCGGCATAGTCGCCCACGGCGCGGACCCCCCGATGTAATATCCCAGATAGCCCCTTGGCCTTTTTCTCGTATTCTTCACGGGCATGATCCAGTTCTTCCACGACATCTTCGAATGTACACTCGCGTATATTGAAACGGAATTTGGGGTCAACTGATTCGTTGTACGCAACTAGGGACTGTTGCAGATCACTGTATGCCACAAGATAAAGGTTAGCTCATGGTCTGCTCGATGCTGCTGTAAGAACGGGTGGGGCAGGAATCCATTACGCGGAGGCTGGAAGTTCCTCGATATTATCTTCATCTTCGTTGTAGACAGCTGGTGTCGTGCCAAAAGCTTCGTGATAGTCCACTGCCTTTTCCAACACATACTCGGCTGCTGTCCTCTTATGCTGCTTTTTGAGCCAAACCATTCTTCACAATGTAACCCGGATCAAAGCAAGTGAAGACTTTGAAGTCTGAATTCGGGATTTGAAAAGTTATGTCTGGACCTTGGCTTGTAAAAGAGAGATAAAGATACTAACGATATGAGATCTGACAGTATAAAAGGGAACCTGATTTAATTCAAGTTAAGGGTTATAGTGTGTGTTCCTAATTTTTTGGTTTGTGATTTTACTTGAGCTTCTCTTTCTATTGTGGTGCAGTTTAGGCTGACTGCCCCTTCCCCCTCTTTGTTACCGCCAAAGCCCACTAACCATGTTATCCTTCTCAGCACAGATGCCTTGCGGACGCCAACGTATGCATGCAGCTGGAGCTGTCAGCAATACCCCTCCATGCACCTCCTCTTGCTCCACCTGTCAAAGAATAAAGTACTTTCTTGAAGTTCTAGATTTCCCAGTGTGCCTGCTATCGAGTGCATTATCAAGCCACTTTATCGACAGGTTCCTCTGAGAGCCATGAATTTTGGGCCCCTTCGCGCTACCCTGACCAAAGCCCATTCAGCCATCCATTGCAAAGTCCAAGCGAATGAGAATTTGGAAGCTATTCATGTAGAGCCACGTAGGCATGCGTTTCGGAAGTGAAAGTCGCTCGGTTTGCTCTATCTGCAGTCAGGTGCTAGTGCTGATTTCGCCGCAAGGCCGCCTACGCCACCGTTCCCGGTAGGCTCACTGGGATGATCACGCTCCAATGAGATCCAGGAAATGAATCAGTATTCCGGACTTCTCGGGGTCCCCGGTTAGAACGCTGTTTTCTCTGGGGATTTGCTTATTCTATTACTAGTGTATATTACTAGGATGTGAGCATGTGCCTCGGGCAAAAAGTTTACCACGTTCTCTTATAAAAGCTGGGGTGTCAATACCAAAAAGTCCATCCAGCCCTTTCCAGTCCGCAAATACCACTTGCTTCAATCAGCCCAATGGACACGACCGACCCTCCTCACCAGGACAGTGCAGTGCACACGATTTCCGATAACACGAAGGCCCAACCACATCTTCTTCTCAAGGCTAGTGATAGCCAGTCAAAATATGTCCGAAGCCTCGAGGAGCGACTAGCCGAACTCGAAAGGAAATTCGAGGAGCTTGACCGGAAAAAAACCAAAGCCCCCAGTGAGGCGGGCTTGAGTGACACTTCGAGAGATTCGCATGCAGCTGACGAAGATGAGAAGGAAGGAAAGGAGGAGAATTCCACCTGGGTGATTATTCCAAAAGCGCGCAAGCTTAACTATATAAATTTCGTCAATCGATTTCCCATTCAGACCGAGATACCGGTGGTGGAGGCACTCATGATAAATACTACGGTGGAAGCAGCGGAAAACGAGGACAAGCACTGGGTTCCCGAAAAAGCAGTTGAGGATCCCGAAAAGAGATTGCGTGACATGTTGGAGAAGAACCCATACAAACCAGATGCATGGATGGCCAGGATTCGAATCAACTCCACGCCTTTGGTTGAGGAAGTAATGAAAGTCCTAGACACATCAGAGAAATTCTCCAAAAGTGTGACTTTTATTCATCCTTTTGACCCTTTAGTCCATTCCTATGACAAGCTCAAAACGCGGCTACATGGAATGCAAGAGGCCTTGGCAACTCCACAGGACGAATCCAAAGCCACTGGTGATGCTGAAGCCGGTGATAAGGCCGGTACCACTGAAGAGACCAACCTTGCCAAGATAGAACCTACTGAGCTTGTTTCTCTGATAGAAATTTTTGTTCAGTTCCTTGAAGATGAGGTCCTCTCTTTGCCAGTGAAGAACGACACGAAGATTCGGTTTGCATCCCTGTCATCTATCTTCAAGCTAGGTGATACCCTATTTATGCCAAGTGCGGACAAGGGGTTCAGGCCGAACCCAGATGCGTTGATTCGTCGAAGTGATCAGCGTCTGTGGCGGGTATATCGCATCAAGAGATACTGGAAAGACGACGACCGTAGCTTGTTGATAAAAGCATATTCCATTGATTATGATGGGGAGAACTACATCTGTAAAAAGAAAAAGTTTGAACTTTACCCCTATGATGGAGAACAGGAGATCTCAAGCTTGCCAGTATTTCCTCTCAAGTACCTTGAGAATGCTGAGCAGATTCGAGTCGAAACGCGTGCCCAGGGGAAGAAGTTCGTGGAGTATCAGCAAGGTCTTGTCAGTCACCAAGGCTGGGGGGCTGATCTTGAGACTGGGAATGGATCACAGCTGCAGTATGTCACTGGTGATGTCGTCGTAGACATGGCCGAGGCAACCAGCACGCACTCTGAATGCGTGCAAGACTGGGAATTCCCCAAATATGTGCCAAACGACCGAGGTGCTGATACGTACACCGTTTGGGTCTGGAAAATAGTCAAAGGAGAATACGAGCTTGATTCCTCGCCTTTGGGGGAGATGAGATACTGGATGAATGAGTATTCGCGACTGCAAAAGATAACATATTGCTCTGAGACCGATCCTTTCCTCTCTCACAGGCTCAAAAACAAGGATAAGAAATATCAGCTGCAAGAACAAGACTTCGAATTGCTCCCGCGCAGAGTGTTTGGATATGTCTTGCAGAAACGAAAATTCTTGGCACTCGACATCAGAAACCTGGAGCCAATCAAGGATAATGAGATGTACAACTCAAAGCTCATCATTGACCCGCATCATCGAATCATGCTGCACGGGCTTATCGATTCGCATTTCCAAAAGAAAGATCTACGTGAGAGACACGGGACCTTGAATATCGACCAGGATTTTATCGCGAACAAAGGGCGAGGGCTTATTTTTCTCTTATACGGTGTACCAGGGGTGGGTAAAACCTCGACAGCCGAGCAAATTGCGCATTTCTGGAAAAAACCGCTTTTACCGGTCACTTGTGGAAATCTGGGGACAGAATCCAACGAAGTCGAAGGCAAGCTGAAAGAGATATTTCGGCTAGGGAAGAAGTGGGACTGCATCCTGCTCATGGATGAAGCCGACGTCTTTCTGTCAGAGAGAACACCAATGGCTCTGGAGCGGAACGCTTTAGTCTCGGTGTTCCTTCGTGAATTAGAGTATTTCGATGGTGTTTTATTCCTTACTACCAACCTTCCCGGCGGGATCGATGAAGCGTTCAAATCGCGTATCCACATCACTCTCTACTACCCGCATCTAAACGAAGAAGACACGAAGGCTATTTGGAAGGTGAATATGGAGCGTCTGAAAAGCATTGAAGCGCAACGCGCTCATCTGAACAACGAGTCGCCGCTAAGAATTAATGAGCGGGCAATCCGAAAATTTGCAAAGAAACATTTCCGGAACAATGCGGACGGGAAGGGACGATGGAATGGACGTCAGATTCGAAATGCCTTTCTTATTGCCTCTGCGCTGGCACAGTTCGAGAAAGCTAACCCCGATCGTGATGCCGTTCCAACCACATACAACTCAAAGCTCGATGATCCGTCTTTTGATCTTAATCCTCGACACTTCGATATCGTGGCCAAAGCGAGCTTGGGCTTTGAGGAATACCTAGCCGAGGCCAAAGGCCGACTTGCATCGGAGATAATGTTTCAACGAGGGCAACGTGCGGACTTCATCCGGTCCTCGTCTGAACAGACCGCAGGACCCTCATCGTTGACAACTCATGTATATCACCCTCAACCCCAGGAGAGTCATGAGCCCGATCCTTTCCGTCAACAGAAAGGCTGGAGTGAAGGCCCGACAGGACCATACAGTCATCAAAACCCGGTGGAAGATCAGAATTGGACCCACCCCGCGGGAAATCCGTATGGCGGACACCAAGGACATGGGGCACCGATACACCAGGGACGGCTGTTTCAGACTCCTCAACAGGATCCACGAATGAGATCCACCCTCAATCTTGGTGGTAGCGTACAATCACGCAGGGATATTGCTTCCCAGGGATCGCCATCCCCATTCCAACAAAATCACCAAACCAACTATCCTAGTGGGAAGATGAATATGAGCGCCCACCAAGACTCTGACTCTGATTCTGACGCATAGAAGGGAACATTATATGATGGAATATTGCTCCTAAATTGTTACCTCTTAGCTTGATTTTGCCAACCCGAATTGAAAATGAATGAAGACTATTCTATTCATACATAGTAGCTTTCGTACGTCTCGAGCTAATAATTTTGAATTTGAAGCATGAAAGCATGCCAACAGCTAGTATTACAGAAACTATTTGACACAAATACATATGCATGGATACTACACATTTACAGGTTGACACATTTGAAGATCTTGAGCTGACTATAAGTGTTCATGTGTGGCGCAATTCGAGGGCTCCCCAATTAGCACTTGGAATGAACGAAGCCTAGAGTTTTATCTTCAATATTATGGTCAACATATATCCCATAAAAAAACGCTGCAAGCTTGGTTAGCATAGCCTTATACACATCCTGAAGAAAAGAGCTTGTAGCTTACATTGACCGACGACCCACAGATTGGGCAGTGGTAAGGAATCGGTCCCCGATATAACGGCAGTGTAGTTATTGTTCTCATTGTCCTCCGTAATCCATTGCTCAGGCTTGATATTGAAGATGGACCTCGAGAGCTTTTGTGGCTGACAAGACTAGCGTTCTGCTTCGCGGCGGGACGGAATGGAGAGCCCGAGTTGTGGAAACCGATCACAAGGAAAGTATCCAGTCGCCGATCTCCCGGATGAGACAGATTCTTAGATCTCGTACCGAATGAATGCAGCTTTGAATATAGCGATGGTCTCCTCGGTAGGTCTGTCATCAAAAGAAGTATCAATAGAGCTAGATCTTAGACCGTGGATTCAATCAAGCGGGCGCTGTAGAACAGTGATGGCGATCATGACCGGCTAGTAAAACGCTGGCAGTAGCTCTAATGACATGAATCATGTACAGACCAGACTACTATCGAAGGGCCTACGTCCACCATAGTCATAAAGCTATAATTGACGCCAGCTGACAGACTGGAAGCCTCTGTAGACAAGGAGCTATGGACGTAGGTCCAAACTAGACCTGCGTCCACAGCCATCTGTACTTGGTCCCAAGTCAACTGTTCTATGTTGGGCGTGAGGCCACAACTTCACAGCCACGGCTTGCATAGTACGAGCCTACAGCTAATTAATGACTTAGGAAACCTATGTCGACGAAAGTCTACCGATTTTCTATAGAGCCCTCCAGACACCCAAGCGATTCTGTCCTAGACAGCCAGTAGAGATGTAAATAATCTATAATTAATTTGATATAATTTACTACTGTCTTCACACCTCCAGGGCTGTGTATGCCCGAGGCATGAGGTATCACTAGTATTCCGTAAATTAGGACCCTCCTTCAACCAGCTATGGATTACACTAAGTCCGAGCCCTGAAATTCAAGCCTCTTACAAAAGCGACCTCGGGACAGCTAATATAGAAAGAAAAAACCCACCCGGCAGTTTGGGGAAATTTATATCCGTCCCCCTATGTAGGCAGTCAACGGATGAATATTTCCGCCGATAGTTCACTATTATCGGAACATCTACGGCGAAGGGGAATTAAGGGTACTTACATTAGACAAGACATAGATTAATATGCCAAATGAGCCATAAAATCACCAAGCGCCAATCGACTTGCACTGGCTCGGAGAATCACCATAATACAACTGCCGATAAAGCCCCACGGCCCCACGGCAGGACATGACGTTCATCGAATGCGGCGGGGTGTGGGGAACAGACTATGTATAAGATGGCAAGTCTCGCTCTTGGATTATTTAAACACAAAATGGATGCCTTCGAGTACAATCCCAACCCCGGCCGTGTGGTCTTCGGCAGCGGCACGCTGCAAAAACTCCCCGATGAGATTTCCCGCTTGCAATTGAAGGCTCCGCTTGTGCTCTCGACACCCCAACAGGTCAGCCAAGCCGAGACAGTTAAGGATGTGCTCAAGGGCCAGATCGCCGGTATTTTCACCGAAGCGACTATGCATACTCCCACGAATGTTACAGACAAGGCTCTTGAGTATGCCAAGGCCCAGGGAGCCGACTCCGTCATTTCTATTGGAGGCGGAAGCACTATCGGTCTCGGAAAGGCGATCAGCATTCGCACTGGACTGCCACATATCTGTATTCCGACTACATATGCTGGTAGCGAGATGACCCCGATCCTCGGCGAGACTGCCGATGGATTGAAGAAGACTCGCTCGGATCCCAAAATCCTGCCTGGCACGGTTATCTACGATGTGGATCTCACGATGACCTTGCCCGCGGCTATGAGTGCTACTAGCGGTGTCAATGCCATTGCGCATGCTGGTAAATATACCGAATTAACCTTCCTGCATCGACTTCCTATGCACTACTAATGCGTTTCTTAGTCGAGGCTCTCTACGCGCGCAACACTAACCCCATTATCAACTTGATGGCGCTCGAGGGCATACGGGCACTTGCATCCTCCCTTCCTGAGATCGTTGAGAACCCATCTTCTCAATCTGCACGATCCAAGGCCTTATATGGTGCCTGGCTATGTGGAACATGCCTGGGTAGTGTGGGCATGTCCATCCACCACAAGCTGTGCCACACACTTGGCGGCAGCTTCAATCTTCCCCACGCCGAAACTCATACTGCCGTCCTCCCGCATGCTATTTCCTATAATGCACCTAGTATCCCTGAGGTTATGAAGCAGTTGGCCAACGCCCTACCGGATAGCAATGGCGATGCGATCCACGGTTTGAACGTTCTCTTGACTAAGCTTAAAGTCAAGCGCGGTGTGAAGGATTTCGGCATGAAAGAAGAAGACATTGATAAAGCGGCTGATATTGCGCTGTCCAATGCTTACTGGAATCCTCGCCCGGTTGAACACGCACCCATCCGCGAATTGATTCGACGGGTTTGGGCGGGAGAGCCAGCGCAGGCGAATCTGTAGATATCCTTTGCTTTTTATGTTAACATGATGAAATGCGCAAATAGCCCTGTGTATTGGAATAATTTGAGTATATTTTCACCAAAATGTGATTACATACTAGGAAGTTGGTTTGCTCTGCCAATGGGCTCTGTTGTATTCCCGTTTATCCATGGCGGGGTGAAGTGGGGGGCATTTTTTTTCCTCCAAAAACTTTTAGCAAATTCTCGTTATTCTTGCCTCAACACCACACTTTCCCCTCTATATTACAAAATGGGGTCTGAAATGAAGTCGGCACCTGTGCTGTCGACTGCTGACGATCGTATTCTCGAAGAAACCAAACCAGTGGCCTCACGAGACCTGAGTGCTCCAGTGTCAGACGATGAACTCTCCATTACCTACGATATCGAGCGCACATTGAAGGAGATTAGACAAGCACGGTACAAGCGCATTGCTCTTCAGTTCCCAGATGATATGCTTCCTGATGCTCCGCGAGTATTTCAATTACTTAGCCGGGGCCTAGAACGCGAACAAGTCGGTACCAATGACACACAGCCCTCGAACAACACCGATGCGGACCTTGCTCACTCGACAACTGAGCTTAAGGTGGAGGATAAAATAGAACAATACTCGCCTCGTTTGACAATTTTGGCCGATACATCCTACGGGACCTGCTGCGTCGACGAAGTGGCCGCGGAACATGTGGACGCAGATGTGGTTGTGCATTACGGGAGGTCTTGTCTGTCGCCCACAGCTCGGCTACCTGTGATCTATGTTTTTACGCATAAGAATCTGCCCCTCGAGCCAGTGGTACGAGCGTTCAAGGCGACTTATCTTGACCTAACGGCCAAGATTATCATTGCAGCCGACGTTACCTATGCAGATCATGTTCCTGCGGTATACGCCCGCCTGGTGGAAGAGGGGTATAGCAACCTGTATGCAACGCAAGTTTTCCATGAGCCTTCCTCGCCGATTCCCAATCGCACAGTCCCCGAGTCGGTTCAAGAGGCTCCTGAGACGCTCACCGACTGGCAACTGTTTCACATTTCCGATCCGCCAACAGCTCTCATGATGACACTTGCATCTCGCGTTGCTGCGATCCATATTTATCCTACCAATGACCTTTCAAATGAGGACGTCAAGCCATTGCCTGCTTCCACTGCTGCGGTTTTGCGACGCCGCTATGGCACCCTTGCCTCTCTGACCACTGTGCCTATTTGGGGCATCCTTATCAATACTTTGAGTGTGAAAAACTACCTACATATTGTGGAACACGTCAGGGAACGAATTGCCGGAGCAGGCAAGAAGAGCTACATGTTCGTGGTTGGTAAATTGAACGCTGCCAAGGTAGCCAATTTCAGTGAAATTGGTGGTTGGGTGGTTATTGGCTGCTGGGAAAGCTCTTTGGTGGATAGCACAGATTTCTGGAGGCCAGTCATTACTCCATTTGAATTAGAGCTGGCCTTGAAAGACGACTCAGACCGGGTGTGGACAGGAGAATGGCAGAGTGACTTCCAGGCAGTCCTCGACGCACCAGCCCAGGAGGTCAACGGAAATGGAGATGATCAGGGGAAATCCAATGCAGCTGTGTCCGATGAGGATGACATGTCAGAACCCGAGTCGGCGCCGCCCGAATTCGACCTGCGCACCGGTCGATACGTCTCAAATTCCCGTCCAATGCGGGAACCCGCGCCCCGCGCTTCCCAGGTCGATGGATCATCCACCACTGGGCCATCCGCTGCTAGGGCGCTCGCGCGACGAGCTAAGGGCGACTTGGCTATGATCGGCAATACCGTTTCACCAGGTGCAGAATACTTGCGATCACAACGGACGTGGACGGGTCTGGGTAGTGACTTTAACATTCAATATGATGAGGAAGACCCGGATGATAGTACTCTGGTCAAGGAAGGACGCAGGGGTATTGCGAGGGGCTATACTGTAGGCGATGCAACCGAAAAACATTAGTCCACATGGCCTAGCATAGACACCATTTGCACTAGACTCAGCGATCAATGCATTTTAATTTTTTTTTTCTTTGCAGAACGAAACCCATGAACCACGCAGATCATCAAAATCCGGGGGTTTGTATGCCTATCACATGACGCTGGTCTCCTAACGGGCGCATCCGGATATCACTTGTCTCGCTCAGCTTTTGAATTTCTTCTCTCTTTTTCTTCCCTTTTCCTTTATTCAGGGTCATAGGGGCATACATAATACATCTGTGTTTCTTTGCCTTCCCGTCTCTTTGGGATTTCGTCTTTTCCCCTCCTTTTTATACCCCTCTCTTCCTCGCTCCCCCTTCAGATACCCCAATTCGTCAGCCCTTGCGACCTCATTTTTTCAATTATCGACTGTTTACCTTTCATGGCCTTGCATGGTGGCTTACCTCAGGTTGTGCTTGCCCCCCTCGATTGCATCTTCGGGTTGTCTTATCATGCGCCGCGTCTCTAACCGCCGAGCTCGCGACCTCGCGCTATCTCGATCTTCGACCTAAGAATCAGCATATCTTATTCATCACCAAGGCCCTATGACGAATCACGGTCTTGATACCATGGATAGGGGGGACTTCGCTGGCGAGGACCCAGCCTCACACCTGGCGGTGCTGGAGAATGCCTTGCAACACCTTGTTATCCCAGAAGAACGAACCCTGTCCACCTTTGAGCGAGTGATAACAACAAATGCACCCATATTCGAGTCTTTGTTACTTCAAATCCCGACCGACACTATCATAAAGCTATATCACACTTCAAATTACCTCCGTACGTTCCTTCGATCATATCCGACCGCATGGAAGTCACTCTCGTTTCGCCTACAATTTCCTTCAAGCTCTCTACCGAATCCTCAAATCAATGATCCAAGCATCCCTGAAACACCTCCAGCGCGTCAATCCCGACCGTATGCCCTAGACATGCTCCTGATGAATGTGGTGATGCCATTCAGTAGGTGTTTGAAAAGCCTAGAACTGGATAATACGGCGATTTCGGGAGAGAATCTGACCTCGACCGTGCTGCATTCACGTCGGGAGACGCTGGTACATCTCTCTATCCGAGGCTGCAAGAATGTCTCTTTGAAATATCATATTGTTCCTTTCTTGACTATGTTCGCGCTGCAATGTGAAATTGACATGGAGAATAATACCGGAAGCTCTCCGGGGATGAAACGACTTGCTCTCAAGAGTATCTACACCTACCGATGCCGTCATCATCGAAGACGTCCTTACCTGTCATCTTCACTGATGCGGAAAGACGCCGACGCAGAGTCGACCCATGAACTTGTCAATATCTGCCACAAGCTAGGCATCTGGACTGATACCGCTTGGTGCACCACACCTGCTGGTAGATGTGCTCGCAGAGCCGGTTATGTCAAATCGAGGTTCCCGCATGGAGGAGGTTCGCCGGAAGTTTGGGTAGTCTTTGATCGACTCTGGAGATCTAAAAATTGGATCGGCCCAACCGAGTCTGAGACCCCTCAGCCACACGTGTACGATGGAAAACTGTGGGAGAATCGTGACACCGGACTCTTTGGCGAGGCATTAGGAACTGGTGAGGGTATTGATTGGGGTGAAGGCAAAATGACGCCTGCTCATCTGCGCCGTAGTCATACCCAATTTGTTGATAAGATTCGCTGTGACAACTGCCTCGATGATATCTCAGAGCGATGTGAACATTGCAGTGTCTTGATGCACTGTGTCGGATGCCGTAAAACACTTTGTGCGAGCTGTGCCCACGAACGGCCGTATCTTCACAGAAGCATACCACCCTCTTCGTCCGAGAAGAACCAGAGTCCACCGGATCTCTTCTGGTGGGCACCTGGGGCCACACACTCTCCTGGCTCAATGCAGGATCCCATGGATATTCTGACAGCCCCAAATCAACTTCAGGGGACAGGGATGGACCCCCCGCCTATCCTCAATTTCCATTGGTGCTGCACCAAGCCTGATCTCTCTGGGGGAGGTGGGATTAGCATCGGACCTCGCAATGGCGAGGTGGACCAAGTACGAGCCGTGCCTTTGCCTCGTGGCCAAGGCTGGGAGGACTTAGAGTACACTGTCAGTGAATGGAGCAAAACGTTCCCCAAGTATGCATATGGTGATCCGAGCAAGCCGGACTACTCGCTTGAGACAGGTCATCTGGCGATGATGAAGTGGCTGCTGGGGCCGCCTAACCGGGAAGTTTCACCATGTCCGCGTAACTTGTGCCAAGGATGTTACGATTCACCACAGTGGAAGGTGCACTGCAAGAGCTGCTCCAAGCCTCTCTGCATTGAACATGACCTCCGTGGACTTCGATTAAGGATATGCGGTTATCGAGACCTCGAGACAGAAAAGCAAACGATACAAAATCGATTCGCTGCAAATCTATCGGGATTCTCTGGTCAACTTCCTGAATACGACGACATACTTTTTAGAAGTCAACAACTTCTTGATTCAACAAACAAAAGTTTTATCGACGATTCACGTCAAGATAGTCTGGACGAGGAGGAAAATACACCCGATTCACACGTTGGTGATCAGTCGGGTCCTGTTTCCTTCTTCTCCAACCAACCAACTCGCTCCTTTTCGGCCCCTGCATCTGACCATTCTTCCCCCCCATCATCCTCGTCATCCACCTTCTTTGATTCGCCGACATTCGAACCCTCCAGATGGCAAGGCTGCCAATCCTTCTTCTGCCCCCCGGCTGATCCTATCACCGGAATCAGGGATGTCAGAGGTGGTATCAGGGATCCACGCCCCAGATGCCCCAGTTATCTGCGGGAATGTAAAGGCTGCAAGGTGTATGTATGCGCGGACTGCATCTACACCCACCCACCCTGCAAATGCTCGTATTGCGAGGAAAACTACTTGTGCCCCAATTGCATGACGGACCGCCCTCGTGACAGTTTGTGCCGCCGTCGCCATGAGGAAAGGGCACAGCGTGACCGCAAATGGAAAAAAGAAATGCAGGCGCTTGAAGCCATCCTTGAGCTGAAGGTGGCTAATGAGCTTGCTGAGTTTGCAGGCGAGTTCTTTGACCTCGTTGAGCGGCGCAATAGTCTGCCTTCGGGGACTATGGTCCCCTTTGATAACGGGATCGTCGACCTTTTCGAAGGGGACATTGCAGCAGCCGAAACGTCCGCTTCGTACTTTGAGCCTGATGACCTTGACTGGTTCCTCCAAGACTCTCATTAGTCCGAGGCGCTGCTCACCGTCTCCGATCCGGACTACTGGACTATCGTGATTACGAGCGTCTTTCTTTCTTTTTGATTTCTTTCTTTTTTCAGTTTCTTCAGCGATCTCATATCCTGGCGTCATAGGGGAGTCTATCTACTATGAAATATTTTCGAGGCAATCTACCCAAGCGGGATCCGATATCTTGGTGTTCTAATTCGGCGTTGTACCAAGCCAAATGGATCGGCGCATTGTGCACACCTTTTTTTTGCTTCTTCCATTCGACCCCTCCTCTTTCAAAACCGGGCTGAGGCTGCAGATAGGGGGGAACATGGGTTACACCATTTACCTGGCAGTTACTCGGGAAGGGCTTACTGCGTTGACGACATAACTGGCCAATGGATGCAGGCACCAGTGCCAGAATTTACGACTTGTTTGTTATTTCTTACTTTCATTTCTTTGTTGAATATTTCTAGGAATGGAATGGGTGACTGGGGATGAATGTGCACTGGTTGACCATGGAGGGGGCATATCCCCAAGAAATTAGGTATTATCTTACCACTTCCTATTCTTCTTGACTGCTTTATCCTTGTAGTGTTACACCAATGATCGTACGTTCCTTCAACTAGTTCAATATTAGTCCCCTTGGCTAAGTTCGAAGGTTGTATAAACAATAGCGCCACACCCAGCGCGCACAAAGTATAATAGCCAGTAATAATGCAGTATGAATGCACCACATGCATTGGAAGAATACTTACTCCGTATAGATAGCGGACTAGTATAATCTAAGCATAATAAAGTCTATCGTCATCCATCAGCTGGTGGGGGAAGAAGCAAAACAGCCCCGATCAAATGAGAGGCCCCCCACGATCAGATACCCGAACCTACATATTGTAGCATCCGAGGAACATCCAAGTGTGGTTTCATCATCTGACGTGACCCTGACCAACGCACCCAAAAGTACCAAAAAAAAACGCCTCAGAACGTGTCGGGTCGTAGATGGATAGAGGGATGCGGTCAAGAACAACGGCCATGACACAGCGCTAGTGTATGCAACCCACGTGGATTTCTTGAAATGCAATGTCCACGGCTCTGCACGTCCCGGGGCTCTTATCGGCGGTGTATACCTTGTTTGGGCCAATAGCGTATAAAGTACTCCGTACTTCGTACATCTGGGCAGAGTTGGGCTCTACATATGTTGTACTATGGGGTTTTTCAAGCGGGCTATGTGGTCTAGCCCTCTAGGGCTGAAGGAATCAGGCAGCTAGATCTATATCTGGTTTTGCGGTAAGTGTGCTGGCTATTCTAGAAACACGTAGACTGAAAAAATATCTGTTGTACTAATAATGGATGAAGTACTAAGTACTAGGCAGATCCATATTGGGTAGTATAGATCGCAGGTTCAAAGTATCAAGTCGGGTGGATCGGACGATCACTTGTTAAACCTTGGGACAATTCAGTTCTACCCGCTTCCCCGGTGCCCCTTTTTCTTTTAATTTATTAATTTATTATTTTACATTATTTTACATTTTTTTACATTTTATTACATTTTATTTTATTTTGTCTTGTTATTTTCTTTTAAATGCTATTATTACGCTGTTACGCTATTACTCTATTACGCTATTATGCCACTATACCATGCTAATTCTTATTCTACCATATGATACGTACTATGTGTATCAACCCATTTTCACCCCTTAAAAAGCTTCCTAAGATATCCGATCGGCTGGCGCGGATGTGATGCTTTAGTCCCCGATTGGGTGCGGGACAACTTCGGTACTCTGGAAGTCATCCTATTAGTCCCAAAGCACATATTTGGAATGTCAGTGGCGAGTACGGAGTACCGAAGGCATGTAGGAAGATGTAGGGAATTAAGTACCGTACGCTAGGTGCCGTTCATGTATTCTGACATCATAAGCCATAATACAATTTACTTTGTATAGTCTTTTCTCAAGGGGTAAAAATTCCCCAAAAATAGGGCGCTAAAGCCCATCTTGAACCCGTCACAAAACGATCTCACCAATAATATACATTAGATATCTACTCTTTCGATCACGGCGCAAGGTTAAGTGGTCCGTTGTCCCGTTCAATTTAGGCTCCAGAGAAGATGTCGGTGAATGCGTTCCTTGAGCTTTAGACGCGTGACCGGTCTATTTCCGAAGCAAACATTTTATTTAACAGGGATTGTTTTATATTATATATTTTATAATTTTATATATATTTTCTATTTTTTAAAAGAGAAATAAGAACAGCTGTTATAGAAATTTAATTTAATATTTCTTTACTCCGTACTCTGAGTAGTGGTGTGGTTTATATAAAGCCTTTGCTTTCGCACATCTATTTGAAATCAATCAACTCCCGACTTCAAACCATTTCGAACCCTCGAGAACTATACCCTTAACACACCTACCTCTACCTCCTTTATATTTACCATGGACAAAATCAAGACACCCAAAGAGGAACCCAAGGAGGAGACAGAAGAGGAGGAGAGACCTATGACTGTTGAAGAGTATCAGAGGAAATGGGATCAAATTCTTCAAGATACCGCAAAGCAGATCGACCAGATTCGAGGTGAGTTCAAACTTCTCTGACATATGCAGAAGTAAGAACTGACAGCGGTTATAGAAAATGAGTTAAGAAGGTCGAATAATAATCAAAACGAGCAGCGTTGATTACCGACATTTTTTTTTCTATCGAAACCGCTTATGCAAGCCGTGGGGTTTATTGGAAACCGACCTTCTGGTTGTTTCTTTTTTTTTTCTTCCTTTATTTTCCCCCCTCTACGGGTGATGAGAGCTTTGGGGGTGGGATCAGATGGTGTTATTTTTTGGGAGTACTACATTATACCTTGATCTTTGGACATTCGCTTTTTTTTTTTTTTTTGTTACAAGGCCACATGCATGAGAATACTACAATTTTCCTTACATCCGTCTATTTAACAGACACTCTATGGGATGTAAAAAAGAAAAGAAGGCAAAAGAGGGAGCCTCAAGTGGGGGAGGCAGCTTCCTTCTCTGGGGGGGGGGGGGGGGGGGGTCTATTGGTTAACTCGAGTGATCCAACAAACCTGCATTGCCCAATCACTTCAATCACTCACTGAATCTTTTCAGCCTATGCACGTCATGGCTGCCGCTAACGATCAGCTTGCTCAACCATCCTTGTAGGTTGTCCCAAAACGGTAGGAGACATGTGCTAACAACCCGACCATCAGGCCACTGGAAATCGTGGCTCACAATGCCACCGTGATCATAAGCGGTGTGCTTTTGGGGGCCCTGCTTGCGTTCGTTACTTCTCACCTGGGCTGGCTGCGCCACCATCTCGGCTTGAACGATCGGTTGGTCAACACAATCTTCCCACTGGGAACACGATTCTTCTTCTTTACATTTCCTTTGTGGATTATTATGACAATACAACCTGCTCTGCGCATTTCTGGTATGCATCTAACAGTAACATGGAGGCAACTGGTCTAACTTCATCAGCGTTTATAAGAGAACAAGTTCCTCTGTTTTGTCAGTCAATGATGCCCAATCTATTCCCACCGGAGGACAATGTCATTTTCGAGAGCAAGAATCCGGCTCAAATGACCACACCCACTGGTTGAGATGATGAATATTGGAAAAGGTTAAACTTTGCGCATGTAAGATGCTCCTGTTTCAAATTATGCAGTCAAATGGATCCCAGAAAGCCACACAAGTCCATTGTAGAAAGATCGCGGTGTAGAGGCGATTAGGGCTGGCGGCAAAAGCGCCAACGGAAGAAAAAGCCAAGAGTCTCCACATCCTTCCCTTTTGGGCTTTTGCTTTTGGCTCCATCCTCCACGAATTATTACTTTGTATATCACCACATCGTTACACCGTCTACCCAACTAAACCCCCCCCCCCCCCTTACCGACTCTATCTCTTTTCTCTTTTTTTTGATCTGCCGCTATGTCTGCCGATCTCGACCAAAACCCCTCCCCCGCCGACCTAGCCGAACGCGAACGTGAGAACAAGGAGCGCAAAGCTCGCGAGGATGCCGAACAGGCTCAACTCCCCTACAAGTGGACACAGACTATCCGCGATGTGGATGTGACAGCACCAATTCCCAGTAACCTCAAGGGCCGCGATTTGGATGTGCTGTTGACCAAGAACAAAATCCGCGTCGCGATCAAGGGACAAGAACCCCTCATTGAGGTATGTCGACTGTCTCCACTCCGGAGATTACACCGTACACTCTAAATCAACACATCAACTCGATCAGCAAGCTAACTACCCCATTTTCCTTTTCAGGGCGACCTTCCCCACACCATTCTCGTCGACGAATCCTCTTGGACTCTTGAGACCACTCCTACCCCGCCCGGCAAGGAAATCAACATCCACCTCGATAAAGTGAACAAGGCCGAATGGTGGCCTCACGTTGTGACCACCGCCCCTAAAATTGATGTCACAAAGATTACGCCCGAGAATTCCAGCCTAGGCGATCTGGATGGTGAGACTCGCGCTATGGTTGAGAAGATGATGTATGATCAGCGGCAAAAGGAGATGGGCGGTCCCAGTAGTGATGAGCAAAAGAAGATGGAAATGCTGAAGAAATTCCAGGCTGAGCATCCCGGTAAGTTGTTATTGTCCCCTTTCAATCATTGTTCACCTCGCCGATCCCTGGAGACGAGTCCATTCTTTCGTTTTAATATGTTGCTAACATGCGGTCTTGCAGAGATGGATTTCTCTAACGTCAAGATGGGCTAAATCCACTATTAGTATTCAACGATACCTAGCCCTTCGTTCTCTATGCAAAAATATCAATGTATGAAGTATGAGTTATACGGGTGGATGATCTTCGATGAATGATGAATGGCGTTTCGAATCCAATTTCCAAAACTCGGTATGAATCTCCGGTTTATTTATTCCTGGAAGTAGATGTCTTTTATTGAGTGTCCTGGTCGTCTTCTTATTGTTTCTTCTCATTTTGCCAAGCGTACAAATACGAGAATTACCTTATGAGGAATAGCGCTATTCAAGTCGATCTGTCTCTTTGCCCCGTATTCGCCATCACCACATGGCACTTTCTCACTCTATTTGGACATATGAAGTGAAGTCATGAGGCTGATTAGAACAAGGCGCAGTTCTGCAGACTTGAGCCTCCTCTCATTGCCCCGCGCCCGGCTAGGGATCTCAGCCGCATGTCTATATCGCAACCCAATATCTCGATCTCTTGAGCCGCCCAACGTCAGCTTTTTCGTACAATTTTCAGCGTATATTTGGTTTAGGTACATCGTCAAATATTCCCCTTGTTCAAATTTATACGTCCAAAAACAATGGACGATGTGCAGCCTAAGGCCAAAACCAGGCCACACTCGTCTAGGCACGTGCCGGGACAGAATATGGCTTTTCGAATCCCGAACTACAAAAAGGACCCCCTAGCGTACGAGTCCGAACCGTCCGAACATGTCTATCATTCCCGCCGGTCTCATCGGAAATCCCGCGCCGGCTGTGTGAACTGTAAGCAACGAAGAGTCAAGGTACTTCGGACGGCCCCATTATCACGCATCAGCTAATAATGATTGATCAAGTGCAATGAAGCAAAACCCCATTGCCTCCGATGCCAAAAACATGGCGTCGAGTGTGACTACTCGAGCCAGCTAGCTCGACCTCAAATGACCAATAAGATTGTTTCCAAATTCATCAAAACCAGCCCCGAGTTGGTCTCGATTGATTCTCTAGCTTCTTCAATTTCCCTAATGATGGTCGCGGATAAGTTGAAGGAATTACTGCAATTACCCTCTGATACCGGTACCAAGCTGCCGAGAGCACTTACAGATGCCTCGGCATCAGCCCGCACTCTTGAAGCATTGCATCATTTCCACAAAGCTCCAGCCTTTGCAACCGAATGCCAAACACCTATTCGCATAGTAATGGGTAAAGTGGTTGAACTTGCATTTGAGGTAAGCCTATTCATAGTTTTAGAACACTTCTCCCCTATATCCGCCATAACACTATAACCCTATAACCTAATACAACTCCAAACTAACCTTAGAACCCCCAACCCTAGAGCCCTTTCCTCATGCACGCCATAATAGCAGCTGCAACAACCCACCTCTGCACCCTCCTCCCAGACAACAAAGCCTATCGCCTCGCAGAAGCCTACCACTGGCAACAAACAATAAACCAATACTCGACCGAAGTCTCGACAAACATAACCCGCGCAAACATGGACAAGTTATACTCCACCTGCCTGATGATCAGCATGCACTCCTTCATCCAAGAAACCTTCAACCCGCGCGCCTCCTTCGTCTTCTCCACCGACCCCACAGCGCTAACCTGGCTCCGCCTGCAAATCGGCCTGCGCTACTTAATCGAGTGCACGCTGCCCTGGCTCCCGCAGAGCATGTGGTGGACTGTATTCATGACATCGCGGGATCCGTCCCTGGACTTCGAGGATACGCGTCCTGGTCGTGTGGGTCTTGATCCGGACTTGGCAAATCTTTGTGGGATTCGAGATGATTCGACTGTTGAGGAGAATCCGTGTTTGTGGCCTTTGAGGATGCTTATGCAATTGTTGCCGTTTGAGAGGAAGGCAGATAGTTTTAGGGTTTATAATACTTGGATGGGGAGGTTGGAGAATCCGTTCTATGAGTGTTTGCTTAGGAAGGAGACGCCGGCGCTTGTTGTGTTGGCTTGGTGGTTGGGGCTTATGTGTTATGTTGAGGAGTGGTGGGTTGAGATGAGGGTTCGCTCGGAGTGTACGGCTATCTGTATGTTTCTTGAGGATAGTTCTGATCCGTTGGTTTTGAAGTTGTTGGAGTTTCCAGCGTCGTGTTGTGGGTATTTGCTTAGGCATGAGCAGGAAGGGGCTAGGTTTCTTGAGCTGGATTGAGGTTTGGGTGAAGTTGGTTACTAATTTTAAAGATTCTATACCTTGGAAGCTGTCCTTCAATAATTGCCAATGTAGTGGCCATTGCCATCGAAACTAGCTGGGCCCATAGTCTCTCTATCTATTCCTATCGCTTATTTGCTTGCCAAGTAATCATTCTCACCTGAAAGCTTGACTCCGTTTATTCAGTGGCTCTACCCAGTTGCCTCATCAGATGTCTGGAAAACGGCAAACCAAAAGCCATATGCCTAGGCGAACTATCATTTGGAGATAAGTACTAAGGCCAAGCCATTTCCAAGCTTCAATTTACATACATATGTAGGCTATATGTAGGCTCCACTTAGTTTGCCAAGTCTGTGATTCAAGGAATCGGGCTATTAAACGGTGGATACTTACGGAGTATATTGGGTCTATTTGTCAAACCCAAGACTATCCATAGTCCTAGGAAGACCCGATTTCACTGATAACTGGTCTAAGCTTATACGTAGTATGATATCATTACTTGATATAATTGTTTTACAAACCGATATAAATGATATATCTCTCTGGAAATGTATAATTTAGTACAACATAGTGATATACGGAGTACGCCGTAAATAATGATATACAACATATGCAGTACACAGCGCTAGCAAAAAGATAGCGTAGACTTGGCGGAGCCACATTGACTAGATTCTAACTACAACATAGGGGGTTGGTCACTAAGGGTGGTCGGCGATCGTAAGAGATCATCGGTGTTTGTTTCACTGGAGCCCGGATTGAAGCCTATGTTGTACAACAGTAAACAAAAAATCGAACAAGAAGGCTAAGAACTAGACTTCGGAGTATCCGTGGCTTCAAAGCTTTGCTCTATGGTGCCTGTGACCTGTGTTCCCAGTGCCTATCAACTGAATCGGGCTAATATTACAGCTCCATGAGTGGCTATACCTATGATTCTGTTGAGAACGTTACTTTTCCTAGTGGCGGAATCAAGGCACGAGACAATAAGCCAGCCTTGATGTTGCGCTATATGCTCAAGAATGTGGGATATGGCTACATTAAGAAATTTTATGATTATACAATTCATCACTTCGAGGACAGAACCACGCATTTTCACATTACCTTTGAGATTTCTGTAAACATGACTTCTTCCAAGGTCAAGCGGCAGAATGACTTAAGAGTCATGATTTATTTCCAATTTCAAATCTCTCTTATTTCCAGCCACGGTAGTAGAGGTGCATCTACAGCTCTTGCAATCAGATGGCAGCAATATGCGAAGGCTGGAAATGCCGAAGTGTCTGGGTTTGTGAGCAAAACAACAAGGCCTTCTTCTGTACCATTATCGGTTTTACCATCAGACTATGGACGCAGGCAATGACATGAGTCGTCTCGTTTCAATGTACCTGGAACCTGGCGAGTAATTACCGAAACTTCTGAAACTTTCAGAGCAAGTAGGACTCGAGGAAATCTAGTTTGGAAAGGCTGTCTTTTGCTGTTCGAAAGTGGTCATTTTTGGCGTCAATTATACAGGCGTAAAAGAATTTGATCAAAGAGCCTATATATGCCCATCTAGACATGGTTTGTCGAGGGGTAGGTGATAAAGCTAGACAGGGAGCATTTGATTCGACACAATGTCTATAGTGTATTCGAGGTTATCATGATTGTTACACTATTTATGCCTGCCCGGATGCGAGTGAGTACCAAGGTAACCGAGGATCTCGATACAGTGTCCTCCTGCATCCATGACAGGCGAGTGAGTATATGCAGGTCAATATTAGGTATCCAAAACTATCCCAAAAGCAATCCCTTTTGGCGCCAAGTCCCAGTCATATCGTAAGTATTTGATCAGTGTCCATAAATGATCTCATCACGTCATGTGCAATAAAACAGCACCAAAGGAAAAAGATATGCAGAAAGGAGAGAAATGCAGCAATGATGCAAAAAATAAAAGAAATCCACGATGGACAATACCAGATCGCCCAGATCAAAAGATCGGTGTGGAAAATTATTAAACGAGGAGCTGATAAGCAAAAAGCAGCAAGCAAATGTTCTTTCCGCAGTTATTAAATGAGGCTGTATCACCGGCTCTCCCAGGAGACCCGCCGATGACGACGAATGGATCGATCATCCTCATCGGAGTATGTAGGTCCAGTCCGCGAGCCGTTCATGCGGGCAGCAGGCGGCGGATTAATGATGACTGCCATAGCGGACGAGATGGACATGGACCGCGAGCGGCTCAGCACTGCGGAGTGGCGGGGTGAGTACGGCGGTGGTGGAGTATCCCTCGTTGCGGTAGAGGTATTGCCGTAGCTGCTCGGAAAGGAAATGGCCGACGAGCTATCGGAAGTGACATCTTCATCGTAATGACTGGCGTTCTTTTCGTCAGAGGGGTAGGAGTCCTGGGACTCGGAGGAAACCGGCGGGTCACGCATATGGGATTCTAGAGTCTTCTCGTGGAGGCTCATTGGACGGGGTGTGTACTGCGGGAGAGGGACTACGCTAGAATAGCCCCCATCCTCCGAGTCAGAGGGCGGGGGTCCGTGCCCATGGCCCCCGGTTGAGGATGCTGAGCGAATGTATTCGCCTTCCCCAGAAATTACAAAGCATCCTGTCTGAGTGCTGTTGAGGTTGGATCTCTGAGTAATCTCTGGGGATGGATGGGACTGCGAGTGTTTCTCATCCTGGGTGGTGAAGCATCCGCAAAGTACGGAGAGGAAAGACATGACTCAACGCGGTGTCTGTTTTTTTAATTGACAGCGCCAAAACCAATAGCGACTTGGCTATAGCGAGAGGAAGTGGCCCGTGAGAACTGTCCTCTAGACAAGAACTATCGTATGAGCAGTTCTGCTGTTGAGCCTCAAACGCCGATAGTGGGCTTAACCCCACTTGCGTCAATAAACCCCACCTGAATTGACAAACAGGGAGACTTGAATGTTGGAATCAGATTTGAATCTAGAAAGACAAGTTCATACATAGAAAGAAGAGAAGAAAATGAGGGGTGAAAGAAAAAGGGCAGAAAGGACAGATGAGAACTGACCCGGCGAGGCACCCGCAGGCATCCAGATTCCCAGAAAGTCTAATTGGGTCCCGATAAGATAGGAAATCTGTATGCCTAAGGCAACAAAATTGGAAGCATTCATTCTTGTTAATGTAGAGTTGGCTCATAATAATAAGAAATCTTGGAATGATGTATGTTTCAAAACGACTGCTTAGTAAATTATACAGTCCTAGGTTTTGCTGGGTTAGTATTGTGATGAGCGAGGTTGTATAAGCTTCAAATATGTCGGAGACGCCATTGAGCGTCCATTGGCCCCGAGCAACACTGCCCCAGGAAAAGCTAACTCATTTACACGAGCCTCACTCTAGTTTATTAGGGGTTGACAAAGAAGCATAACATCAAGAAGGATATCTGCTTGAATAAACTTTAATGAGTCTTATACATGACTCTCAAGTGTTCTTCCAAGTTCATACATAATTGGGCAGTTGGGCTAGCATTCATGATTAGAGGTAGAAGGATCTCCCCGGATGTATGAGAAGGGACTTCCTACATGTATTGATCCCTCAGTAAAGCATCTTAGGGTTGTTGTAGCTGTCTACAAAAATCGATAAGCGATAATCGATAAGATCGGAAAGATAGGTTAGGCGGTGTACAGAACTGCCCAGATGGTGACTATCATTGGCTCAAAGGTGGAGTGGGTCGAGGGGCAAGAAAGCATGTGGGCAAAATAAAGTCATGTGATTCAATCACCCCACCAATCGCGTCGCCGCCTGTATTTTTTTTTTGTTCTCCCCGCCTTGTCCTCGACGATCACTTAGTTGAGTGATAAGATTTTATTTCCATAACTAATTCCAAATTCTGAGCCAATCAGAACTACAAAGTTCATCCAACATCATGACCGTCGATCTTAATATCGAAGAGGTGACACAGAATGTCGAGCCTCCTCAGGTCGCCGCCCAACGTCCCCAAGATCCCAGCAACAACCTAAAACGGACTGACCCCTTTCAATTCGGCTCACGATACCTTGAAAAGGGGGATGATGTTTTTGAGTTCAATGCTTGGGACCATGTCGAGCCAGATGACGAGTTTAAGGCCTTTGCCGAGACCCAATATGCGAAACAGCGCGAAACACGCGTGTCGGACTTTGATCGCAACCGATTCAACAACGACCCCGCCAAATGGTGGGACCTTTTCTATAAGAACAACACAGCCAACTTCTTCAAGGATCGAAAATGGCTGCGCCAAGAATTCCCAATTCTTGCTGAAGTGACACAGAAGGATGCCGGTCACCAAGTCGTCCTGGAGGTTGGCGCAGGTGCTGGAAACACCGCCTTCCCATTGCTGGCCAACAACGAGAACGAGCACCTCAGGATTCATGCCTGTGATTTTTCCAAGTATGCCGTGAAGGTCATACGCGAGAGCGAGCTCTACAACGAGAAATACATGTCCGCTGATGTCTGGGACGCATCTGGTGCACCTGACGAGAACAGCGATGCCCTCCCACCTGGTCTGACGGAAGGCTCAGTTGATGTCGTTATTCTAATTTTCATCTTCTCTGCCCTGGCCCCTAACCAGTGGGACCAGGCAATCCGCAATATCTACCGTCTCTTGAAGCCCGGTGGCCGTGTGTTGTTCCGTGACTACGGCCGTGGTGACCTTGCCCAAGTGCGATTCAAGAAGGGCCGATACATGGCCGAGAATTTCTATATCCGAGGTGACGGCACGCGCGTTTACTTCTTCGATAAGGACCAGCTCGTCGACATGTGGAGTACTTGGAGCGCAGAAAACGGCTTGCAGATTCCCATTGGTGATGATGAACCAACTGAAGAAGCGTCCGAGACAAAGATAGAGGAGCCATCTGCCGAGGCCAAACAACTTGCAAAGGACAATGGAGCATTTGAGGTCCTTAACATGGGAGCTGATCGACGGCTGATTGTCAACCGTGGAACCAAACAAAAGATGTACCGCTGCTGGATGCAGGGTAACTTCCGGAAGCGCGGTGGAACTGAGATTGAGGCTAAGACTGCCACCGAGAGCACTCAATAAACTCTGGATCACTAGTTCTACGATGGTCATTTCGGATGGCTATAAACCTTCACCAAAATCTCAGCCAAAGATAGGAAATTTATTGTCCACCAACAAGTACGGGCCATAGTCAGGTTCTTGTGACAGTCTTTCCTATCGTCCAAACTTGATCTCGCGATTTTCGCCATAAAATACTCATCATGCTGAGATCAACCTTCTATGCCGTTGGAACATTTCCAGTGGGAAAAGCTGAGGCGGTACCCTCAAAGCCACGAGGGAATGGCGTGAGTTGCTGTTTATATAGAGCAATGCCTCCATGATGGCGTTATGAATGTACGACACACCTATTAGACCATGTCATTTAATTTGCAAATACAGTTCAGAACCAATGCCTACCACATAGAAGACCATTCCAAGATGCTAATGTACAAGGTAAACTCTAACTACATGTATACACACAAGAATAGTCGGCTGTTTATGTGGCCGCTGTCCTCGACGACGTAGGACTTTGATAAACTGATATTAGAGACGCCATATGGAAGAACATTCCAATGTGTTTTTGGACGTTTTTTTAGGCATCTTTTTACATGTATACCAAAAGGGCAAAAATAATGTAAACGACAAGATCTTCTATGGATAAAAAATGTGTTTAAAAAAACCATATACCAGGAGGATACTTATACAACGTCTTTTTATACGATTTGAACAACTAACTAAGCATATTGATGATACAAATGATAGGAAATGATTCCGAAATAGAAATATGAAATATGTGAAAAACCAAAGTCGTTTTGTAAGTCTAGGCAAATATCAACAAAGGCAGTCTACAAGACGTAGATTCCTGAAGTGCAGCAAACGTGTCAAAAGTACATACAGAACAACCAAAAATTTTGTGCACCCCTGTATCTAGACAGCTAGAATGGTACCAATAGGGGGGAAAGAGAGAGACATCAGAGTTATATACAAGCTAATGCTCCAAGAATCGAAGAAGAAGGGACAGAAAATCGAGACGAACTCCATCCATGCACGCAAAATGGACATCAACGGTGACAAAGCTCCCGCAGAAATGAGATAGAAAATTTTCGTTGCAAGGGACCATAGCAAGTCGTGACCTGCAGCAAGTTGCAAGTCCAAATGTCTAATCGCTGTATGTTGAAAAGCGAAACCATGTATCACATGAGATTTGTTCATGAGCAAAGGGCAAAGAGCAATCGGCAATGTAGAGATATTGGTGCAAGTATGTTTGTTGGAAGGTATTTTCACATTGTCAGATTCGGACACTCGCCCTGAGCTCGTAGGAAGGCTCCTGCGAACAAGTCCTGCATGGCGTGGTAGTGGAAGAAGATACCGCCCAGGACAGCCAGGTGCCAGATATTGTGGCTGCCACCGAAGTAATCAAAAAGACCTGGCTTCCAGCGCTCAGGAATCTTGGAGGCGTAGACACAAGCACCGACAAAATAGACCATAATGCTCTTCAAGACTGGTGCATAGAAATACATAGTCCATGAGAAACCACGTGTATAGGAGAGCTGAGCGATGGGCGAGAAACCAGTAAGTGCTAGGGTCACATAGAAGCCCACGCGGGCCCAAGCCATATCGTGGCGGTTGAAGGTTGGATGCCACGGTAGAATGATGCCACCGATGCCCAGTGACATGGTAAGCAGAATGTATGTCCACCGGGAGAGGGGCTCGCAATAGAAAGCAGTGTATTCAGTCGTCACAATCGAGGCAGCGACTAGCATAGAGATTCCAGTGTAGTCAACACAAGCGAATCGTTCCATCAATGACTGCGAAGCGATACTGTTCATAGTATGCCAGATAGTGCTGCAAACTAAACATTTGCATGCAGCAAAGAAGAAAACAGCAACGATTGTGATGTCGGATTTGGAGCTCATGTGGAAATTGGTGTGAAGCGGGTAAAAGTAAAAGGCGATGGCTAGGACGATGACAAGGCCGATCACATGAGACCAGATGTTGAACATCTCATTCGAATAAGTGAAGATCGACGAGACACATTCCACCTTGGAAGTGGTGAATCGGTAGCCATTGATAATGTGCGGGTTGACGCGCCATGGATGAGGCAGTTCATGGTAGTTGATCAATCGCTTCTCCTGGGCCAGTCGGATTGCTTCTTCAACGGTATCTCGGAGAGTATCGCGAGTCCGGCGGGCACACTCCATACCCTCATCGACGATTTCCCGGGCATGAACCAAACCCGAATCCATCGCTTTCAACCCGTCATCAATAGTGCCATAAATGCCGCGATCACGAACCGCTTGCACTTTGTTCTCAAGTTCGACTAAGAATGACTCCATTAACCGCACACCGGCTTGCGCCTTTTGCTCAAGAGTCTCCTTGGTTGCCAGAGCTTCATTGTATCCATCCTCGAGGGTTTCGACCAGAATCTTTGCCCGCTTTTTTCCACTTCCCATCAGCTCTCCCGAGGCGAGGGAGCATTGCTCCCTCACAGCCTCTAGAGTCGCATAGCCCCGCTTGAGACTGGCATCAACCTGCACCATATGGGATTTCCGGTATTGCTCGATCCATTGCATTCGACGTTCGAGTTCGGCCAAGAAGAGTTCGACCTAGAATTTGATTAGACACACTGTTGCCAGGGTATATTTTCCACCAATAATGCATTCACATACCCTGATAAAGACGGCATCGGCATCTTGATAGTCGCACGAGAGTCTTCTAGAATGAGCGTGGAACGAATGTCTGCGCCGATCACGGAGAAGACCAATCTCCTCGTTCGGGGTCGCAATACCAGAGGCAAATGCCTCTGCTTCGGGATGAGACTCCATCGCTATTGAAGAAGTGCTGCAAGCCATGGGGCGTAGTTAAGAGATCATCCGTCAAGCCTCAATCGAATGCCATACAGAGTGTGAAGGGCAGGTGACTAGCGTTGAGATGCAAGGGTGAGGGATGGGACCCGGATTAGGACTCAGACAAAGCCTTGAGTTGAAACGATCTTGCTTAAACAAGGAATGAGGGGCACATCTAGTAACTAAGAAAGTACCAAAAAAAAGGAGGGGAATGGAGGAATGTAAGGTAAACGGGGGGCGCTGGGGGAAAAAAGGCCAAGAGTTCCCCCAACCACATAAAATCCCGAGGGCACATTGCGGCGCCAACCTGATCCATCCATCCCGCCTCAACCTCGTTTTCCGCTTTATCATTCGCCACAGTCATCGGACCTTGAAATATTTACCGGATTTACGAAGTACATGCTCCGTACACCCATCCACAATATGGCTATCAGTGAAATCGTCGCCGATGAGTCGCTCTTACCAGTGCTCCAGACTAGCGCTGAGACTCTGGTTCAGTGCCAGCACCTTCTCACCATATTAAATCCTGATACCCTGCCCAACGATGGTGCCAAGCTCCGAGAATTGTCCTTAGCTGCATCCAAGCAACAGAAACTCCTATTCGCACTATTGGCCCAACTCCGCGGCCAGAATCGGGATGCCATCTTTCGCGTGCGCGACACCAAGCACTCAACCGCGGAGGCTCGACAAGAAATCGACCGGCTACATCTTCAGCTACAGAACTTATACTATGAACAGAAGCATCTGACAGGCGAAATTGCGGCTTGTGAGGCCTATGAGTACGTAAATCTGATTTCCCACTCATAGCGCCCTAGTAACTGACATATTTGCTGTAGTCACAAATACCTATCCCTCCCTTTGATACCGGTCGGAGAATTCTTGGAGCTGTATCCTGAACATCGCGAGTCCAGCGAGCATGACCTCATGATCGCCCGCATCGAACACGAGCATGCTGAACGAGAGAAGCTGGAGCAAGCGCGACAAGAGCTTTTGAAGCGCAAGCAGGGATTGATCGCCGAGAACAAGAAAAGGAAGAACGACCTTGCCAACCTCGACCAAGATCTCGAAAAGTTCATTGATGTATGTTATTCCGCTTCAAGTCTGCCATTGGGCGGTTTGCTAATAAGTTTCATGACGTTCAGGCTGCTAAGCCGATTCAAAAGATCTTCGAGAAGGAATATTAGGCATTGCATGTGGAGGTATAGCGGCAGAGGCCTGGCCTTTTGACTGCTACATCGGATCGGCGTTACTGGTCAATATACCCTTGTTTTTTTTGTGATTTCAAAGTACTCCGAGTCGATAATGACATCCTGAACCCATTTGTGACCTCTTTGGGGATTCTGTAGGCTAGATTGGATGCGAATTTTGGAGCTTCGAGCCGTATGGTGCAAAGTCAGCACATCTGAAGTAATTAAATAAGAGATCACGAAACTACACATATACAAGCTCAGATCAAAGGATACATAATGTATTCATCCCAATGCCGCATATAGTTGACTTGTGTCGCTCCATGCGGTCTAGGTGGTCTCTGGCTTCTCCGCCCGGCCATCACCTTCCCCGAATCAACAATCGACTTGATAAACACGTACTCCTTTGTTGCTCTGGTTTAGAGCACAAAGCATGTCCCGAATATGACGACCAAAACAGGAGACCAGGAGTCTCCTCAGGCCTCAGCCTCTCACGTCGACCAACCCAGCGTTAAGCGCCCTCCTCCCCCAGAAACCCCGGCCGCCATCCAAACGCGATTTCGAGTGATAGCAGCCTTCTGGGCTGTAATTATATTCCTTGGATTTCCAATATGGTGGAAAACAACATCAATCTACCGAGCGTCTCTCCCCATCGAGGAGATGGTGGACTGGGCTGATGGCAAGGTACGGCTTGCGGAATCGCCTTGGGCTATGGGGACTTAATAGATGCTAATAATAGTCTTGATAGGCATGCCGACCAGTCTTCCCTTTGGAAATTCACCTTGCGACACCTTCGATGCAATTAATCGAGGCCCAGCATCTCCTTCGCACGACGCAGCATACTCTCGATGATCTCAACGAGTTCGCAGCTCATCACCTTCGGCTTAAGTTGACCAACGGCAGCACGACGGCAGTTCATAATAGCGAAGACAGCATGGAAAGTGTCAAATATCCTGCGGAAGAGACAGCGGATATTGCATTGACCGTCCGGTTACTGCCTCAAGAGGGCTTAACAGGTCCTCGGTCAGAGCTCCATGCAGCTACAACGCAGCTCGATGTCTTCTACCCGCCGAGCCAGGTCCCAGTACCTTCCTCCTCCAACTCCCCCCTCTCCGCTTTCATTGCGGCGGAGCTGCAGCGATTGTATGGCGAGGAGAAGGCTACCATAGCGCACATCTTGTCTGGAAATACCGCTGGCCTTGACTCGACCTCACCACAACTCGCCGAAGACATCGACCGACGACTGCGCCGATCGATGAAATATGCTCAAACCTACCATCTCTCCTTTTCACTGTTTACCCCCAAATCTGAACCTTCCTCATGGGACATTGAGGCTGCGGTGAACGAATATGTCTCCCCTCTCCTGCAGGCATTATCTCCTATCAGCAATTTCACTGTCGACACGCAAGTACAGCTCTATGCGAACTTTGCACCCACTGCGCCGAAGCCCGAGTATGATGAATCCGAGGTGGCATGGACATTGAAGAAAGAAGATCTCAGTGCCTTCGTCAATGCTGCCGAGTGGCCACTGAACCCGAGCATCGGCAATGGCCCGACAATCAATTTCATCCTATACGTCCCAGACCCCTCGCAGTCTCCACTCATTGTTAAGGAGAACCGTGCTTCTAGTTGGATGGTGCCCCAATGGGGCGGAGTGTTCCTCCTTAACCCCCCGCTTTCCCATACCGAGCAGAGTGGCCCGTCCAATCCTGCCCATCTTTCCCAGGACGCTTTAGGTCCTGCATTCATGACATTCTCTCATCAACTCCTCACACTCCTCGGTACTCCAAGCACCCCTGCCTCCCTTCCACTCCGTCTCCAGACATCTATCCGCATCCGCGCAGCTACTTTGTTGCTCTCTGCTTCATCAACAATGGGCTCGCTTGCTCGACTTACTGAGTCTTTACCCTCCATCCCTATCCCGGCAACCGTAGCTACTTCGGTCTCCACGACTCTCTCTCATTTGGGTGCCACCTGTGCACACTTGCGAGAGGGTCGCTTCGGCGCTGCGCTTGCCAGTGCCCGAGTTGCGGAGACAGAAGCTGAGCGCAGCTTTTTCGAAAAGAGTATGGTGGGTCAGGTCTATTTCCCAGATGAGCATAAGGTGGCGGTCTACCTGCCCCTTCTGGGACCAATTGGTGTCCCTCTTGTTGTTGGGTTACTCAAAGAGCTCAAGAGGATTGCGGCTGGACGCAAGGCGAAGGGGGCAGCATCATAAAGTAACACAACCTTTCGATATTTATGTATTCTAGGAGTTAAATATACACCCATTGAAATTATTCTTCCTTCTATGTATCTACCTATGGATATCTTGAGTTACTGTTTACCTAGATAGATAGGACTCCCTTTCTAGGCATATATCCAGTAGATTGATCTTGCACATAAAGCGGTGCACAATTTTGAATTAGATAGAGAATTAGACAAGTATTTAAACAGATGAGACCAAGCGCTCGAAACAAACTGAAAAACAATAACAAATAGGGATATCTTGGTACACGATCAATATGCCAGAACAATCAAATGCATAAATCAAAGCGACCAAACGCACAACTCGATCAAACCTAACGTAGGCTCACATCGCTCCCTCAATTATCAACGCTCAGGATCCCGGAACGGATTTTCCCGAGAATCATCATGTGTCGGATAAGGTGCATTCCCCTTCCCATCATGAGGATTAACAACGCGAATCAGGCCACTAAAAGTAGTGTCCGGCCTAACGGCAGAACCCTGATACGGCTCAGGCTCGAGAAAAGTGCGAGACTGAGAAAACGACGACTCAGGCGGTGAATATATCTTGATGCTTTCTGTACTCGGCTGGCGCTGCCGTGGCGGAGTAAACGGAGCCGGGGGCATAGGGATTGGCATAGGGACAGGCGGCACATCCTTGTCTAGTTCAGGGTTTCCTCTTGGATAACCGGAGAATAGACTCCGCACTCTGCTGCCGGTGCGATAGATCATTGTGCGAGTGGAGCGTCCTCCTGTAGAAGAGCGCTTGACACGCGGTGGGCTTCGGAGGAAGTCTGTGCGGTAGGAGGTATCGTCTTGGGGTATGGGGTTTGATATGCACAGTCTTGATCCGGACAAAGAGCGTTGGGACCAGTTAGGCCCGGATTTGCCTTCTTGTATATCACATTCGTCCTTTTCCTTTCGAGCACGTCGGAAACAGAGAGATATTAAGAGAGCGGCGACAGCACCGAGGATGGCACCTGGGAAGAAGCCTGCTGCTATAGCTCCAGGTGGGAAGGAGGGACATGCGTTTGATATTTCTGTGCATGCCGTCGAGTTTACGGAATTTTCGGGTGTGGGAGATGGCACGGGTGTGATGGTTGCCTTTGGGGTTGCTGAGCTTGTAGCCGCTGTCGATGACGACGCCGTGTTTGTAGAGGAGATGGATACAGATGCTGTTGCTGTTGCTGTCTTGGTAGGGGAGCTGAACACAGATGTTGTTGCTGTGTTGGTAGAGGAGCTGGATACAGATTTTGTTGCCGTTACGGAGGTCTTTTGGTTCAGGGAACAAGTGTTGTTTTGGCAGGTGTAGCCAAATGGGCAGCACGCATCGCCGCATTTGGGAAGGCTGTCATCCAGACGGCTTGTCTTGATGACACTTTCGGGGTAGAGGGTGACATTCTGCTGCTGTATATCACATGTAATCGGCGAGATGTAGTTACAGTCTTCGCCGGCGGGACAACAGATGGAGGAGCTGCCCTGGTCTAAACTGATGCACGTGGAGTCTGAAGGACAGCAGAAATCATTCGGGGTAGTGCCGCAGCGAGTGTATGAGGAGGGGCACGTGTCTGAGCTTCGAGAGAAAAGATCGAAAGAGCTATGTGCTTGTCCTGATCTGATGCTGGCCATCAGAGTCAGGAGCAGCAGAACGGATGGCCGTAACCTTGTCATACTGGCGGTGCGTATGTAGGCCGAGAAAGAGAGAGCTGTCTCTGATGATCAAATACAGAAGAAGAGTTCTGCCAAATAGCACCCTTGACAGTATTTTCACGTAAAACTCAAGTCAGGTTGTAAGTACAGAGTAGAAAGACCAGCACTGGAGGAAACCTTGACAGAGGTAGATTGTAAAAACCTAACAGACAAGGGCATTGACTTCTATCTGAAACAAAAAAGTAGTCAAAGAACCAGGATATGTCTTTCTTGAAAGGCACTGCCATCCTCCACGTCTTGTAGACAAAGAGTACTTGCACGCGCCGCCGTCCTAAAATAGGCACCGGACTGTTTCAGAGTGAGCTGCATGATTAAAAATGGCAACAATATGAGCGCTAAATCAACTCTTTGTTACAGGGCCACATTAGCCCAGGGATTGCAGAACTAGGATTGGATGAAGGTCAAAGGGTGCAGAAGAGTACAAGGCGCTTAGAGATGAAGTAGATTCGGACGATGTGATTGGCTGTCGGGCCAGGGTCTTACATAACCACACTAGTCCTGATCGGGTAGAACGTCGGGAGGGAAATTCTTCGACGTCGAAGCTCTGTACGATTAACCCGACCATTTACAGCGCCGCTCGTCATGCTCAGCCGATTCGCCAGGCCGCAAAGCGCTTTGCGCGCAGCCTCCTCTTTCTCCCCAGTGAGACTCACTTTCTCCGTCGCCAATCCGACTAGACTGACCGCGTTTTGTCCAGAAACCCACCTCCGCCTTCTCACGCTTCCAGACTCGTGCTATCCATCGCATTCCCCAATTGCAGCACGACGCCTACTATAAGGAGAATGGTGTCCCGGAGTTCCTGTCGCCTGAGGCGTTCGACTTCTCTTGGACCCAATACCAGACTCTTCTCGTTAACAAGCTTAATTTGTTGACACAAGGTGAGCCCGACACTCCGACACTGTGGAACAACAAATTGATCCAATCCGGCCCCAACCGGATACTTGGAACGATATGGCACATAAGAAGACGGGTCTAATATCCGAATTCAATAGATACCGTTGACGCAGATGCCAAACCCGGAGAATTGCTGGTCAAATACTCCAAGCGTCCGGAGATGGCCTCGGTGTTCAACTATGCCTCAATGGCCCACAACAACCACTTCTTCTTCAACTGCTTGGTTAGCAATGTCACTAATTCCTTAGTATATAACATTTGATCCTGACGAGTCTGCTCAATATAGTCCCCCACAGCCACCACCATCCCCGAAAAGTTCGCCAAGGACATCGTCGACACCTGCTCCTCCGTCGAGTCCCTGAAGTTGGATTTCCTGGCCACCGCAAGCTCAATGTTCGGGCCCGGATTCGTCTGGCTCGCCAAGAACCTCGAGCGTGAAGGCATGATGCACATCTTCTGCACCTACAGCGCCGGCTCACCCTACCCGGCGGCCCACTCCCGGCGGCAACCCGTCGACATGTCCACCCACACCCCGGAGACCCAGCTGGGCAACCAGTTCGCCGGCTCAATGGGCGCACATGCCCAGAATCAGAAGAGCCTCGCGCCCGGCGCTGTCGATGTGCAGCCCATTCTCTGTGTTAACACCTGGGAGCACGCGTGGATGATGGACTACGGTATTGCCGGAAAGGACGAGTACCTCGAGCGCTGGTGGGATCGGATTAACTGGGATGTGGTCTTCGACAACTACAATGCTGTTGGCTCAATGAGAAGCTCGCGCAACTCCGCCAACCGTCATCGGAGTATGAGCATGCTTTAAGTTGAAAATCATTTCTGTGTCTGGATAATCTGTATTATATACTATCATGTTTTATTTTTTTTGGTACCCATTGCTCATTCTCACAGGCTTCTGATTGAGCATGTATAGCGATCCATCCAATAGAATCAAATTGGCGATGCTATCTATCTCCCTTCTGCTACCAAGAGTCAATATGCAAGTCTAACAAGTAGTCTGATGTAGTATCATACATGCAATTTATGCCCCAATGCTAAGACTCCACTAATATACAATCCAATCTACAATTGTCACCTCAATCACTTTCTTTTACCCTCAACCTCCCGTATGCGCTTCTCAAAAGCCTCAATCATAACCCCAGCCATCTGTCCCTCGACAGTACTCATAATAGTAGCATGCATCTGCGAACGGAACTCAAACCGCACCTCCAAATTGACCTTAGTCAACGGCCCACCCTGCGCCTCAGTAGGCGAAATCGGCTCCAGCTCCCACCTCGTAGTCAGGTATTCAAAGAGGCCCTCATTTGCGCCGGGAAAGAACCCGCTTAGTCCAGACGAAGAAGAGCTCTTACTAGCCTGGCCATGCTGTACCTCTTTAGCATAGTTGGCTCCGCTCTTAGCCTCAACAGTCAACTTCTCTACGTCACAGATCACGCGCGAGGTGAACGTTTCGCTGAGCGGGCCGTATCCAACTGTTAGGAACGCTTGTGTTGGGTACCCTGTTTCCGGGTCGCGCGCTGTCACGGTCGAGGCTGTGAGGAAGGGAAGGAATTGGCTGTAGGATTCGACTGAGGAGATCACTTTGTATAGCACAGTTGGGTTGTATGGGAGGTTGCGGGTGGCGGTTAGGACGCGGTGCGGGGAGTTGTTGCTATTGTTGCTGTTGGGGAGGAAGGAGGATAGGTCGGGTAGGCCGAATGCTCGTGTGGTGGCTTTGGTGCCATTGCTTTGGAGTAGAGGTTGGCGTAGGCTTGGTCGTTGTGTTGTGGTTATTGTCCTCGTGCTCGAATTGAGTTGGTGGGAGGCTGGGCACACATTCTGGCGCTGGGAGGGTATAGTTGCGCGACTTGGGAGTCGCAAGGTGCGGAAGGATCGCATTGAGGAGGGTGATATAAAAAGGATTTACACGGGTTTGTCTTCGAGTGTAGTGGTTCCTGGCAAGAAAAACGCTCCGGTTCCGTGGAGCGGGATCTGCAGCCGCCTCGGCTGAGTTTCCTGTATACTCTGGATTTGGTTGATGAATTTCGTACTCTCAATACTTTTCTCTTACTGAAAAAAAAAAATCTAAATCTAAGAGCTCTATAATATGAGTGTATTTAAAACATGGGAGAGCTTAGAACTGGTTCAACATCGTGAACGCCTTAGTGCGTACATATGTAGTATCTCGAGATCTTTGATCAATGATGTACGAAACACAAGTATATTCAGAAGATATACGTCTATGGATTTCACCATCGCCATTAAATATGGTCGTTGGCGGCCCTTTTGGCTCCTGAAATGTAACTGTCAAACACATTCTAGAAATCAAGGATCAGTGACGGTTGTGCAAAGCATAGCTAGGGCTCTTACCCAGTCGAATTGAGTGGGTATATCAAGCATCTTTTCAATAGCCTCCAGGGAGCTGTATGATGATATCTGGCCGGGGTTGGGTATTGCGGGCTGCAATTCGCCAATATTGGAGCTGTATGATGAGTATTGTGGATCAAACGCTGCTGCACTGGTGGATTGCATCGAAATATCACCTGGGAACCTTGTTAGCGCGGTCTTGTGAAAGGGAATAGTCAGATCTACTATCTATGGACGCTGCTGATTGCCCAGCAATCGAAGTAGAATATCGAAACTCATCTTTCTTCACCCTTTTGAGGATGATGGTCAAAACATTCACTGCTCGCTGTGAATCTACAGACGGGTGGCGGGATTGTATGAATATGCTATGCGTTTCTTCCAAAAGAAGCAAGAATTCTGCTCGTTCTTCTGCTCGTTCTTGGGGTCTGAGGCATGCAGTATCACCACGGTCTGCATCCTGGCACATTTCAAGACAAAGAATCATTGCCGCATGCAAAAAGTAATGTTGGAGGGTGCCGAGAAAAAATCGCTCTGTGTACAACTGTCCAAAGGGCCTACACTCGGCCCAGATCTCTTTATGGTATCGAAGCGTTTCATGAGCTGCGGCCAGACGGGCTGATCGTGAGTAAGGGTACGCAAAGCTAATATTCAACTTGGTGATGTACCGGCGATGTAGGACAAGACGTGCATTCTGATACAGAAGCTCCAAGGTGAAGCGCCGCATGGTCAATTCCGCTCGGTCCGCGACACACTGCGCCATCGGTCGAATTTTCAAGCAGGAGGGTACCATGTTATGCGCAGTCTCCAAACGACTGTCAATATCCAAGGCCTCATCGTAGTTTGAGTGCTTTTGAGAGAATGCTAGGTCTGTTATCTGACCAAAGACTTTCATAATGATAGATCGGGTCCACATATACAAGCAATCTGTTTCTTCATTCTCTGGCCTCTCGGGTGGCAAATGAACGGAACTTTGGTCGAAGTCAGTGTCCAACAAGTTAGAGGGCAAATGTGTGTCATATTGCCAAGGCTGGATTGTTCGAGGGATGCCGACTTGGAATGAGATTACAGTGTCTAGCTGAACAAGCAAGCCCCAGACACGCCGGCGCATTTCCCCATCAAAGGCAGATAGCATTGGGTAATGGCGCGGATCACGATGGTAGTCCATACGCATAGCCAGACGAATAGTTATTCCGAGCAAATAGGACACTCCAACCTGCGCATCGCGAGACCGGTATAACTCGGCGATCGAATAAAGGAATAGTGCTTCTGGTTTGTACCGCCCTGGGGTAATGTAGTTTGCTTGGATAAGACACTGCGAGGCCCTTTTCCGGAATATATCCCATGACCTGGTAGGGCCCGCTATGCCAGAAGGTAATGGCTCTGAGTATCGATGATATGGAGAGACAGACAAAGCCATGATCGAGTATAAGAGAGAAATCCAAGTAAATGATTGATCTGTTGGGCGCCGCCAGAACTCCTCGTACTCTTTCTGATATGTAGGAACATGGATAGACACTGCTTGCTTATCAGTACTCATTGGCCCTTTTCCCCTTTGAGAAACTCATACCTCGTGCCGGTTCAGAAGAATTAAAGAATCGAGAGATCAGGTGATCGGCTATTGGCCTTGGAGGGATGTCTATAAGCATCTCCTCTTTGCTCACCGGACGAACATGACCAAACAGCAGAACTGGAGCCGAGGAATCATACGGGTCAATCTCGACCCGTTCATGGTCAGAAGTTTCTCTATCCTCGTCTAGGTTTTCTTTCAGATCGTTTACCTTCGTATTTGAGAACCCACCAGCATAATCATCTCGTGTTTGCTTTTGGAGGGTTGTCTCCGCAGCAGGGTCTAGAGGCTCGTCCATTATGGTTTATGGATGGATATTATTATGCTTATTGTGAGCAGCAAATGATGAGGATGAGGATGAGGTAGAAAAGGAAAGAGAAGTGAACTGCCCAGCCTGCGGGGGATCTACGCCTCCCGCTAACCCCCATCCGTGGACAGAGCTTGATACATACTTCGATTCTATCAGGAATACCCAGCCCTCACTGCAATCGCCACAGCTTTGTATCTGGTTTATTTGTGCAGTTCGTATTTATTGGATCTCAGCCTTCATGGCAACTACTTCTCCGGGCCCAATAATCTGCACTTTTGTTTTCTCGCCCTCCTCAAGCACAATCCGATACTCATCCCCGGCATATAATGGGCTCGTTGCCCGATAAGAGATGCGCTGGGGGAAAAGCAAGTTATAATCGGTGACATGTTGACGAGTGTCGCGCCAGAGATCTAGAATATTGATCAAATTCAACGGACCATGTACTACAATATCCTTGTGACCTTCTACATCCCGCGCCCAGGGCAGTGAGTAGTGAATCTTATGAGGGTTGAAAGTCAGAGCAGAGAAGCGGAAGAGCGTCACAGGCGTTTGCACCAGAGTTCGTGTACGGGTGTTGCCCTCAGTGGTGATAACGGACGAGGTAGGGTTTGGGGTCGCGATATGGGATGTTGAGGACGAGGGAGGGGCGCTGGATGGCGTCGATGCAGATGGAACAGGTAGAGCTTTACGGAATACCCAATTGCTATATGAATGTTGTTGTCAGTATTTTGGTCTGTGATATTCTTGAAAAGGAAAGCCCTAACCGTCGGTCAATAATTGACACGCCGTGCTCGTTGGCGAATTCCTTCTCGATTCCAACAACAATCATGTCCTCCCCGGTCTTTTTTACAACTTTGGGCTCGGCACTAAGTACCCGCGTTGTCTCATGCACCTCCTGTCCTACCCGTAGCGGATTGGGTTTCCCATCCGTACGGGGCCACAGCACCTCGCCGCCTGCCCACATGCGCCGTGTAAAGGGCACGTCGGGATTGTATGATGCATCCGTTCCATCCGCCCCAAGTTCACTTTCTAGGAACGCAGGTGTGAAATATGCGAGGTGGTAGCCCGGCGGCACGGGTACTGTGGACTGCGGGGCGGATGCGCCATTGGACAGAGAGGGGGCGCCAGGGAAGAGAGTTGGGCGATTGAGGGTGAGGGTGAGAAGCTGAAGCTGATTTGCATCTATCGTTTGGATACGGGTTTGTGGCCCCAGCGATTGGAAGCGTGACAGGAAGGCCTCGGCTACCGAGGAAGCATCTGAGTGGAGATGCTGAGAGATTGTGAAATTGCGAATTGCGCTCGGTCGGGTTCGCACCTGTATGCGCGGGCGAAGATGTGCGAGTATAGACAAACTTGACGACGACATGATGATTTTGGGAAAACTGTAAAAACAAAAGTAGAGAAGAAAAAGGAGAACGAGAAAGGGAAAGCCAGTGGGGATCTCCAAATGCATGCGGGGAAGCCGACATGCCTCCGAGTCGGCTTTATACTTGACCTTCTAGAATTCCATTGGAATAACTTTTTTCATTTCCATACCATTTGATTAATTAGATGACGTCGTTTGATTTTGATTACAGGATCTTGATAGTCCTATCTGGACTGTAACATGTAGAAGCTCCAAAGTGAAACCAGACTCGGAATTCCGAGTAGCATGTTGAGCGTCCTATCTTCACTGTAATGTACACATGTATGCATGTAATCAAGAGGCGTATTCCAAAGTGAATCAGAATCGGAATTCCGAGTAGATGGAACGTGATGGATGAGGATGGCAGCCCTAGGTAGAGCGCTAGAGTAGACCTCAATGATGCCCCTGATTAATAATGTGTCGACTAAACCTTCCAAGACACGGGTTGGGGGCCAGTACCACGATGTGCTAGTAGCCCTGGTTCACGAACTTTCGATTATAAAGAATTTGATTATAAAGCTAGTAAAGATAAGAGGCTTTGGAAACATAGAATATAAATACCTGACTAGAGTGTTGCTTTTAGACATTCATATTCCCCATCTCTTCATACTTCAACAAAAAAAGCAACAACAACCACAACCATATCTACTACCATGGCTGACATCAAAATTATCTGGGGTGGAGCCTCAATCATGGATGAGGTCGCCTATCCGACTCTCGAATCCATCAACGAAGTCCTCGATATTCTGGAGGCCAAAGGCATCAAACACATCGATACTGCCAAGCTATACAACAACTCCGAGGAGCTATTGGGAAAAATCCACGCCGATTCCCGCTTTACTATTGATTCAAAATACCCCGGCGGGTTTTCATCTGAGCCTTCGACCCCGGACTCTTTTCTTGCAGACTTGAATCGGAGTTTGGCCCTTCTTCAAACCGACCAGGTGAGCATTTAATAATCCGAGCCCTAAAGACCCAATCTCTGATACCATTCCTAGCTCGATGTCTACTACATGCATGCCCCTGAACGCAGAAGCTCAGTGGAAGACCTGCTGGCTGCCATCAACTCTGCTCATCAGGCTGGAAAATTCAAGCGCTTTGGTCTGTCCAACTATCTGGCCGAGGAGGTCGAAGAGGTAGTTCGCATCTGCCAAGAAAATAATTACATCTTGCCAAGTGTCTACCAGGGCAACTATTCTGCCGTTGCACGCCGAGGAGAGAAAGAGATCCTTCCCACGCTGCGGAAGTATAACATCGCCTTCTATGCCTATTCGCCCATCGCAGGAGGATTCCTGACAAAGGATGTTGCGACATTGGTCTCCGGCGGCGCGGGTCGGTGGGATCCCAAGACACCACTGGGTGGAGTCTACAATGCGCTTTTCAATAAGCCGCACATGCTGGCGGGCTTGGAACAATGGGAGAAGATCTCCAAGGAGTCTGGTATCTCTAAGGCTGAGCTGGCATATCGGTGGGCGATGCATAATTCTGCCCTCAAAGAAGAATTCGGCGACGCTATAATTGTCGGTTCGCGTAATGTTGAGCAGCTCAATCAGACGCTAGCTGCATTGAGCAAGGGTCCTCTCAGCGCGGAAATCGCAGCACAGGTCGATAAGGTGTGGGATATTGTCGAGGCTGATTCGCCTTTGGACACCTTCAACGGTTTCTCTAAGTATGACAAGGTCGTCTGAGGTCTTGAGAGAGAGCACGATGAATGAACGCCAAGAGAAGGAAATCCGTACTTAATCTCTAATAGCTTGAAAGAAGAAAAAAATCTCCAACTTTTCACAAAAATATAAGACCATATTGTAGACAAGTAGACTAGAATGAAAGCCCGAAGCTTGAAAGCAGTTAAGCTATGGGGGTGGGGTTATGGTGGAGTTATGGTGGGTCGAAAGTGTGAATAGCTTCAGAATGTCTCAAAGGGGGGAAATGATCCTGACGTTCTTCACAATAGCTAGGGACGGGTTTCTCAGTGACTAGGATGTCCCTTTTCAAGGTGGGGTTGGGTGTATTGTGCCCGTAACTCACAACCTAACATGATCCTGCACAGGGCACTTCCAATCTGAGCAATGGGGGATGGGGGTTGCAATGTCCGAACTGACCATTCCATTTGTTTCGTTCCTTCCTTAGGCAGGCTCCCAGGAATTCTCTTGCCCTGGTGCAATCCTGAGGTCCCTTCCTGTTTGGAGAGTGATACCTTCCCGAATCTGCCGTACCTTCCTCACGTAGGTTACGTTTTCCACCTTGGCATCCACGTGATGGAGTTATGTATCCAGTATATTATCTACATAGGTATAGAATCAGGGGATTACTTACCATCAAGGCCTCCATAAAAATGTCTATAGGATGTCCTACGTGTAAACTTCAGTCCAGTGATATCAGGCCAACCCCAATGGGCATATATAAAGTATTGAATTGGCTGTCAAGGGTATCGTAAGGTAAGGGAGGACAGGGGCAATGTCACAGGACCGAAAAAAAAGAATAGAGATGAATAAGACAAGCCAAAGAAGACACACAAAACCGAGATGATTTCAAGAAAACAGACGAATCAAAGTATCAAAGTCGAACCTGGCCACCAGTCAACAGGTCCCAATCCCTCTGCCCAAAGGGCACATAGGTATTACCCTGGAGCCAGTAGAGTCTATCCTTCTTCGACACACGAGCTGGATCCACGCCTTCAGCACGAAGAACATGTTTCTGCTGCTTGTTGTTACCGGTCGACTGCGTCACAGGCGTAACTCGCAAGAACAGCGGAGCCGCGAACCGAGGCAGATTCTTGAGAATGTGTGCAGCGAGACTATCAAGGACCTCGCGTGAGGGCTCCAGTGCGGAATCAGAGAGGTTACCGTCTGCTATTTGCTGGTTGAAAAGGATAGCTGCGCATCCCGCACGGCCATCATGATTGGGGAGAGCCACGCCGTAAACGTTAGCTTCGTGTACTTCGGGATGTGCGCCTAGGACCTCGGAAACCTCGCTGGTGGATACGTTCTCGCTCTTCCATCGGAAGGTATCACCCAGTCGATCTGAGAAGTACCAACGGCCGTCTTTGTCCCATCGAACCATGTCACCGGTCCGGAAATAGGCATCGCCCTTCTTCTTTACATCGCGGATAATCTTGCCGTCGGTCGCCTTCTTGTTTCCGAAGTAGCCTTGGAAATTGGCAGTGGGATCTGCTGCATCGATGACGTATAGTAACTCGCCGGGATCACCCCGAGGGACATTCTTGCAGAGACCAGTCCTGGGGTCACGCCACGGTTCCTCGGTCTCATGATCAACATCCACAATGGCAGAGCCACGACCAAGGATGATATTTCCCAAAGCACCGTTTCGGCCGATAGCGCCCGCGGAGAAGTCGTTTGACGAAACATTCCATGAACCAGATGTGCCTTCAGTAGCGGCGTAGAACTCGGCGATTGTGGGGATATTAAAACGCTCTTTGAAGCGGTTCCAGATATCGGGACGCAGTCCATTTCCAAATGCCATGCGAATATTGTGCTTCTTGTCAAGGTCCTCGCCAGTGACCGGGTCAGTTGCAGGTGCTACGCCCAACAGATAACGTAGCGTCTCGCCCACATATTGGATAATTGTCGCATTGTTCTCGCGGGCCTCTTTGATGAAGTTGCGCGCAGAGAATCGGCGGCCAATAATCAGAGTCGATCCTCCCATCAAGCAGGTGATAAACCCAAGCACCGAAGCGGAACTATGGTAGAGAGGCATACACTAGTCGAGAGGTCAGCTTGGACAGTAAAATTTGTAGGTTGGTAGATCCTACCGTGAAGAATCTGTCAGAGGAATTAATGCTCAACCAATCTTTAACGAACAAGCTGCCAGACCAGCACTTATTCCAACTGACAATAGCAGGTTTGGGAAGCCCGGTAGTGCCACTTGTGTAAATCAAAATGGCCATATCGCGAGGGATCAAGCCACTGCGGACCTTGTCATCCTCTCGCGTAGGCTCCATTCCCATAATCTGCGCTTCCACCTCCGGGGTATGAAACACGACCTCAACCGATCCCTTGCCATCTCGGAAGCTCGGGGATGTCAAAATCTCCTCCTGCTCCGCTGGGAAGCAGTGACGAACTTCTTCGTCAACGATCAAGAGCCTCGCCGTGGATGTTCGAATAGAGTGAATGAGCGGCTTCCCAGACAAGTTGTAGTTAATAAACGCGGGGATCGCTCCAATACTCCACAATCCCAGCATCATGAAGATGAAAGTGGAAGAATTCATGAAGTCAATCGCGACAATCTCCTTGGGCTTGATGCCGTGTACATTCTTAAACCATGCCCCATAGCGAAGAATTATGATGTAACCTTCGTAGAACGATGTTGTTCGTCCATTGTACACAATAAAATCGCTGTCTGCAGTTTTAGGATTAAGTGCATAGGCTTCAAGTGTGTAGAAGAGGTTCAAGCGGTCGCCACGTTCCGCGACGCGGGACCTCACCTTCATAGTCACCAGCCCCTTGAGAAGGCTCAAATCGTAGGAGAGCGACCATTTTGCATTGAGATATGCAAGTGTGGTTGCCGCAGCAGGGAGTGCAAGGCTCAAGGGAATATCTACGCAAAGACACAGCTGTTAGCCATGCACCCAGCCCCGCCGTACGTCATAACCTACCGGGCAGGGATGACAGCGACATTATGATCAAGAATATTCAATGATCAAGCCTAAGTGGGTATGGTCAGGGTATGAAATTTGATGAGATCGCCCCTTGTATGACAGCTTTGAATGTAGCTAAAGAACAAAGAACGTGTTATAGGAGCTCCTTGGCTTACACCTCAGCTTCGGTGTCTTATATCAGTAAATCGTCGATCAAAAGTAATAGAGGTGGAAATTATCCAGTGAAAGCTGCGAGGGATTGAAATAGGAAGAGATTAAAACTTGCCTCGGCACAGGTGCCGATCCCCTGACGACATGCAACCTTGGATTACTTCCGAGGTTGTCACATACGTGACAGAACACCTTGAAATTGACGTACAGTTTCTTTCTATATATTTAACAATTATTCTAGTATTCAATTAATTCTACGGAGTAAAACAATCCTGGATTCTTCTGATGTACTTTGCATATATGCATGTACCTTCACATGGGGCTTAGAGGATCGTCACCCCGCACTTTCTACTCCGAGAGTAGCCTCACTTGTCCTTAGCGTCTAGATCCTAAGTAAATTGAAGCTAGAACAGCTTCCAGCCAAGAAAATTGGAATATACAAATGATCTGTCTATGTACTTGTATAACAACAATATCACTTTGGCAAGGGCTTCTTCACTGGGACATCCTCATACCCATCTTCCATGAATTTACCCAATGCGTCCAAGCCCTGCTCCAGGACCTCGGTTTCATTGACATAGCCAATGCGAACATAACCTTTGAAGTCTTCTCCAAGCCCAAAGCAAAGACTTCCTGGCACAAGCATCACGCCGGTCCGTTCCTGGAGCATCTCGCAAAAAGCGACATCGTCTACGGGTTTTCCCATCTTGTTAAAGCGCACAAATGCAGTGCTACCGGCTTGCGGTTTAATCCATTCACACGCCCAGCGATGAGAATCGATGAATTTCTCCAAAATAGAGAGATTAGTCCTGGCTAGATCGATATTTCGCTTTAGAAGATTGTGGATGCAATCCGGTGCTAGTGCAAAACTAGCAATTGCCTCGTCAATTTGCCCGACCGAGATAGTTGTATAATCGCGCGCATTGGAAATAGATTCGATGATAGAACTATCCCGCGATGCAATCCAGCCGACCCGCAAACCCGCCAGACTATATGCCTTTGAAACAGATCCTGTCACCACAGTGCGTTCGTATCCCATAGAAAGCAGTGTGGGTGGGAATCTCGGGTCCGCCGGACTGATATTGTGGAAGAGAGGGCGATAGACCTCATCGGAGTGGATGATAATAGAGTTCTCGCGAGCAACATCGACCAATTCTTCGAGTTTCTGGCGGGGGATGATGGCTCCAGTTGGGTTTTGCGGGTTACTATGACAAGTATGACGATTAGCAAAAAAGGTATATCTTGTATGATTGTAACAAGACTCGGACATACTTTATGATGATCAACTTTGTGTTGGGACGGATAAGGCCTTTCAGCTCTTCAATGTCCAGCTGCCATCCATCGGCCTCTTTAGACCTCCACAGGCTAACTTCGGCTCCCACTGATGCAGGTACAGAGTACAATTGCTGATATGTTGGATAATGGCAGATGACATGGTCTCCTGGGCCAACCAACGTATACAGCAACAAGAAGTTCGCTTGAATTGCACCAGCGGTGATTAAGATATTATCCTTCGGCAATTGCGTCGGTGCCCTCGCCGAGTACAGATTTGCCAATGTATTTCGTAGTTTATCGGAGCCACGGATCGCCCCATACGTAAGCTTGGTGGATTGAAGCTGGGCGAGAGGGTCGGAATCCTTGTCATCGGAGAGCGCGCGGAGATCGTCGATGGAGATGGATGCGCAGCAGGTTTCGGCGGTATTATACTTGGCAGTGGTCTCATACTTGTCCATCCACTATAGACTGGTTAGTAACGGAAACTTGTAATGACACATGGGACAGACAGACACCACCGAGTCATGGGGTAATGCGGGGAAGTACCTGTTCGACCGCGAAGGCTTCAATCTTCACCATGGCTGAGAACAGTGAGCTTTATTGAGAAAAATAGCTATAATCAAATATCCTTGTCCGGGGACATTCCAAGGTTCAACTGAATGGGTAAGAAATTGAGTCTGTTGTTATGCTACCGTCGATTTTATCTACAAGCTCCTTGGCTGTGTTGCGATATCACGTGATCAATCGCCTCATGGGTGTTCGTTTCCAATTGACAGAAATCAATATTGCAAGGTATGTAGTTCTAACTTAACTAAAACGACAAAACCCGCTGTTTTCACAACCCGGACATTAATGACTTTTGCATGGTATGCCGACCTCGGGAGTACCAGGTGTCACATGATATTTTCAGGTATGATACCCCTGTTTTCACCCAGTATTTTAACGTAATATTTCGACACTAACCATTGTTGGATCCTACTAGCAATCCTCCGAGCGTCGTTTCTAGGATAAACAGGAAGCACGTTAGACCATCGGTGTGTCAATGCAGTTGGAAACAGGGCCCCGGGGTACCCACACTTATTTTGTCCAGTGAATCCAAGGCGACTACGGAGTACATTTTCAGGCACTGACGAATGTTATTATTCGATTCCGAATGTATTTACAAAGTACTCCGAACTTCAAATCCTCCGTTCCAAAGCGACTAGATGATCCCTACATTGTTCGTCTCGTAATCCCTTAACTCGGCCATGCTATCATCGTTCAAGAAGATGTTTAGTTAGATAAACACATCAGCTCCAGGTTCGATACTACAATTTACCTCGAGATCTTATCTTCGCCATTAACAAAATCCGTACGGAAATGAGAAGGAATAAATTTTGTGAATCGTAGGAAGGATTGGAATTCATGAATTATACTCTAAAAAAATCATCGAGATCAACCTATTATAGTATAAGATTGTCCAGCTTACCTGCGGGTTCCTGATGCTCATGCATCAGCCCAGCCTCTCGCTTCTCCGCCCGCGTCATCGTCTGGGGGCCAATCTCACCCTCTCTCCGCTTTCTGCTTCTCAACTTTCAAGCTTGCCTCTTTGTCTCTATCCTTTATTTCAACTATATGCTCCTAGTTTGACCCTCTGTTTTAATCAATTTGGCGGTCCGCCCCCGCATTCCTTCCTCAGTTGTTGGTATCGCTGCGCACCAGGACACGCTGTTGCCATCCTCCCCACAAGATGCGCTTAACTAGCGCCACATCTCTTTCACTTCTCACATTAATTCCCCTACTGGGATCTGCTGCGGCATGGAGCGAATTTTCCGACGCAAGTCTCGTTACGCAATCCTATTCCCTCTTCGATGATCGGCCACCCGGATGTCCGGAGTGTCCAGGTTGCTTCAACTGCCAGCTAGACAACTATAAATGTACTCATTTTTCGGATTGCAACAACTTCAACGGAAAATGCTCATGCCCTCCCGGTTTTGGAGGCGACGATTGCTCGGTTCCCCTGTGCGGCTCGTTAGCCGACGACTTGAAACGGCCGCAGCGTGATGGCAATACCTGTAAATGCAAGGATGGCTGGAAAGGCATCAACTGCAATGTCTGCGACTCGGATAATGCCTGTAACGCGATGATGCCGGAAGATCAAGGGGGCGTGTGTCACAAGCAAGGTGTCACGGTCAAGGAGAACTTTCAAATGTGTGATGTGACCAACCGTGCGATCTTGAAACAGCTCGACGGTCGCAAGCCCCAAGTTACTTTCTCCTGCAAAGCCGAGGATGAAACATGCAGCTTCCAATTTTGGGTCGACCAGAAAGAGTCATTCTATTGCGGCCTAGACACTTGCGAGTGGAACATGGAAACGGACTACAACTCCAATTCAACTCACTACAAGTGTGAGCACCTTCAGTGCGAATGTATTCCGGGCCGCTTCCTCTGTGGCGAGAACGGTTCCATCGATCTGAGCGATTTCCTTGATCAACTTATCAAGGGTCCGGCTACTTTCGACACTAAATCGACCCTGGAGGGTACCAAGAGCGTTTTCTCCGAGCCTCAAATGAATGGATTGATTGCGAGCGTCTTCGGTGATCCCAGCATCTTCTTGTCGTGTGATTCAGGAGAGTGCATGTACAAGACTGAGGAACCGGGATACGAGCGCCCCGTGAAAAAAATCAACACTCCACTCATTGCTGGTGTGATCGCGGGAAGTTCACTATTTGTGGTTGCTATCATTCTGCTCGTTTGGTATTTGTCCCGTCGTGCTGCTCACCGCAATTATCTTCGCCTGGCTCTCTCGGACGATTCGGATGACGAAACTGCCAAACTCCTGGCAGACTATCGCTCGGCGGCTTTGTATTGGGAAAATGTATCTTACACGCTGAATGGAAAAGAGATTCTCTCTGGCATTCAAGGCGCATCCATACCAGGGCAGATTACAGCCATTATGGGAGCATCTGGGGCTGGAAAAACTTCGTTCCTTGATATTCTGGCACGAAAGAACAAGCGTGGCTCAGTGAATGGAGATTTCTATGTCAACGGCGAGAAGATTGATGACAATGATTTCAGAACAATGGTTGGCTTTGTCGATCAAGAAGATACAATGCTTGCCACCTTGACAGTCCACGAGACCATCTTGACAAGCGCCCTACTCAGACTTCCCCGGGACATGAGCCGGGCTGCTAAAGAGCAAAGAGTCCTGGTGGTTGAAAAGCAACTTGGGATCTACCACATCAAGGATCAATTGATTGGCTCAGAAGAAGGCAAAGGTCGTGGCATTTCCGGCGGAGAGAAGCGCCGAGTCGGAATTGCTTGTGAGCTGGTTACCAGCCCTAGTATCCTGTTCCTAGATGAACCCACCAGTGGATTGGATGCCTACAATGCGTTCAACGTCGTTGAGTGTCTGGTGACGCTGGCCAAGACATACAATCGTACTGTTATCTTTACCATCCACCAACCTCGCTCGAACATTGTTGCGCTGTTTGACCGACTCATCCTTCTTGCCGAGGGACGTACAGTCTATTCTGGCCCTTTCTCATCCTGCCAGCAGTACTTTGAGCGCGTGGGCTATTCCTGTCCGCCGGGATTCAATATTGCGGATTATCT